AGCCTCTTGGCTGCCGGCTGCGGCCTTGATCCTGTCTCTGCAGAGGCGCTTGGGAGCTGGGCCGGCTCCTGGGCCTGTGGCTGAGGACGCCTGGAGCGTGGGCATGGGCAAGTGTGCACACCTGAGCCCGAGGCCAGGTAAGGCAGCTGCAGCAAGAGGAAGGGGCTAGGCCGGGAGGCTGCTGGAGAGGGAGCGGCCAGGGCCCCCGGAGAAAGAACGCAAAGATTGGGGGTTGGGGGCCATTGCCCGCCTGCCTCCCAGCCACTCTGCCCTGCCCGTGGCTGCCCCCTTGCCTGCCAGCCTCCCTGCCTGGCGGGCCTGAGCACCGGCTTCCCGGAGAGAGCATTAGAGCCTGAAGAATCCACCCAGGGCTCCGGGGCTCTTTCTCCACCTGCGGGAATCAGCAGCGAACTGCCCTGTGCAGGCGCAGCACCAGCTCCCTGCCCCTGCCCTGCCCCTGCCCGGCTGCCCACAGACAAGCTGCTGCTTAGCGCGCATTTTCCTCCCGAGGCGAGCGGGCACGCTCACCCTGGGGCAGGCTGATGCGCGCTGAATGCACCTGCGCTCCCCGAGCTCCGCCCGGAGTGGAGGGCGCGCTGAAGCAGCTCCCTGGCCCGCTCCCCGGGGCCAAGGCCAGCAGGCAGGCAGGCAACCAGCATTCTGAGACTCCCAACACCCTCTGGGGCTCTTTCAAGGCCCAAGAACAGCCCCTCTTGCCCATTCTCCACCCCGAGTGATGTCTGCCACCCCCCAAAGCTAACAGGACTTCCTGGCCTCTTTCCTCTCCACAGCGCGTGGAGCTGCCGAGCCCTGGAGTCGTGCCTGGAGCAGCAGAGACAGGACTTGCCTTTCATTCTCACTCACTTCCACGGCAGCGGCCACAGGCGAGGCGGGCTCAGGGGGCCAGTTCAGCCGCGGCGCCCCTTTGGCCCTGCACAGTGGAAGGTCACACGCGTTCCACGCAAGGGCAGCCGCACGCTCATTAAACGAGGCCGCTGGGGCCGCGGGCAGGGTCGCACGGCCGCCCCCCAGGGCGATCCCCACGCGGCAGGAAGGCCGGGTTCCACGGGCGGGTTCCAGAGTTTGGGCGGACATCTGTTTCGGTGCTTTGCTAGAGCAAGCCACGCCGGGTGGGCATAAACCCAGGACTCGGCGGGACCCATTTTTGATGGCTTGGGTCGTTGTGTCTAAACCGATCTTGCTTCTCTCGGGGGTTTCGTATCTCACGCTCCTGCGCACTGACATCCCCACGAGCGACCAGGCCCCGCCGGGGCGTGGAGCTGCTGAGTGGAAGGCCGGGAGCCCGTGTCCAGCCCTCAGGGAGTCTGCTCGCTCCTCCCCGCCCCTCCCCCAAAGCTTGTCTGATCTTCCGGCTGTCCTGATTCCCCGGAGCCAGAAGAATTGAAAGATTAAAAGAAACTGGTTGGGGCCTCCCTGGTGGCGCAAGGGCTTAAGTCTCAGCCTACAAAACTCGCCAGCCACTGCAGCCTGAGTTCGACATGGCGCAGCGGACCTCTCCTGCCTCGCCCGCTGCTCCCCTCAGCAGTGTCCTTCGGTCCTTCTGCCTGTTCTGCTCCCCACTCTGGCTCTGGTGAATCCTCCTCTCACACACCCCCCCACACCTCTGTCCTATATTCCAATTCTTCTGTGCATAAATAAAATGTATTTATCCGTGCATATATAAAGTGTGTGTATATATATATATATATATATATATATATATATACACACACACACACATTTTAAAAAATAAACCTATAAAAAAAGGAAAAAGCTCGTTCCCTTTCACGGTCTCCCCTGACTGCGTGTCCTGAAGGTTCTGGTTTCTGCTTACTCAGAAGCCCAGGCTAATCCTGACCTGCTGGGGCTGAGCCTCTGCCCCCAACCGCAGGGTCCCCTGCTTTCCCCTGTTCTCGGCACAAGCCGGCTCCGGCTTCAGGCCTTGCCTCTCTCAGCCGGCGCAGGCGGCATCTACACAGACTAGCGGCGTCCACACAGACAGCTGGGATTCTGGCTGGACAGTCCTCTGGAAATCCAGCTGGGCAGCTGGGGTGGCTGGGGAGGACAGCACGCGGGGGTCGGGGGCACAGATCCACTGGAGCTGGACCACAAAAGAGTCGAGTGAGGGTCAGCTCTTTGGGGTCTGAGGGACAGCAGGACCCCCGGCTCACGTGCTCAGGGCCCTCAGGCATCCGGGCATGCAGCGGGAAGCAAAGACCAGAGGCCCCGGCCGATGAAGAGTCCCAACCCCGGGAGAGAAGCGTGGCAGCCTGAGGCCTGGCCCTGCACTGCGAGGCTCACCCGACTAGGGGAGGCCAGCCTGTGGGGAGCTGGGCCCACGCCCGGGCGGCGGCCTCACGCGCCTGTGCAGGCCACAGCGGATGTGGGTGCCCACGGGGGGCGGCTCCCTACAGCCGGCTGCTCCTCCAGGTCTGCGCTACCCACGGATGCTCCCGCCTGACCAGGCACCGCTGCCCGCCCCAGGGTTAGGTGAACCCGACAGTTGTCCCAGAAGAGCTGGAGGACAGAGCCCAAGAGGCAGGACGGGAGATTCGGGTGCGCAGGACTGAGGGAGGCTGGCTGTTTCTAGAAGGGGTTGGGAAGTGGTCAGCATGTTTGTTGGGGGACACAGAACAACAGAATGAAAATGTCAACACTCTGAGCAGACTCCGAGTCCAAACGCAGAAATGCTTTTGTAGTTGTAAATAAATTTTTAACAATTTCAGTAAAAAGGACTTCAGCTCCTAAAAGTCCAAACACTCCTGCAAACGTGCAGCAATAATCATGTGTTTTTTTAATTCCTTCTCTCAGGATCTCGTGCCCTGCAGCTGTGGGATTCAGATATAAATGACTCTATTTCCTTTGAAATCAATGTGCTCTGAGCTATCTTGGTATCGGTGGAGCATCGGTCTCGCGATGCGCGGACATGATGATAGGCGCAGCCTCCCATCTCGTAGGCGAGATGCAGCAGGCAGCCAAGGCCTTCCTGTGTGGTTTCAATCCAGCCTCACCGCCGAGGACGTGCGCAGAATTTCTGAGTCACCTCGGCCACGTGTGCCAGTCTGGCACCCACATGGCCACCCCAGATGCCGGTTGTTTTGTTACGAACATCAAAGGCGGAAGGTGACCCCGTGGAGACCCCAGCGTTCAGAGCACCCTCCAGCAAGAGCACCACGCAGAGCTGAGTCCAGCAGCAAGAAGTACCTGCCAGGGCCTGGCACACGCACCTGCCTCAGCCCTGCATGGGATGAACAGGGCAGGCTGGGTGCCCCCTCTGTTGGGGCCTCTGCCCAAGCCCAGGATCTCCTGAAGTCAGAGACATTCCGGAACCAGAGAGAAAGCCAGATTTTTCTGGGACAAGCCCAGAATCCAGCCTGGCGGCCAGAGTGGTGGGGTCCATCTGGGTGGGGCGGGCTGGCACGGTGGGCACTGTCGGGTTTACGGACGGGCCGGGCTGACGGTGTGGCCGGCTGGGTGGCTGAGCCCTGGAATGGCCGCCCTGACACTTCAGCAGCTCCTGTCTGGGCCCCCAGGCTCGGTGGGAGGCGTTGACATGCCCAGAAGACAAGCTTGCAAATACTGCTGTGCCGGCTGGTTCTCTGCTTGGGGGGATACCTTGCCCCCAACTGCAGGACCAGGGCTGACACATTCCTGCACCTGGCCCGCCGGCCCAAGCCCCTTTCTAGCAGGACTCAGGCCTGACCCAGGACCTCACAGGCCCTGCTTGCGCAGCCTCCTGCCACAGGTTCATCAAGTTAGCACAGCAGGAAGCGTTCCTGGCAGCGCTTTCAAATTAGGACAAGGGCGTGAGTGCAAGGAGAGCAGGTCTGGAGCTAAAACCACGCCAGAGAGCCCGTGACGGCCGCGCCGGGCAGACTGCAGCCTGGTCCAAGGCCAGTTCGGCCAAGGCCGCCACTCAGAGCCCGACTCCGCCAGCCGGGACCCCATGCGGAGCCACAGAGGCCGGGAAGCTGGAGCATCACCGTCGCCTGTGAGGCTGAGCCCAGGTGAAATGCCAGGACGCCGTGGGGGTTACAGGGCCTGCGCCCCTCTCGTACTGCCCCAGCTCCTTCCGGGACGGACCTCAGCACAAGGCCTGCTCGTCTGCAGAGCTGGGTCCTGACAAGCTGCCTCTGGGCGGCTCTGAATTTGAGGTGAGTGGAGACACTAGTGGGCTCCCTGCCTCCAGCCCCTTGAGTCTGGTGAGTCTCGGAGCTGACCCGAGGGTCACCCCTACCCCCTGCCCCTGCAGAGCGCAGCCTCCAGACTCTATAGCCCGGGGTCGCCGGCGCTCGGGCCCCCGAGTCCATCCCTCTCCCCTTTACTGAGCAGGAGAGGAGACTCCCCAAGCCGGGCCGCCTGGGACGGTGCCCCTTGCAGGGACGGCTTTCTGCTGCCGTCCGTGCACGCGCCCTTCACCCTTCTCTCCCTTCCTGTAACAAACCTGTCCCTTTGGACATGAAGTAAGTAACTTTGGCAGGGGGTGGTGCAGAAAAGGGCTCATCTTTTAAGTTCCCTTGCTCAGCACGACACTCCCCAATCAATCTGGAGTGGGGGCTTCTCTCCCTGCCCTCCGGGTGGGGGGCCGGCTTCAGATTCCCCCAGGAAGTAGCAGGTGTTCTTCCAGGTGCCCCGACATCAAGTCTGGGCGAAGAGGCTGCCTGTCAGTCACTACTGAAAAGCGACGAAACCAAGTGTGTGCTTCACTTGGAGTAAATGTACCTTTGTTACCTGGTCACCAATTTTTACCACAGGACAAAGAAATAACAGAACTCAAAACAGAGAAACTTCTCACAACAGGTAAGCAACTTTCAGACACACCGAATGTTGGCACCAAATTAATTATACTTTGTGGCATTCATGCAACCTGTTGTTTCCTGTAACTTAAAAATCTGTAGTATCTTAAAATATTCAAATAAAGCAATACTCCCACCCAGTGGACAAAGAAGAAACGTCTGGCTTATTTCATCTGTGACCAGCAGCACCATAAAAAAGAAACTGAAACTATAAAAAATTTGAAGTAAGTTTATTCTGTTTTTAACAGCCTCAAAATGCCCCCCTTGGGGGGAAAAAAAAAGTCACCTACAAAACAGTGCACACAGCTCCCTTCAAGGCGTGGACGGTAGCACACCTGATAGAACAATCTCTGGGGTCACGTATAAATGTTACTCTGAATCTCATTTGTGCTCACAAATTTCTTCAGCATCTCTGTGCTCTGGGGAATATTCTGGAAGAAGGAGGACAAAGTTAATTCAGGAAGACCAGAACAGGAATTCAGTCAGAAGAAACATGCAGATTACAATCCACTCTGGAAACAAGGAGGCCTCACAGGGCCAGGCTGCCTTTCACCTGCCCTTTCCAAAACAAGGCAAGTAGCGGGACAGGCCCCACCCCCAACCCCACCCAAACCTCTCCAGGGCACCTCAGGGCTCCCAGCTGGCCCAGCCCTACGCAGACCCCGAGCTCCAGCCCGGCCATTCCCACGCAGGGGCTGTCACATCCCTCCGCACCCCAGCAGCACGCTCACCACACGCTCCTCAGTTACCCAGAACTTACCTGCTTACAGGCTCACACTGCTGCCCTCTGGCACAGGACCCACCCACACCCCCAAATCCAGGTGAAGAGCCCATTTCCCATGGGGCATCTCGCTGCCCCAGGAGCCTCTGGAGGCCCCACAGCAGCGACAGCCTCGCACTGGGGGGTCCACACAGGAGGCGCTCAAGCTAATTCCACTTTGTCAACTAAAACCACCCTGAGACGAGCAGAACCCGGGACCACAGAACCGAGGATGAGCGGAACCCAGGGGACTGCAGCTGGTCAGCAAGAAACAGCATTCAGCACCCCCAAAATTTTTTATTTCAAGCAAGAAATGAAAAGGGTTTTTAGTTATTCCAATTTTTCCTTCAAAAAATATTCTTAAAAGCTCAAAGGAACTTGAACCCTATGACAATGGTGGTGCAAGTCTGAGCTCAGAGTGGCTGGGGGGGAGGGTGTTCCCCCAGGAGGCACACACTCCAGGGGGCTCGCTCAGCAGGAGGTGCCACACAGGAAGTGACTGCACGTGTCTGGGGGACGATCCATGACTCCAGCTAACGTGAAAAACATCATTAATTACACTGAATTCGTGTTTTAGTTTTATTAATTCAACTAACGGCTGACCGTCTTTGACACGCCAGGTACATAACCGGGGGCACCAAAATGGACCAACACGGCCCCATCACACAAGGGGCTGACACCCCTGGCAGCAAGCTCACTCGCGAGGCTTGTGAAGGGAGCTGACCCCAGAGCAGCTTTCTCCCATTCTAGAACAAAGAACAATGCTGCTCTAGCCTCTCCCCTTCAAGAAGTTCTTAACCCGGGGGCCCATGGACTCAGAGCAAATCCTGCGGGCAAGGAGGGGCTCCCGGGACCTCCTGATGTTACAGGCGGAGCTCTGCGCCCGGTTCCGACACGCACTGTCCCAGGAAGTGCCCCGACCCAAGCAAGCTGAGAACGGGGGGGCGGGATGGCTGCATCATTCTCAAGAAAACTAAGGCGAATGTTACGACCATCTGATCCATACTCTGCCTCCTCCGAATTCAAAGTTCATTAATTCCAAATTAATTAAATGCCTTCTCAAAAATTTCTACCTCCCAAATTACAGAAACTTCTTGAAGAGGAAACATCCTTCCACACAGCACCTGACCCTCACCGCCCTGCACCGCCCGATCCCACACGCAGGAAGCATCCCTCCAGGCACAGAAGTCTCTCCAGGCGGGCGGCACGAGCAAGCTCACCTCGCAGACCAGGATGCTCTAATTGAGAAGGGGCCTGTAGGTGTGGTTTAGGTTTAAATTCACAGCATAAATTTATGTTCAGTGTGAGTTCAATGTAATCATCCAGCTAGTAAGGGCATGGTTTACACCTTACCTTAACCAAACCTTTCAAGCTTCTGGAAGAAAGCACAGGCTTAAAAGCTTCCACTGTAATGAGGTCCAATTTCATCACATCGGTGTAACACAGGTAGAGTACGGCAGGGATTTTCCATACTTGACAATAACTCAGAACTGTGAACAAGCAAGAAAAGGCACAAAGTTTTCTACGATAATTTTTACATTAAACACTTCTAAATAACAACAGCTGCTTTTAAAAACAGCCATCTCTGTTGCCTCTTTCTCGAAGCATTTACTGCCATTCTGAACTAGTTCTAACGCACACTGTCGTTCAGAACCAATTGATTTTCCTAGACAATCCCCTGCTTTGGCGGTTATGTTTACGGTGCATTTCCTGAACACACTGCTGTGACACATTTTAAGATTAAAATTGTGCTGACTATCATACAGAGCAAATTAAATGTAGTTAACAAAAATATAATGTTCATAATGCCAAAAATAGTTGCCACTTCTCAGTCTAGTAAACCTAGTATTTAAAGGGGAAAAAGTCTCACTTTAAGGATTCAGAAGAAAGACATAGCGTCAATATGTTAATTACAGAAAAACAAATGACAATTCTGACACGATACTAGGGCCTAATTAGTAACAGCACTCAAAAATAAGAGAGTAGTGAAACTCCCAAGGCGTGGTATCTGAAGCCTTCAATTCTGGTAACACTCACCTGACCAAGCCTCTTCACACGCACACGTCAACACACACCTAACACACACACCTAACGCTGGCTTCCATGCGGTTACCAAAGAACAAAAAGTCAGTCTGAAGGGTGACCGGGAGAAACCTGCGCTGCTGTCAGAGGACGCATGTATCTGGGAAGTCTAAAACCCGACCCAAACACAACGCGCTAGGAGTGCAGACGCTGACGAGTCACAGCAACGCGTCGTCATCAATCAGCAAGCCACCTGACGACCAGCTGGGCAGGAACAAGACGTAACGGGGAAGGCACGCTGCTAGTACCTGCTGCGGGAAGGTCGTGGACAATGTTCGGTTGCTCTAGCAGGGAACAGCACGGAGGGTCTTTGAAATTCTGTGTTTTCAGAGCTTTCAGGAAAGGAGAGTGAAGGCTGCTAGTAGACTCTGAAGTTTTGTAGTCGGTAACGTGTCGACATGTGAGAACAGTCACTTGCATACTCTTCCTTGGACAAGAGCCGAAGACCTATGGTAAAATTGATCTTAAATTACAATGTACATATACACTTTTGTCACTGAAGAGGTTGTTCACCTAGTGCCACCGGCAGCAGATGACACCTTGCGGGGCTGGACACAGGTCTGGCTGCCTCTCCCCCGAGTCTGGGTGGTTCTGTCTCTGTATGGTCGGGTGGCCTCTTTGTGAACGAAGGCCAGGGCTACCTCCCCACGGAGCTGCCATCTATGTAAGTGAGATCAGGGACGCCACCAATGACGACACACCGTCGCCAGAGTAAAGGAACGGGGAGCACCTGTCAGAGGTCAAGGTCACATCGTTTCCCACACGCCACAGACAGCCACAAATGACACTTCTAAAATTCACCTTTAGATGACAAACTGTGGGGAAGTGTCAATCGCGCCAAACTCAATGTCCTCCCAAGTTTACATATAACAGATTTCCAAGGACACGTCCAGCTTTAAAATCCATAATGAGGGGCCTCCCTGGCGGCCTAGGGGTTAAGTCTCAGCGCTCCCACTGTGACTGCCTGAGTTCAATCCCCGGCCAGGGATCTACCCACACGGTGCAGCAGACCTCTCCTGTCTCCCCACTGCTCCCCTCAGTAGTGGATTTCAGTAGATATGCCTGTTCTGCTCCCCACTCTCTGGTAAATCCTCTCAACTCCCTCACTTCTGGCCTATACCCTATGCTTAGATAAATCTTTAAAAAAAATAAAAATAAAATAAACCCTCCATTAAAGAAAACAGCTATTTTTTAAAGATGATTAGCTTTTTAGGTCACTGCAACTTGTTTGAAAATATTTTATAGGAAAAGAAAATGGCTATTTCAAATAACATTAGCACTGATGATTTTATATGATGTCATAAATGATCTATAAGTTTAAATTCATGACATTGGAGCTTTGTGAACAAAAAAGTGAGCCACCGCCCTCCTGACAACGACAACGACCTGAACGCTGGCAGCATCCCCCTCAGGCCTGTGTGGTGGCAGGGCCCAAAGGGGGCCCCGGGGAAAACACTGAAACACTGTGTGTTGGAAATGCCTAATTCTACGTCTTTTCCAAGTCTGAAAGAAAAAACTTGTTCAATGATATAAAAATGACATACTCTCCACCTGTCAGCTCATCCTACATGAATTAAAAAATGAATAGTACACCAAGTTTCCACCCTTCTGAGGTCGGTTCACAGACCTGCTCAGACAAGTCAATTTGAAAATGCACTTAACTGCTAACAGATGTGCCCAAGTATATCAATCTGGTTTCAAACAGGCGGACACCACATTTCTTTGTGAAGAAGTGGACTATAATAACTATGTGAAGACATACCTATGATTTAAACTGAAATATTGGGAGCCTCCCTGGTGGCACAAGGGGTTAAGACGCAACCTATGAAGCTAGCCACAGCCACTGCAGCACAAGTTCGATCCCTGGCTAGGAAGATACCCACATGGCACAGCAGACCTCTCCTGACTCACCCGCTGCTCCCCTCAGCAGTGTATTTCTGTCAATCCACGTATTCTGTTCCCCACTCTGTCTCTGGTGCATCCTTCCACCACCCGCAACTCTGAACTGTACCCCCGTTCTTGTATGCATAAATAAATCTTTAAAAAAATAAAATAAGATGCAACTGCCAAAATTATGATTATTCTCTAGAATCCCCAGTTAAGTTCTTCACTGACACATTTTCACTGGGCACATACTAAGCACAATTGTCCCACAAAATGAAGCCTCATCACCTCCTCCTAAGGCTGCAACAATAAAAACAAGAGGGACACGCGGCTCAGCAGTGATGGAGTCCCCAGCCCCATCTCCTCCAGCCGCACATCAGTCCTGCTCTCCCACAGGCTGTGGCCCTGTCCTGGTCCGTGTGCATGGCCTGTTTCTCATTCAAACAAAATAAGGTGGATGGGAAGAGGCCGACTAGATTTTAAGCTTCCGTGACCCCCCCCCCGCCGGCCCCGAATCTCAGCACACTGCTTACAGTCAAAAGATATCTGGGTTCTTTTATCCTTTATATTCTAGAACAAATTCCCACAATATTTTTAAGAAAATCCCACAGTATTTGTATCCTGTGTCCACCACCCCATCTGTTCTCTCACCTTCTCCAGCCACTGATACTGCTGATCTTCAGCAACGTAGCAGCTGCACTGACAAAGGACAACCTGAAATAGCAAGTTCCAGTGTTCCGTTAGGTCAAAGAAATCAACTATCCATCAAACTATCACCACAGACATGTTACATGGATCCTAACATGACACTTAGATAATACTTGTTTTCCTGAACCCGCTACTGGTTTTTCCATAAAATTTAAGAATCAAGCCTTGCTGGCAATTAATGAGAATAAAGTGCATCTTGGATCTACGTGAAAGAGAGTTGCTCCACCAGCAAACACTGGAGGATCCCCCATGTGAGACGGGGAAGCCGCCATCCTGTTGCCCTTCTCATGTAAAAAGCAGACTCAAGATATGTACTCTGTGAGAGGCAAGCATTATGTAAACATGCGTTTCTATCGGAAGAGATGACAGCAGCCCAATAGCATCTGAGTGCAAATGGCACCCTGCAATGTTGCTAAGGCCTGGAAGATGGCATTATTTTAGAAAGCAAGTTCCAGACCATATGCTCAAAGTGAAATGATTTGCAAAACCCAATGCTATGAAAGATGAGACTCCTTATTCTGAATGCTCGTGGGATACCACGACCCACAGAAGCCAACTGTCTCCTATGAAAACACTGCTGGTGACACGGACAGTAACACAAAGGAAGCACAGAGGGAAAGAGGCGACAAGCAGAAAAGACTGGGCCAAATGCAGAGGTTCTCAATGATCAAGAGATAACTCCACTAAGGATCAGATAAAGAACATGCTTAGTTTCCTTATTTATTTCCTACAAATACTGTATGCTCATAAAAATCCTTGTACAAACTTAGAAACCTCTGGGTAGATGTTAGAAAACAAAGCTTAAGTATCACTAAACCACACTGCAATTTTCAAGGCTTGGTCCCTACCTTGTGAAATTGGCAACACTACAACCTTGTGACACTGCTGAGCGGGCCTCCTCGGGCCTGGTTGCCACAGCTGGGAATCAGTGCCCTGCTAGACAAGCAGTCAGGGAGGCACGTGTCACCAGCCTGGGCACCTCACCTGCATCACTTCTCCCCCGCAGGCTGCCCCATACATGTTTTCTCTGAATGGACCCAAAGGTAGGATCAGGGTAAGTGCAATCCATTAAAATCAGTCAACATCATTACAGAGTGTCTTTTAAAAAAAAAGGACAAGTCGGGCTAGGGTGAAAGCTCAGTGTCAAAGAACGATGTGCAGAATGCACAAAGCATCCCAGTGCCCAAACATTACCTGAGTGGCCAGTGTGGCCCAGATACTGGCTATGTTCTGGAAATACACTTTATATGTAATAATATAAAATCGAACTCCCTGCTTTCTCCAAATGCACATACCTTTATGTGATTAGAGATGCCAACGGAAATAATTTTTTGAATGAGGGTGACGTTTAGATAGCTAATGTTTATGGTTTCTTTCCAACAGTTAGAGTTCCATAAGAACTCTATCAACACACTGTACGTGCCACACTAAAATTTTTTTAAAAAGTGGTTACTACTATGACCCACAGGCAGAATTCCTCATACAGGAATATACGGAGTATGCAGCGCAAATAAACACCACATAAATGAATCCTAAATAACTGCTTCTTCAACACACACATTAAGTCCACGTACCGAGGGATTTGATTTGAGATGATAAAACACACAAAAAGCCTCTGCGGGGGATAGATGTGTAGTATCTGTGGTTCTGCACCATTCATTCCAGAATTTGGCACAACCAATTTCTTCCCAGACTCCAGAATTCATGACAAATGATGACAAAAATGCTGTGAAAACAATTAGAATAAGTTAGCGTTTGAGTCTAGTCAATAAACTTCAAGCTAATCCAGAATTTCAAACCTCCAACAACCATTCAAGACCATGCACCTTACACCACCACTGCAGAAAGGGAAACTGAGGCACTACACCATTAAAGGCCATTTCCTGACCATAGAGTGTATTAGAGCCAGGATTTGAGAACACAGGCTCAATGGCAGATGCAACCACTCTCTCACTGTAACACTCTTCTGGAAAATTTTGGGCCACGAGAACTTTCTATAAATGAATCAGTGAGTACTGAGGATGCTTGACTGCAAGCCCTTGGCTACAGGGCAAGGGGTCTTTTTTTTTTTAATATTTATTTATTTTATACAAGAACTGGGGTACAGGTCAGAGGCGTGGTAGGGTGAGAGGAGTCACCAGAGCCAGAGTGGGGAGCAGAACAGGCAGACGGACCAAAGACACTGCCGAGGGGAGCAGAGGGCAAGGCAGGAGAGGTCTGCTGCGCCATGTGGGGTTCTCCCTGGCCGGCGGGGAATCGAACTGGTGCTGCAGAGGCTGCGGACAGCTTTGCAGCGTGGCACTCAACCGCTGCACCACCAAGGAGGCCCAGCAAGGGATCTTAACTGGACTCCCAAATGCTCTCCTCGGAGCCTGTGAACCTCCCAGAGCTACAGAGGTTGGCATATACGTGTACATGTTCTCACCAGCTCCACAGCATTCTGACTTCAACCTGGCAAATGGACTCATATTGCAAAAATCTTAGAACTTAAAGTGTTCAAAAATGTCAGTGATTATTACTATTCTTTTAAGAGGTCTCATCATGTTCACAAAGGAGTCTGTTAGGCCCACTAAGGGCCACTGCTACAAGGGGGCTTGGCATGCAAAATAGTCCTGCCTCTCAAGTCTGGCCAAAGCAGGCCCAGGGCACCTTTAGGAACCCAGGCACCTCAACACACAATGAACAGTTCCTTGAGTCTGTAAGTTCCTAAAACCAAGACTATTTCCCCTTACAGCATCTATTTTAAGTTTATCAAAAAGACAGTGTCAAGTCCTCATCACAAGAGAAAAAAAATTTGTAACTATTTTTTGGGACAGACGTTTACTAGACTCACTGTGTGACCATCTCACAATAAACACAAATGCTAAAATTATGTATACGTGAAAGTAATAAATTGCTATACATTGATTATTCCTCAGTAAAACTGGTAATTTTTTAATGGGCATTGCCACTTGAGCAGAAAACACAGATTCTGTTCAAACATAGCTACTCCACTATGACTTTTTCTTAAAAAGTAATCTTTTTTGATGGAAAGATGTTAATCTCAGAATTTGGCCTTTCAACAAAATATTTCATCTTCTGTATTTCCACTTACCTACTGCATTATTTCCTATAGCAATTATAAACTTGGAGCAAGGATATTTTTCTAGCAGAGACACTTCCAAAGATGTTTTTGTCTGTCTTCGAAGGAGTCGCACCTCCCTAAACAGAAATAAAAGATACTATGACTGTATAATAGGTAAAATACTGACTTTAATTATATAAAGAACACAATTACAGGAAATAGATTCATTAACAAAAATTTACAAATAAAACTATTCCAGGCAAAGTTCATAAAGAACTCCACAAATAGAGGTGAGGCTGTCCACCAGACCATCCATCAGTCTTCCTGCCCCTGAAGATAGAATCCGGCATCCTGTGCAGTAAGAAACAGCCAACACCACCTTGAAAACATTCCTGCCAACAAAACGAGGAATCTGAACTTGATCAAGCCTCTCGAAAAAACATCCACTCAGAGGAAACAGTCGTGGTGGACATATGTTAATTGCTACCAGGTAGAAACAATCAGACACATTCAGTGCGGGCCACTGTCCACACAGGACAACTGAGTCTCCAGGCAGAGGTGAGCAGAGGGGGCTGCCCAGAGACAAGAATCTAAGTGTGATGTGTGCACGCAGTGAGGCTGTGATAACACAGACCCACATAAAATGACATGCTTGTGACAAACGGATACATGTGATCAGTCTGGCTCTTAAATATAATTTTTTAATTATGATTAGTTTTGTCAGGCATGCTGACAGTTATGTAAGAAAACGCAGAATGGCCTGAGATGCACTCTGTGAACACGCCGGGGTGAAAGGGCCTTGTGACTGGGGCTCACCTAGCGGTGGTGGCAGATGAAGTCAAGCTTTGGCTGCATGCGAATGGGTGAGGGGTCACCTTACTGTTTTCTCCAATTTCTGTGTGTAGGAATGTAATTTTTGAAAAATAAAAGTTGTATTATCCACCTGTTACTGACAAAATGCTAACCGAAGTGGGGAGTGAAGAGTAAGCAGGCTTTGGGCCTCCCTGGTGGTGCAGTCTATGAAGCTTGTCCTCTGTCTCTGCAGCACGAGTTCGATCCCCCCCACCCCCCCGCCGGCCAGGGAGCTACACACACGGCGCGGCAGACCTCTCCAGACTCGCCCGCTGCCCCCCTCAGCAGTGATTTCAGTCAGTCTGCCTGTTCTGCTCCCCGCTCTGTCTCTGGTGGAGCCTCTCACGCCCACACCTCTGGCCTGCGCCCCAGCTCTTTAAAAAAGAGGAGGAGGAGGAAGCAGGCTCTCCGCGGCGCGCGTGCTCGGGTGGGCCGGGCGACCCTGCGCGTCAGCGGGGGCCGGGCGGGGGCCGGGCGGGGGCCGGGCGAGCAGAGGGCGGCGGCGGCCCTGGCTGTGAGGGGCCGCGGGGCCGAGTCACCGCACGGCCGGGCGCCCGCGTCGCGCTCCAGCTGCCGGGGACGGGCCGCGCGGGCGCCCAGAGCGGCGCGGGCCAGCGCCCCCGGCCGGCAGAAGCGGGGCGCCGGGCTGCGCGGCGCGTCCCCCGCCCGCCAGGCCACAGCGGCGCCCCGCGCGCGCCGGCGGGACGGGGCGGTCCTCACCTCTTCCGCGCCAGCCGCCGCCGGACCTCCCAGTCCTCGGGCGTCTCCCTCCGCCCCTCCTCCTCCTCGTCGTCGTCCTCGGTCCCGGCGCGGCACGGCGCCCTCACCACCTCCCCAAAGAACGTGGCCGCCATCGCCCCCGTCAGGGCCGGGACCAACCGGGCCTCACAGGACGGCGCATGCGCCCCGGGCCCCACGCGCCCCCGCCCCAGCCCGGCGCACGCGCCCGAGCATCGCCACGCCCCCGCCCCTGGCGCATGCGCATGCGCCCGGGACCGCCACGCCCCCTGCGCCAGCTCGCGCATCGTCGCGCCCCGCCGAGCGCGCGCCCCACGTCCCGGCGACCAAACCAACCCAGAGCCTTTCCTCCCGCGGCCGAGCGTGGGAGACCGAGAGCCCGAATGCTGCGGCTAGAGAGGCTCCAGGCGGGCTCGGGGCGGGGCCCGGGCAGAGAGGGCGGGGCCCGGGGCGGGAGGGGCGGGGCCCGGGCGGAGAGGGCGGGGCCTCCTGCGCAGCGGGTGACGCGCGGGCTCCACGTGCGGCCCCAGGCAGGCCTGCCGGGCTCGCTGGGCCGTGTGTGCAGGCACGGTGGGGGGTGGGGGGGTGGGGGGGTGGGGGGGTGGTGGGGGTGGGGGATAGAAGAAACACAGTGCTTCGGCAGGTCTAGAAATGAAATCTTTACTCTGGCAATAGGAACTCACATTTCAAAAGCTGATGATTATCAGGCTGACGTAGGAGACTTGATGAGAATGCAAAAATAGTTGGACATTTCTGGTACAAAATTCGTTCTCGCTTTCCGCAGCTTCTCCTTCATCGGCAGCGCGTGGAACTGGGTCTGAATTGGTTCTTCTTCAAGATGTGCGGGAAGACAGTTCACAGAGCACCGTTCCAGGCTGGAGCAGAAAGGGGCCACTGTGCCTCAGCAAAATGAAAATTCCCGGTATTGCACTGAAAAAAATCCCTTTGCCTAGATTTCGTTTTGCCGAAATCCGTTACCTGGACGGCACTGCTTACATTGTGAACCCCTCAACTAGTCACAAAGCTCAGTGCTAATTTGAGGTCAGAGGGAGCTTCTTAGGGTCAAAAAGTCCCAGTTGCTAGAAACATCTTGATTTTTAAGATGTGGAAAAACCATGATCAACAAAAGCATTTACATAAATCGGTATTTAGCAATTTTACACATTATTGCAAAATGAAAGTTTAGATTTTTAAGCAAAATTTGAACATTTCAGTATAAACAATAAGACCACATTGCCATCCAGAAAGAGCTTAGTAATAAGCTAAGTTTTAGTGACCTATAGACTTAGTGAACTAGGATACACAGCATCACCAGTGCAATATCTCAAAACTGCATTAAGACCCCTGGGTTAACTGGTTTTATTGAATGACTGAATTACAGAATAAAAAAGGTGCTTTAGGTATCAAGTTGACTCAGTCGCTTTGTCAAATTAAATAACTGGTCACTTCTACCAGCGAGAGCTTCAATTTGATTTCACAATTACAGTATGAAAAATTCTTTCTGGAAAGCTGATTAAAATTACAAATAGGGTGCTGTTAGCACATTTGGTTGTGATTTAAATTCTACATACATTTCAGAGTTGTACCAAGTATGTTTGTTTTCAAAAAATGCTTATTACGTGCAATTACAAATAAATTTAGGGCAACCACTTAATAAAAAAAAAATCTTCAAATTAAATACTAAACCAGAAAAGGGATTCCACTGTGAGAGAATGATATACTCTCAAGTACTGACAGAAATTAACCCTATTACAGCAAATAATAAATTCAAAATTGCCAGTCCCTACACTGAAATTTTGCATAAAATAATCTAAGACTTAAATATTTTCATTTGATGGTATTTGTTGAGGATATAATATACCCAATAAGAAACTTCCATGAAATTAAGTGTAAATATGGGACCAGAAGTAGATTTAAACATTTCATTAGAGATCAAAAATCAAACCCCGTGCACCCAAAAATATTAGCAGCTTATTAGGAATTCTTCCTTTTCTCACCTGTGCTAGTAACAAGACACCGGTTATTAGTATTTCTGATCAAAGGAAAGAGAGCAAAGGACACAGACTCTGTAGATTAAAAACATTTTGGCTTATTTTAAGAAAAAAAGAAACCAAGCCTTTAAAGGCAGGCATGCAACCACAAATTTCTCAAGTAATCTAAATATTTGGTCGATCTGTATAACCACAAAAGATGCATTACATTATTAGTCTTTTAATAAAAGGGAAATTGAAACCGCTAGGTTTCTATAGTTTACTTTTTCGGATTTATACATGCAAATTCATATCCTAATATTCACAAATATTTTTAAATGGGAAAACAACTTGCATCTAACAATTCATTTTTCCAATAGCATGGTACTACGTTAAGGAGATTTGACAATATGTTCATTTAATCTGGTGGTCTTGACTTCAACAGAATACCGGCTAACAAATTAAGCCTCTTTGCCAAGAAACTCTTTAAAGACCATCAAGACCAGTTTTTCTAATCCTAGCAAAGGCCACAATAAGGTGACCCAGACATCTTGCCACTGGAGTTTCTGATGATGAGACCAATGGATTTGCTCCAGGTTCTAACTTTTAAGGTGCTGTACAAAAACATGAGGCTGTCACTGAATCATCTAAAAATATGACTTTGGATTTTAAATCTCGACATCTTTTTTTCTGAATAAAACTAAGACCTGCCTCATGACGAGGCACATTTTGGCATCTCTGCAAATGTGATGTGCAAGTAAAAATGAGGACAAGCAGGGTAGGGGGGTGAGGGAACGCCAAAAAAAAAAAAGGAAAAACAAAAAGAATTTGCGTAGCTTTCTTAGAAAAATAGACATTCCCTGAGTTAGTCCTAGAGGGCGGTCACAGTTCAGTACGAGCTCCATTGTAAACAAATAAGCAATAATGACTTTCTCCAGTTGCCTACTTCCAACGCTTACTTCAGAACTCAACTCTCCACAGCCTGATCTCTGAATCCCCAGGGTCTCCTGGGTTTTGACTTCAGGGATTGTGAATTGCAGGGTCTGTGTTTTGTCAAGTTACTTCACTAACAGGCTCAAAGGCACTTCCTCTTGACGTGGGCCTAGTTTCTCCCTTTATTTCAGCAATGACATGGTGGACTGAGTTTTTTTATGCTAACTCGGACTCCTGGCGATTAGCATCAGGTTGAGTTTTATGTTACCTACCCTGTATACTTCCCATCATTTTCATCCTCTTGATTTCATCAAGAGCTCTCTTCCAGCTCTTCCTTTCTGAAGTCATCCTAGGCTAGTCACGTTTTGCCCCCATTCCACCTATAGGCACCACCACCTACTTCTCACAATTCCCCTTGGGTGCCGGTACAAGGGCTGACTGTGAGGAATCCTCCCTCCCACCTGAACCCACTGGATGATGACGTCTAGAAAATTCCTCAAAGGTGCTGACCAGGGGTTACCTTTAGAGCTAGGAGTGGAATGCGCCTGTCAGTTTACTTGTGGCCCCGGGGGCTTCACATTGCACGACTACATTTTCATCGTCACTGTTTTGCGCTTTCTCTCCAGGATCTGAACGCCCTTAACCAAAGCCCTTTGCCATTAATCTTCCAGCTGTTTCACATTCAGAATTTATGGTTGTATCATCCTCTGTATAAACATTCAGTAATTTTTTTCTTAGCCGCAACAGCAGCATGTCTATGGGGCGGTTTCCCACTACTGTTCCTAATCCAGACATTCCCAGATCCTGGAATGGCTTCCTTTCTATTACTCATTATCTTTATTTTATTTGCAGCTACAGTAGCGCACCTGCGGGGAACTTTCTCGGGTTCTACTTATGCTTTCAGAGTCTCACTAGGCACTTTCATGGTGTCCTTCCAATTGTGCATACATGTTCTCACTATTGTATTGGGTACTCTGTTTCTAGGGGCAGATTCTGAAAAACGAGTGAAAGTTCACGTAAATGCAAAAATCTTCTAATACCAGATTTTACTTACATTCCTAAGCAATTTTAAAACTACTCACATCACCCAGTAAAAAAACAGTGATGATCAGCTAGATACTACATGTTTCGAGGTAACATTGGTACCACTTTCCTTTTCTTCAACGGGAGTCTGAGAAGCTGAGGTCCCTCCAGCTGGCGCTGTCAGAACTGTCACTAACAGTTAGGTAGTGGACTTCTAAGGATGGGCTGCAGCGCCTTCAGCATCACGAAACCACTCATCTAAAAACACTTTTAAGAACCTGAATTTTTAAACTAGAACCCTATGTAGGCCTCTTTAGCATCATTCGGTTTGGGGTGAAAGGATGTCCTGAACAAACTCCTCAAATGGGTTTCATGGACCCCACTCCCACCCCAGACCAAAGAGATCAAGACATCAAGGACTACAAATCCCATAATGTCATCACCACCGAGGGGAGGGTGCTGGGAGCTGAGGGTGGAGTTAAGCAGCCAGGCTTGGTGTATAACCAGACACGTGGGCCTTGGGGGCCTTGGTTTTCACCAGCTTTCAGTGTGCTGTTCGGGTTCCAGCTCAGCAGAACTGGTAGACACATTCACCAATTTTTTTTTTTTTCTCCCTGAGTTATTCCTTTCTTCATTTTCCCCTTTTTGTAAATAAACCCTCTATTATCCTTTTTGTGTGTGCCTGCAGTTGGGCCTCATTATCAGTCCCTTGTAAACACGTGGGTGAGGACCCACAGTCAAGTCAACCCATTCACATTGAGGTTGCCCTGTAACAATTCTAATTCTCTCATTTAACTGTTGTAAAGTGTTCAGAGGTTTTTATGAAATCACCTTCCTAGACCCTAAACAAGGAAATGCCATAACTATAACAGCAGCTGTCCAAGTGAGATTTTGTGGGAGGTTTTGATTCCAACACCAAGTATTTCCTGTGGTCAAAAAAGCATCAAACGGGCCTCCCTGGTGGTGCAGCGGTTGAGCTCTGCACTGCGAAGCTGTCTGCAGCCTCTGCAATGCCAGTAGGATTCCCCGCCGGCCAGGGAGAACCCCACATGGTGTGGCAAGACCTCTCCTGCCTCGCCCGCTGCTCCCCTCAGCAGTGTATTTTGTCAGTCTGCCTGTTCTGCTCCCCACTCTGGCTCTGTTGAATTCTCTCACCCTCCTGCGCTTCTGACCTGTACCCCGGTTCTTGCATAAAAATAAATCTTAAAAAAAAAAAAAGGCATCAAACTGGCAACTGATTAGATAAAAAGGAATTATATATTGGGTGTAAATAAATGAAATGTGGTATTAATTCTATATTCGGTTTTTTTTTTTCAAATAGATGAGTTTATCTAACTGGCCTTAAGTCCTACTTCATTATTAAAATATTTTCTGAGCTAGGTATGTGCCAGGCATGCAGAAGGTTAGCATCAAGATTGTAAAAACAATTCTACGCATCTCAGTTGCTGAGAGGAACGAAGTCATGCAGGGTGCCACAAGCACATTCTAGAAACTGAACCTAGTTTAAGGGGCAAGGACTTCCTTTGAAGAAGCAGCTGAGAGCTAAAAACTGAAGGGCTCTCCAGAGAAAGGTAGGGCCAGGAGCCCTGGGGAGGGCATGCTTGGCTAGGCGCCAGGCGCTTCCCCAGGGAACGGTGAGAGCTGCCCCAGGAAGGCCATGCTTACAAGTCTAGACGGGCTTGAATCATTTCTATTTTTGCCAGATTTTGAAATTTTATATTTCTTAAAGATTTATTTATGCATACAAGAACTGGGGTATAGGCCAGAGGTGCTGGGGTGATTCACAGAGTAGGGAACAGAATGGGTGGATCTACTGAAATACACTGCTGAGGGGAGCAGCGGGGAGACAGGAGTGGTCTGCTGCGCCACGTGGGTAGCGCCCTGGCTGGGGATCGCACTCAGGCCACAGTGACTGCAGACTTTGAAATTTTAAATGAAAGATGAATCAGTATTCTAGGACAGGGTATTTCTGGCTCTTGTTCATCTGTTGGCAGCCTAGCCTCGCAGCTGAGAGTCCATCTGCGACGGTCTGCACAGTGTACCTGTGGGGTGGGGGGTGGGGGGGATGGGGTGCCTGGGCCCCCAGATATTGGCAGGACATGCACTGGCCCTGCGGGATATCTGGGCACTCGCTCCCACGGCATCCAGGAAATACGGGCCTTTTTGTTGATTATCACCGAATAACACTAATTCCTAAGAAGTGAAAATCCCATCACCACCCTCCTTGGTTTTTCTTCTGACAGGACTTTCGCCCTGTCGCCAAGTGTACGGGTGAAGAGGACTGAGAGAGCCAGGAAAGGCTTTTGCTCTCAGAGGGAAAGCCCTGATGACTTCAGTCTCTGAAATCACTCACGTCAAAGAGGTGCTCATGCTTCCACTGAGTTCTCGCAAATTCTCAGGAGCCACTGCAGCACCAGCAGCCCCCACAAACCTGCAGGCCCCCTGAGCCAAGTCTGTGACTCAGGTTCTTCCAGGGAAACCCCATTTCTAAAGAAACCGTGTTTTGCTCAGTCAGCAGGCACTGCAAAGCTAAGGGCACTCCTGCTCCCCTCTGGCTGGGCTCTGAGGTCCCGGCCCCCAGGGAAGAGGGCATGAGAGGGGAGGGGTTCGTCAAGGGCAGCGTTTTACCTCATTTTCCTTTGAAACTCTTTCAATATGAGCTGTTTCTGCAAACCCACCTAAAATCCAAACTGTCATCTTTTAGCACAATGTTAGCAAATGCTAGACTATAAATTTTTATAAGAGAAATGAAATTTTATATAGTAAAATTAAGGTAAAATTTGTGTGAGGATATACTGGTATTGCATCCATTTGTATGTTGAAAAAAACGTTAAAAATAGACCACTGGCTCACTTCAGAGGTACAGCCAGCTCAACAGTAGAGCAAAAATCCTACTACAGCTTAAAATTTCTGTGGGACAATGACTTAAGTTACAGTAGTTATTTTTTGGAGCAAAGGAAGTGTCTATATTGACAATTTAAGAACTTAGAAAATACTAATGCTGACATTTTAATGATTATTCATAATACAAATAAGGGAGGAAATGCTATAGAAGAAACTGTAACTGGGTTTTTGGAAACACTAAGGAAATTCGAATCTCAAGAAGAGTGGGGAGAAAATGGGAATAAATTATTTTGTATATGGCAAATCCACCTGATAAAGTCTTAAGACCATAATTGGGGATTTCACAGCTGAGAGAGGGAAGCACCTCTGAGGGAGACAGAAGAGTGGCAGGACAGGGAATTTACAGCACCGCCACACCCGTGTAGGTCAGTGTTCACTTTATTACTGAGAACTTGGTACATTATCAAGTGCTTTAGCCTCCTTGAGAAAACCACCATTTTAGAAATATGCACCGGGTAATTCAGGGGTCAAGCCCAAGAATTCTGGAGGAAGCTGCTCTACAAACCCGCATATGGCAGCGTCCCCCGGCCGCGGGGTGAGGGGTGAGAAATCTGGGGGGGTGACCTGTAGTGACAGACTGACCCCCCTCGAGCCAGCCTCGTCCACCCGCTCCCCGGCCCCTCCCTGCCCGTCCAGGAGCCGGACACGGGCCAGCACTCAGCAGCGATACTCACCCCCTAAAGCTCGGCTTCCCAGAGGATCCCCAAACCCCTTCCTTCAGGGACTACAGAAAATAGTGTTTTGGAATTTCCAAGCTGGACACTTTCCTGCCTCCCCCTGGCGTGCAGCCGGGGTTCCCACGCGCGCCCCGGACGGGCGGCCCGCAGTCCGCCCAAGGCCACACAGGGCAACCCCCTCACCCCCACCCCCATCTGCGGCGGCCCCTGCACTCTCCTCAGAATCGGGTACAAGCTCTGGGAACTCGGGGCTCCTCTGTGACCCGCCCTGTACGGCCCTCTGGGGGCATGAGCCGCTTGGCTCCCACCCCCACCCGGGCCCCCACACGGACCCCCACCCCGACGGCCCCACCCGCCGCCCAGGCCCAGGCCCGCCCGGCAGGGGAGGGGGGGGCGGGGGAGCGGGGGGAGGGGGGAGCGGGGGGAGGGGGAGCGGGGGGGGGAGGGGGGAGGAGAGGGGGGAGGGGAGGGGGGGCGCCGCCAGGACGGGGCTGTGGGCACTGCCCGCGCGGGCGGGCGGGACGCCAGGGGCAGCCCGGGCTCCGCTGAGGGGGGCCGGCCTCGGCTCCTGCGGGCCAGCCGCACGCGGGTGGGGCTGGGGGGACGAGGGCCACGGACGGTGCCCAGAAAACGCCCCTCGCCCATGTTGCAAGCCACAGGGTCCCCCAACACCCCGCTCCTGGCTGGAGGGGCGTCGGGGTCAGACCTTTGTCGGGGCGCCCAAATTCCAAACTTACCTGAGGCTGAACTGGAAACCGAAGCATGGCCGGGGCCCTGGTCATGGCCCGCGCTGCGGGATGGAGCCCCCCACCTCGCCCCCCCAGGGCAGGCCCGGCCGCCCCTGCCCCCTGTCCTTCAGCAGCCCGTGCTGAGGGCCCACGCGGCCGGCCAGGAGCGAAAGCACTGTAGAATTCCTGCCCCTGACGACGTCTTTAACAGGAAAATAGCTTTAAAAGCCTGTGTTAAATGTCAGACAGACAACGCCGTCCTCACCAGGCTCCGCGAGCAGCACGGCCAGCGGCGCCCCTGGACGCGCCCCCCCGCCCGCTGCACCGAGGCAGCCCCGCCCCGCCCCGCCCGGCGAGCAGGACCGAGCTGGACGCCCCGCAACATGAGCCCGTCTGGAGACACCGCCCAGACCCCGGTGAGGTCAGCACGCTGACTGAGCGCTGACGAAACAAATGGCGCTGGTCTTACAATAAGGCAAGGCAAAAGGACGTCCAGCCATTCAAGAGCTAGTTCAAAAAAATCAGTAAAATAGATTTTTGGAAAATCAAAAATACCATCCATACTTTGAATAACGTTATCGTGCATTCTACTGATATATAAACCTCTAAAAAAAATTTCAGGTGGCACAAACTCAATTTGTAATGACAGAAGAGATAAAAACCATTTTGATTTAATTTTAATACCATACAGTGAAGTTAATTTTCTGTTCTGATTATTCTAAACAAAAAGGCTAACGAGGGACAGGCATCCACCACACCGGGTTCCTCAATAAGCACTGCCCAAGGCACCCAAAGGACTGACGCATTGTCAGGGTTTGAACCCTCCAGACAATATTTTATTGGTTTTATGTCTCCTTTTTCCATTTGCACTTCTATTTGTAAAACCAGTTTCCTTTTTTGGTACAACTCTCAACTACACAGAAAGAGACTTATGTGTGTTACCTTAGAAGCTGTAACTGCTTTATCCTTCTTTCACAAAGACACTAAATTGAGAAAGGATTTAATTAGACACTTCCCCTAAAATAAAAAAGGGAGAATGACCAACCTAGGCATTATCTGAAAATGGGATAAACTTTTTTCCTTTTATTCAAAAGTGACTACACATTGTCAGTATATTCTTTTTAAGTAATGATATGAAAAGAAAACGCTCACCTATAATTTAAAATGTTTGAAATCTGCTCTTGGTAAAGTCAACAGAATCAACAATCAAATCTAAATACTTCAAAGCCTTTGTGTGGCCATAAATGGCCACATCACAGAGCCCTGGACACAGCCCACAACAGCAGTCTCTGGTACCCGCCACCACCCGTTACCTCAGTCAATGCAAAGTTACAGCATTTACTTCTGGATCAGCTCACATTCAATTTGTAAAATCCTGTCTTTTTTACAATAAAAATACAAACTGATCCCAAACATTAAAGTACATCTGTGCATTAAATCCCTGCACATCTTGAATAAAGTAGAAAAAAGTCAGACATGTTCTAGTGCTCAATGTAAACATCCTGAACTAGTAATTATTTATTAATGTTCCTTAAAGGTACTTAGGAGTGTATGTCACACAGTCAAAGTTAACTTTAGTAAATAGCACCATGACCAAAAAAAACCCATAAAAATGATCCTATTACCCTTCATTTCTTCACTTCATAATATACGAAGCTACCACTGTTCGCCATGCTTCCAAAGTCACCAGGCCATTCTTATTTTTTCAGATGAACCCAAAGTCCTCTCCTATACACAAGTGTATAACCATTTTGAATAAAATGAATAATTAGCAATTGGTTGGCCAGCCCAGTCAATGACCAGTTACATCAATCCCAAAGGTAAGAACGGTCTACTGATGAAGCCTACATGGTCAAAGCATCACTTGAGCAAAAGAATTTACGTATGAATGTAGTCCACATTTATTTATGGATTTTTTTGGTACCTTTTTGCAGACGATGGTAAACATGGAGTTATAACCCTGAGAATAGATAAAAAACAGAAGCTTAAGAAGAATTTAAATAAATTAATGGATATGACATCTACCACCATTTTTTAAAATTAGGGAAGTAAAGAGCATTCTATTCTTTTTTTCAAGCCAACAGTCAAGGTGATTATCCTGAATCAGTCTGTCCACTGACACGCGCTTTGGGGAGAAGCGCAGCACATTCTGAAGTGGTGAGCGTGCTCTAACCCCCCAAGGAGGGCACGTGCCCACTGTCTCAGCAGGTGATGTCCGAAGCACCCGCCCCTCACATCAGAGTAGAACAAGGACGCACCTCCCTTACCATGGCAACGGAAGAGATAACTAACACGTAAGAACACTTAAGAACATTCTCTAACACTGATATCAGAGTCTGATGCTTTTCCGTATCTGCCACCTTAAGGATACACAGGAGAAAAGGGGTGATTTGTCTGAAACCAAACACAGTGAGGGCCAATAAATAAAGGTGGAGTACTGCAACGTACCCCTGAGCTGAAAATGTGTAAACCATCTGCACAAGTCCACCCTCAGGCACGAATGAGCTAGCAAGGAATGGCCCCAACGCTGTGTGGAGTCGCAGAACCTATCATCAAGTAAAAATATTTGGCTCGAAAATAAGTATACTATGGTACTTGATGTGATGAAGTTTCATTCTAAATGGATTCCAAAATTACTTTCCCACTGAACGTGACAGGCGCTTACATTTAGGTTAGAGGTCACTAGTAAAAATACACTTAGTTGCCCCAGCAAAGGATGCAAGGGATTGCACATGGCAGCAGTAGCTAAACAAAGACATGAGAGGAACACGCAACTACTTTCCTAAGTAGATGAGACTGCAATTGCACTCTTAACAAAACTCAACAATTTCCACAGAAATAGGGGGAAACTACATATAATTTAAATACTCTTATAGCCCTGTCCACTCTAGTAAAGAACACACGTTTCCTATATCTAAGGCACACAAACTCCTCTATTTCACAGAGTAAGACTATGGAAGACCAAGATTTGGTTGAATCTCTTACATGGAAACCAGATCATCTTGGAAAGACAAATCGTATTTTGTTAGTGCACAATTCAAAAGAAAATGCTAGGACTAAGGTCTGGCCTTAAAGATTTAAAACATAAAGTCAAAACATTAAAAAAAATATTTTACCAGCACTTTATAAATTCAAGTTTATAAAATAAAAGTGATGTTATTTTCCTTGAAAATAGAGAGAAAGAAGAGCCAACAGCATTTGGAAAGAAAACGACTGAATCTGGGAGAACGCACTGGGCCGTGGGGCCGGGGAGGGGAGCCCTGGCGGCCACGCCTCCCGGGACGCGCTGTCCTGCGCACACGACGTCCTCGAAGAATCTGTAAACATAGGTCCTGTGAAACTGTCACCTACAACAGGACAGGAGCAGACAGCCACCGAGCAAGGAATTCAGAAAGGAACCGCACGACATGCGCTCGTGAGAGTAATGCTCGTCGGTGCTGGGAACCGGGGTGTCTAGTGTTTAACAAACTCCGAACTCGCGGCGTGTAGTCAAATACTGTCAAAGCAGATCTGCCCCCAAAATGAAGCATATTTTGGCACCTGTGCTGGACGCTGCTACAAAGGCAAGCACGTGCAAATAAAAATAACAGTCATGATTTAGTCACATTCATAACTTTTCATAGAAAAATATAAATATATTCCCTGAATTGTAGGACAAAAAATAATTTCAACCACCAGCTTTCACCATCAAGCCCAGTCCATTTCCTCTTCAAATGAACTGGTTTTCCCTCAAGGTCATAAGGTGCAATCATCAAAATCTATTGCGTTTTCTAAGCCCCTGTCGTCGTCCCCATCGTGGTACCTCACGGTCCTCCGCCCCTGGTTTCTGGTTCTGATCCTGGACCGCCGCAGGGCCCGGCGGGGCTTGGCGCAGTCCGAGTCCTCCCAGTCGTCATCGTCGGCGTCCAGCCGGGGACGTTTGCTCTGCCGCTGCTGTCTCACGCTCCTGGGCGCGTTAGGCGGGCCAGGTTTCCCTCTGCTGACTGCTTTTGCTTTTCCTTTCGTTTTCCTCTTTTTGGGTTTTGTGTCCTCAGGACAGTCCACGTCGGATTCAGTGTCAGACCCCAGATCTGAGTCGGACCGTGGCCCAGTGTCATGGCCACACTCTGCACCCCCCGCCGTCTCGGAGCTCCTTGCGCTGCCAGGCCCCGGGGGAAGTCTCTTCCTCCCCGGCTCTGAGCCCGCTACCTCCTCAAGCACCCCCGTCTTGCTGAAGGGCACCTTCCCGTAGGTCCTGAGTCTCCTGCCGTTCCACCTGCGCAGCCCGTAGTTCAGCTCCTCCTCAAAGTCATTCTCTGCAGTAGCTTTTTGTGCCAAAGTTGATTCAGAAGGTTTTCTACCCATCTCTGCCCCTGGAATATGGCTTTTTGAAGCTTCCTCTGAAGACCCCGCCAGGGAACTCTTTGTTTTAGAAGGTGCAATGTTTGCTTTGTGGCGATGCATATCCCCATTTCCGTGTTCTGGATCCACTGCGCCTCCAGAGTCGGAGCCCGCATCGCCGGCCTCCTCAGCACCTCCGGTGCTGCTTCCTGGGGCGGCTCCAGGTGGCTCCCCGGCGCGGGCCTGTTGCCCACCGGGCCCTGCACCCTGTCCATCTCCCTCGGAATCACTCCCCATCTTCTTAGTTGTGACACATGCAGAAGGGGGGGGCTTCTTCCTCCCATTTCTGCTCCTAGTATAGACACTGTATACACTGACGCCCTCCACATCACCCAGGAGCTTGGCCTCGCTGGCAGTGGGAGCTACCCGCCTTCGGGGTGTCCTTGAGGGGCAGCTCTGGGCCTTATTCTTAACCACCTGGGAATTGCTGTCGGAGCCACTGGAGCAGACCCTCTTCCTGGAGACTTTCCTGTTTTGTCCAGGGTCTTGCGATGCAGAATCTAAAAACAAAAAGCATTGCTTTAGTCTTTCCTTTCTCCCCCTCCGCCCACCTCTCAGTCTTTAATAAAGAATAACTAAGTCTAAAGGAGTGACATGACAACATTTTAAGCAGCTTAAATGCAGAACTGGTAATAACTAGGGAGGAGAGGCAATGAGAGTCTGGAGCCAGGATCTCCGCCTCAGCACACTCACAAGGGAACCCCACCGTTTGCACCTAGCAAGAGACTAGAAGGCAGAGTATCTTATTTTCAACAAGACAGACTAAGTTCTTTCCCGCTGCACAAACATATGATCACTCGCTCTCACCCTTCCTGAAACTGAACTCCACAAGTTCCAATTACACCATCTACTTTGAATCTTAGCTTTAGCTGCCTGTGCCTTTGAATACTTTTCATGACTCCCCATTCCCCAGCAGTACAATCTTAATTCAGCAGATGATTTCACCTCTCTGTGTGTCCGTGTTATCATCAGGAAACTGCACAACAGTAATAGTAACTCCCCTGAGAGACTGAACTGCTCTCACGGGAAGCACTCAAAACAGCGACTGGAGACAGAAACCACTTGGCCCCCCACGCGGCTGCCACTGCAAGGATCACATATACCACGTGCCTTTCGGCCAATCTTACCTACCCTTCTTCCTCTTCTCAAACTGCTACGACCACAGCTTAGAAATGAGCTTGCCTCTGCTCTTCACAGACCCACAGCCAATGCAACTGCCCTTCACCCATGCGAGAAGTGAAATCTTTAACAGAAGTAAGGCCACGCCTGCCCGGTGGAGGAACCAAGCCATGCCCCAACAGCTACACATGCACACAGGAGTGGAGGGAGGCCCACAAAAGGCTAGTGGAGGATGCACTGGTTGGAGAAAAAAGTTGGCAAAGAGAAGTTTTGTGGGATGGGGAGCGGGAGGGGGACGCCACACAGAAAGGAGACTCAATCAACACCGAGGCTCAACGTACTCAACTACCTTTCGTAAATCGACTCTGTTTTCTTTTAGTTTTGTCATCAGAATCCAAATCCGTCTCAAATACGTGATCTGAGAGACGCTGGGACGCAGCCGGAGGCCCACGCTGCCCACGCCCTGCGCTGTGGCTCGCTCCCGCTGCCTGGTGCCCGTCACCGCCTCCGTCCCGCTCCTCAGATTCCAAGCCCTCCGAATCACTGAAAATGGTTGCTTTTTTAAGGAAAGCCGCACTCTTGCGACCCGTATTCTGTTTCCTTCTGGCACATTTTCCTGGTTCAGAATCTGCCTCCTCTTCCTCAGAAACACTTTCTGCCTTGAGTCTCTGCCCAGAGGTCGACGGGCCAGCAGCAGCGTCATGTCCACTGTCTGAACCATGACCGAGGGAGTCCTCCTCAGAAGACTCTATTTTGAGAAATTTGGTTTTAGAAGCGGCTGGGGCCTGGGACCTGTAGCCATTAGTGTGCCAGTTTTTCCGGGCCACCCGCAAATCACTTTCTGACTCAGAATCCCCGTTTTCAGATCCATCGGCCGTATGCTGGGCAGGACGGGACTTGGAACCTGGGGTTTGTCGACTCTGATCTTTGGGCTCCTCATCTTCAATTTCTGACTTTAAGCTCTGGTCATCCTCCGAATTGTGTAACAGCTTCTTCCTAGCGACAGCAGAAGCATTGCGGTGCGGCACCCTTCGGCCGGAGCAGGCGCTGGCAGAGCTGGAGTTCTCCTCGGCGTCGCTCATGAGCTTGATCTTGTTGGCAGCCACCGCCGCACACCTGCGCAGCACCTTCCGGCTGCCCCCAGCTCTGGCCATCAGGCCCTCGCCAGCCTCCCCCGAATTGTTATCAGAATCACTTAGATAGACCCTCTTCCGCGTGGCTTTTCGGCCACATCCATTTTCCAAAGAAACTGGACCTAGAAATAGAAATAACAGTAAGATTAGGAAGGTCTTCTTCTTTCAACTTCTAATAACTTTATTATTTTAACTCTCATGTACCTTACTTTTCAATGTGAAAATCAATCTTCTTTCTTAATTTAGAAAGCCAGAAGGCTACTGCGTCGTGTGTAGACGCATCAAATAAATCAATGCACCATTCCAAGAGCAGCTCCTACACAGTCTGATGTATACTGCTCCCCAGCACCCCGAGCCTTCTCACCAGTTTTCCTCTGGGCGGCTCTGGTTCTGGGTACCCGGAGGCTGCTGCTCCTGGCTGGGCCCCCACGCAAGAAAGCGTCACGAGCTCTTGAGCTTGCTCTGCTTTCCTCAGAGCTATTTGAAGCTGAAGATGACGACGAAGTGCCCAAGGTGTCTTCCATTTCACTTTCTAAGAAAAGCAGAACAGCGACAGTTGTGTATGTATTTTCTATTTTTACACACTAAGCAATTATTTTATAACAAAAGACTAAAAGCAGATTCTTAAAATACTGAGAGTACATTTAAATTGCTCCAAAGAAGAGCTGATTAAATGTTGGTATTCAAATGGTACATACTCAGCATTATAAATCAGATTTATTCTTTCATCTCTGGAAGCAATGTAATAATCATGATTTGAATTTAGAAAAAATTTTATATATTTTATAAACTTCCATTTAAAAATTTGGGGCCTCCCCGGTGGCGCAGCGGTTGAGCGCAGGGTTACGAAGCTGCCCACGGCCTCTGCGGCGCCGGTTCGACCCCGGCTGCTCCCCGGCCACCGGAGGAGGGTCCCACATGGCGCGCAGACCTCTCCTGCTGCCCGCTGCTCCCCTCAGCAGTGTACTTCGGTCCTTCTGCCTGCTCTGCTCCCCGCTCTGGCTCTGGTGAATTCTCTCACCCTCCCACGCTTCTGACTATACCCAGTGCATGTATAAACAAACAAACAAACAAACAAATAAATAAAACATGCCTCCATAAAAAAAAAAATTAGAAAAAAAAAAACATTAAAAATTTAATGAGCCCCACTACCCACTTCCTCCTGCTACATGACACAGGTTATTTTCAACAGAAAAACCACAATCATTTCAAGCCCAACACTCAGTAGACGTACTGCTGGGTCTCTCTCCAGTAACCCTGCCTCACAGCACAGCTATGCGGACAAGCTTTCAGCTCAAGAAAGGTCCTTTTCACATTTTCCACCAAAACGAAGGTAGCAAACGTGAGATAAATAATGTAAATACTCCAGGTCACTCCCCCACTTCCCATCAACATGTGCGTGCCCGGTGCAAGCAGAGCCATGTCCTCAGTTTCTTCATCCAAACTCATTTCTTCACATTCCAGTCACAGAATGAAAATTGAGTGGGAACAAACATTGTTGGAAGACAAATGTTTGCTCTATAACACAACCCACTCTATCAGAGAAAGGAGGGCTGTGTCAGAAGGACTGGCCGCCAGAGTGCCCGTCTCCCCAAAGCACAGTGCTGCCTGCAGGCTGCCCTGTTCACTGTTTGGCACATGGACCGTTTGCCAGAGTCCTCCCTTCCTGCCTCTCGCCATCAAACTGGTCCGTCTTCTTGAAGCAGAAACCATCCTTTGAGCACGACTCAACACGGGTTCAGGCTATTAATCCAGATCCTTCTATGAAGCTGGCCATTCTGTAAGACACGGCTGCGCTCTCCCTGTCTGCTATCACTCTAAATCACAGCAGTACTCACAGCATCACCACAAGGGACAAGACTGCCACAACCTCAGGTGCACAAGGCTGACAAAGGACCACACCAGCTCGTTACAAGCACCACCAGGAGACACAGACATTTACTCTGCCATGAGCTTAAAATTTACACAAAGACCATGCCTTTTTTTTTTTTTTTTAAATTTAAACAGGGCCTCCCTAGTGGTGCAGGGGTTAAAGATAACAGTCTAGCAAGCTATCGCCCGCCACTGCAGCACGAATTTGATCCCAGGCTGGCCAGGGAGCAACCCACATGGCGCAGCAGACCTCTCCTGTTTCCCTGCTGTTCCCCTCAGCAGTGTATTTCAATAGATTCATCTGCTCTGCTCCCTACTCTCTGATGAATCCTCTCACTCCCCCGCATCTCTGGTCTACACCCCAGTTCTTGTATGCATAAATAAATAAATCCTAAAAAAAATAAAATAAAATTTAAGCAAACACAGAAACATGAAATTTTACAAAATGTAACATCTATATAGTTTAGAAAGTTCAAATTTGCATAAACTTGCTGCACCATTTGCAAAGTACAGTACTTTATATCACTGTAGAATATCATTTGTTATTGCTGTCTCTTCTGTTGAATCCTAATACTTCCTTGAATGTCAAGGCCATGTCCTCTCTCTACACACACAGTTACTTATGTCAGGTAATGTTGCACCACTTCTCACCAGATAACGTGGAACCATTTGTCAGTGGGACGGGCCTGTTTCCCCTCCTCCTCTCTGATGATCCTACTGAATCCGAAGAGTCAGAAGTAACCCCTGAAGACGCGCTTGCACTCGACCTGTGGCTTGCAGAATCAGCTGCCCGGCTGGAGGTAGACTGGGTAGGAGAGCTGATCAACTCCGGAATTACTTTTGTCTGAGATTTTAACCGCCTCTGCTTGTTATTTCTGGTTGAAGATATGAGCAAAGGAAACAATATTTAATAAACCATAAAGGTAACTGCTACACTAAGTTAAAATGCACCATTTTTAATGTATTATTTCTTAATATTCTGAGAAAAACTTTATGACCGAGACATTAAAACATTCGTTACTGACATCTTATTCTGCTATGGATTACTGTTAATACTCTCTTACTCTAAATTTGAAATGATTTTATTCTGAACTGGACTATGAGCAAATGACCAAGTAACAGAGAAAAATCGTAATGAAAACCTTTGGTTCTTTGTATTTAATGCTAAGGGGAGTCAACATTTTTGTAATACAGAAATTCATTCACATTATGAATTTGGGTCTCAACATGAAGTGATTTCCCCACTAATCTCCTCTTAGATGGTGCTAATGACCACAGAATTAGAGAAGAAATCAACAAAACCCAAACAGAAATAACAGAGCCAAGAGAGAGATCAGAAGCTATTTTTTTCTAAGACAAAACTGGTTACATCTAAGAGCTGATTCAACAACTTTGGCCTTGAGCCATGAATTATGGAGGAGGAACAGAAAAATAAGACAAAATAATCTCAGGCTTTAAATTATAGCTGTGGGTAACATTCATTGTGAGATAATCCTATTTTCCTTTAAACCAAAAAGATAAAGGAATTTCTAAAGAATAGGGCTCATGTAAGGCATGAGCTCAGAGAAAATCACAATTTTTTAAAGCAGTGGTTAAGCCTGTTATGTCAGAATTTCAATTTCTATTAAGATCCTGGAGGCCTCCCTGGTGGTGTGAGGGTTAAGACGCAACCTACGAAGCTATCCACAGCCACTGCTACACAAATTCCATCCCCCGGCCAGGGAGATACCCACATGGCACAGCATACCTCTCCTGACTCGCCTGCTGCTCCCCTCAGCAGTGGATTTCAGTCAGTCTGCCTGTTCTGCTCCCCGCTCTGTCTCTGGTGAATCCTCTCACCCTATCACCTCTGGCCTGGGCCCCAGTTCTTGTATGCATAAATAAATAAATCTTTAAAAAAAAAAAAAGATCAACTGGAAGGCAGACCAGGTGAATAATATACCTCAAGAGTGAAAATGTTCCTTTTTTACATATGTCCTTCTGAACTATTAAGATTTTTCCTTGGTTCAAAGAAAAAAGATTTTTCTTTAATAATTACACAAAAAATATTATACAATAATAGACAAACCCAAACTGATTGTGTCATTTTATAAAATGACTGGCCCACACATTTCAGAAGTGTCAATCAAGAAAACAACGACTCAAAGTAAAATTCTACATTTAAACAGACATAACAATGAAATGCTATGTCTGAATGGGGGAGGGAAGTGTGCCCTAACCACATTTATTGTGTCTACTGAAAAATAAATGCAGTAGTGTATATATACTTGTGGATAAAAGAGCATGATGTTGTCAACTAGTAATAAACTGAATTTATTAAAAAAAAAAATCACAAATGGGGACACTGAGCCTGGGGAACAGCCCCCAGAGAGACTGGGAAGTTGTCCCAATTTTGGGGTTCTCAGTGAGAATCACAGTTATTTCAAAGATTTTTGGAGATACAAAATTTGGGCAAGGGTCTGGTTACTGTATGCACTGAGGAAAACAAAGAAAGTTGCTAAAATATACTTATGTACCCTATTATTGAGCCTTATCCTCTAAGACATGGGGGTTAGGCCATATACTTGAAGCTTCTCTTTCTTTGAGGAGACTGGTGTGCCTAAAGGCAGAAATCTTCGCAGCACTAGGCCTGTCTCCTGGCCTTACATCCCTATGTTGGGCTAGGGGTGTACCCTCTTAATTGTTCATAATGTCAAAAATATTTTGATTTAAAAGAAAAACATGGAATGAAAAACAGAAAAACAAATGTGATATAATGGGTGAATATGGGTCAACAGTATGCAGAAGTTCTTTGACTTATTCATGTTTTCTAATTCTAAGATTATTTCACAATGAGAAATCTTAAAAAGTGATGGGGAAGGGGGGCTTAACTATTGTGTTTCTTGTACTTGAATTGCAGGTCTAAGCACAGCTCAAGAGGACTAAGCCAGTCACCTACACGGTATGCTTTTCTGTTTCAATGTGGCTCTCATACTCTATAAAGTCTGGGCTGTGGGGGCTTCAGCAAATCCTCACCCTAAGAGCAAATAAAACCAGCAAAATAGTCCAAAACCATCTCAGAACCCTAGACAGTCATTACAGGCACATAAGCAGTGTTTCTGGTAGAAAAACTGAATCAAAGTACAAACAGTGGAGTCCTTAGCATTTTAATTTGGGGCTGCACCCAAGCACAATGCATCCCAATCTGTAGCAGTGTGGCCTTGATGGCAGATGGGCAGGAAGAGGGAGCTGGCCTTTCTAACCCGCCACCCACACCTCCGTCAGGCCAACAGCAGGGCTGCAGAAGGCCGGGACGCAGTCACGGTGAGCAGGACCCAGGCAGGAACTCAAAGGACAGACCTAGGGAAGAAGGTGGTCACCCACAGAGTCTCTGAAAAGCTCCAACATCTTCCTAGGCTTGTCAAGGTTCTACACATCCTTTAAGGAAGACAGGACAGTTACTACTCACCCCCACTGAGCTTGAGACTCATGTGTCTGGCACAAGTGAAGCTCGCCCCACCTTGCAGAAAGGGGAAGCCTTACTGAAGTGTCTAGGTGGGAACCTGTGACCACTGAGCGATGCTGAACCAGGGAATACAAATCGAAAAAACACTTTTTCTCAGAATCATGGGAGACTTCAGTGGCTAGACACTGTGGGGAAGACAGACTGCAGGGCTGGCCTAAGCAACCCATGAAACAAAACTAGCAACCCCCACTGCAGGGGAGTGGGGGGGGCAGAATCCAGAGTTGCTACAAAACATAAACAGTAAACAGCAACAACAAAACCTGGGAGAGAGGATCCATGAGAAGAAACAGGGACCACCAGGAAAGGCAATTACCCGGGAAGATACTGTCACTGTATGGGCAATCCTGTATTCTTTTCTTAACTGATTTCAAAGAAAATTGTATGAAATACAGAGATGTCACCCATAAGGCAACAGCAGAAAGAAGGTAAACTAGAACAAAAAATTTCAATGTATGGGAATCAAATAGAGTTGATGTGAAGCAGACTGTTTTGAATCGAGATGCAGTGTAAGTCCCATCAAAGCCTGTGGAGGGCACAGCACAGGGTTCAGATGTCCTTACAGCCCCCTCATAGCAGCGAGGCTCGTTCTCCCCAGCCCTCAACAGCCACCCAGAGTAACTACTTTAATCTCTGCATTAAAGAATTTCTGGACTCGTTTCCCTGCTCTGGGATCTATTAGCTCCTAAACAGTCTGGAACAGTCTAACAAGTGCAAGAAGTTTCTGTGAGGGTCAAATGAAATAATAAAATGGATAGGGCCTCCCCGGTGGCGCAGCAATTGAGCGCCGCGCTGTGAAGCTGTCTGCAGCCTCTGCAGCACCGGTTCGCTTCCCCGCCGGCCAGGGAGAACCGCACATAGCTTGGCAGACCTCCCCTGCCTCGCCCGCTGCTCCCCTCAGCAGTTTCTTCGGTCTGTCTGTCTGTTCTGCTCCCCGCTCTGGTGAATTTTCTCACCCTCCCGCGCTTCTCACCTGTACCCCAGTTCTTGTATAAAATAAATCTTTTTTTAAAAAAATAAAATAAAATAAAATGGATAGAGCTTAATATTAATGAAGCACATTACAAGTTAAACGAAATAAAAGCATCCTATAAGAGTTGATTACGTGGGCCTCCCCTGCTGGCGCAGCGGCTGAGCGCAGGGCTGCGAAGCTGCCTGCAGCCTCTGCAGCACCGGTTCGATCCCCGGCCACCAGCGAGGGTCCCACATGGCGTGACAGGCCTCTCCTGCCGTGCCCATTGCTCCCCTCAGCAGTGTATTTCTTTAGTCTGCCTGTTCTATTCCCCGCTCTGGCTCTAGTGAATTCTCTCACCCTCCCGTGCTTTTGACTGTACCCAGTGCTAGTATAAATAAATAAATGAATCTTTAAAAAAAAGAAAAAAAAAAGGGAGTTGATTACGTGAGGTCAACAATACTTTAATCCTTGGAGATTTTAAATTTTGATGCTCATTAAACACCCATGAATTTATATAGTTACATCAATACTTCAGCTCTATGTTCACAGATACTTGCCAGACTAAGCTTTTCTTAGTGTCGTCTCTGAAATGATTAAGAACAACTAGCTTCAAAAAAAAAAAAAAATCAGAGGCATCACGACTTGAAAATTAAACAGCTTCACACACTAAAGCCCACAGTAACCCATTACCTGCTCGTGTTAGCCTGGCTGGCACGGGTACACTTCTGCCGTCTCTTGAACCTCTGGCTTCTTCGAAGTTTTTCACTAAATTTTTGACCAATTTTAAAATCAGAGGAGATTTTCTTCATTTTTTCTTCAAATAAGGCAGACAATCTCAAGGTCATACTATAAATCTGCAAGGACATGAAAACAAAAACTAGAACTACAAATATCTTTAAAAAGATTTTTACCAAAAAAAAAAAAACTAGTCATGGAGGCAATGTGCAAGGCACCACAACCCATCAGGTAACAGCCGAGACTTGTCTGACCTTCCCACCCCTTCCCTGCAGCGATGTCTGCAAAAGGGAGAAAAATATATGCCTCTCATATGTAAAGTAAGTAAAGCAGATCCTTGACCAGGTTGGGGGGAGTCACAGAAGAGGTGCTGACAACCCCTACACAATCCACATAACCTGCGACTGCCCCCAAACCTAACTAATGACCTGCTGCTGAGAGAAAGTTTTACAGCTAACAGCCGGTCACCATTCAGTTTATAGACTATAGATATGACGTACTATAGTCTCACAATAAAGCTAGAAAAAAGAAAATGTTGTTAAGGAAATCATAAGGAAGAGAAAACACATTTACAGTAGTGCACTGTTATCAATACTGTAAGTTTAACTTGTTTATAAGGAAATCCATGTATATAAATTGGACCCACAGAGTTCAAACCTGTGTTGGTTCAGGGCAACTATAGTAGCTAATTAAGCAACTCCCCGTAACTTAGGGCTTAGGTATCTATGTTAGAGCTCATACTTGGTTTTCCCCACTTCCCACCTATAGGTATGACAACCCCCTCCACCAAATGGCCCCTTCACTCAAGTCACAGAGGAAGCTGGTTTTTGTTTTTTTAAAGATTTTTATTTATTTATGCATACAAGAACTGGGGTGCACGCCAAAGGTGCAGGGAGTGACAGGACTCACCAGAGACAGTGGGGAGCAGAACAGGCAGATCTACTAAAATATACTGCGGAGGGGAGCAACAGGTGAGACAGGAGAGGTCTGCTGCGCCATGTGGGTCAGCTCCCTGGCTAGGGATTTAACTCATGCTGCAGTGGCTGTGGACAGCTTCACAGTGCTGAGACTTAACCCCTTGAGCCACCAGGGAGGCCCCCAGAAGCTGGTTGGTTTGAACACTGCTGTTCAGGCAGAAAAGCAGGGTCCCCTTGGGAGGGCCACCAGCACTTCCACCCTGTCTCTACTTGTGTTCTTACTGCCTTTGATACCACTCAGATGCAAAAGGGTAGCCTGAATACAGAAGAAAATATGCCCCACGACTATTACATAAAGAGTTATAGGAATCCCAGAAGGTGAGTAGAAAGACAAAGGAACCTATAAACTATTCAAGGAGATAGCTGAGAACTTCCCAAGCATGGAGGAGATGAAAATAGACAAACAGGAAGCTAGAAGACCAAATTACCACAATGAAAGGAAAACTTCACCAAGACACATAATAGTAAAGTTTCTAAGAGTCCAAGACAAGGAAAAAATAATGAAGCTGACAAGGGAGGAAGAAACAGGTAACCTATGAAGGAAAATCAATCAGGCTGACATCAGACTTCTCTGAAAAAAAACTACAGTCAAGAAGAGAATGGAGTGACATATTTACCAAACTCCAAGTCAACAAATGCCAACCAAAACTACTTTACCCAGTAAAGCTCTCCTTCCTCTATGAAGGATAAATAAGGACAACCTCAGACAAACAGAATCTCCAGAAACTGATTACTACTAAACCCCCACTCCAAAAATTATTACAATAAGCCCTAAAGCTAAACCCAACAGAGGAATAGACAGGGAGAACAGAATAAGCTAAGGAATAGAATAACAAAAACACAAACAAAATGGCAAAAATTATAGGAGTCAATGTACCAATATTAACCCTAAATGTAAATGGACTAAACTCATCAATAAAAAGAGACGGAGTAGCAGGCTGGATTGAAAAAAACAAAATCCAACTTTCTGCTGTCTCTAGGAAACACAATAAACTCTAAAAGATAAACATAGACTGAAAGTAAAAGGTTGGAAAACAATCCTACAAGCAAATGGACCAAAAAAGAAGGCAGGAACAGCTATACTAGTATCAGATGAAATACACTTCAAACTAAAAAAGGTAAAAGTAGACATAGATGGTCCCTACATTATGATTAAGGGAACAATACATCAGGAAGATATAACACTCCTCAAAGTATACTCACCAAAGGAAGAAGCACCAAAATATATCAGACAATTAATTATTACCAGCTCTGAAAGCAGACATTAGAGAAAACACATATGTAGTAGGAGACTTCAACACCCCACTCTCACCAATGGACAGATCAACGAGACAAAAAATAAACAAGGACACAAGAGCCCTAAAATAAGGACCTAGACCTCATGGGCTTCACATATATCTATAGGACACTGCACCCAAAAAAATCTGAGTACACATTTTTCTCAAGTGAGCACAGATGATTCAAGGAGGCAATTTGGATGTTGAATGTAATCAAAGAGCTCTCAAATTGAGACCGGAATTAAGAATGCAGGGGGAGGTCCTCCCCTGTTGGCGCAGGTGGTTGAGCGCTGCGCTGTGAAGTTGTCCACAGCCTCTGCAGCGCTGGTTCAATCCCGGCAGGCGGGCGAGGGCCCCACATGGCGCGGCAGACCTCTCCTGTCGTGCCCACTGCTCCCCTCAGCAGTATATTTCATCAGTCTGCCTGTTCTGTTTCCCGCTCTGTCTCTGGTGAATCCTCTCACCCTCCCAGGGTGGGGTACAAGAACTGGGCCTGTACCCTAGTTCTTGTATAAATAAATAAATAAATCTTTAAAAAAAAAAAAAAGAAAAGAATGCAGGAGTAGCCTGATAAGCAGAGACAGTGAAATTAAGGCAAAATGGCTAATTAGTAGTAACAGTCGCTAAAGACAGAGAAAGTGCTATGAAATCAAGCAAGCACTCTGCTTTGAAATCTTCTCAAAATACTGCTTTTGTTTTTATTGCTCAAGACAGTGACTTCCAGGATCTATGCTCTCAGTGAACCTTCACTGACAGCACATATACTTTTCTGTATTGTGCTTCAACAGTTCTGAAAAGTCACCCAACACACAACACTTCAACAAAATTTAGGAATGTACTCTCTACTTGTGTTCCTGATTGGTGCATGTACTTCTCTCCAGATCCAAAACTTAGTATGCCATCAGTAGGCCTAGCCCACATCAAATTTCCCTTTCCTTTCAGTCTCTAGCACATAAGCCTCCAATCCATGTTTCAAGATTCCCGTATGTATGAAAACAGATTTTTCTCATGCTGTGTACCAAATTCAGATTATTTGCTCATTTTTTTACAATTGGGTTGGTGCCCTCATTCACACCAATCCTTGTTTATTTACAAAACTTTAGGAAAGAGAGACATCAAAGACTGTAAGGTTAGAGCAGATATTTGGTCAGTGGCATCAGCTCTATTCTTAGCAAGTCTTACTCACTTGTATTAAATACTCCAACCTGAAACCAGTGGATGGAAAAGTTGTTATCTATATACATCACGCATACTATCTTAAAATATAAACCACCTTTAAAATTACCTTTGATCTTTTGTTTGGTGTGTATGCCTTCGCGTTGCTGAATATCAAGCGAATGTCTTTGCAGAACTCCAGAGGGCTATCATAATTTCCTGCTTCTAAGGTCTCCCTGACTGTTCCAAAATCCATCGGGGTATCTATGATATCTCGGTAGTCCTGAGTTTTAAAAACAGTAATTAGTTCAAAGAGTCTTCCTGCTTTTAGACAGGTAATAGCATCAGAACTGAAAAATACTCAAATTTAAGACAAAAGGTTAGGCCCTCCAAGGACCAGACAGACAAGAAATATACCAAAACGCTACACTTGGCAGCAGAATATGAAACTGTTTCCTTCTTAATACTCTTCTGTAATTTCCGAGCTTCCTACAGTAAATTTCTGTTTTATAATCAGATTTTTTTTTTAAAGGTCATTTCCATTTTCCGATCGAAGAGTGAAGACAATCTCAGCCAATCTATAGTTTCTGGGGCTGGGCCTGGTCACGTAACAGCCATGTGGAATCTGCCTGGTATTATGATACTTGTTAACAGTCTTAATTCTTTAATAAGCTACAAGGGTGTCTATAAAAACAGTGTAAACCACTCTTCTGCTGCTAACTCAATGGAAAGAGAGAAGGTGAACAGGAAGTCCAAATCTTACTCTTTAAAGTTTAATTTAAATACCTCTACCACAATCTCCTTTCCACAAAATGAGAAGCCCCAAACCTTCAAACAACAGAAACTTACCGGATATTCAACCAAATCAACAGGTTGTCTAAATGGTTCAGAATCTTCACACTGAAAAATTAAGTTCACTAGTTCCTTACACTGTTTCTTCCAGTTGTTTTCAACATAGCTGGTAGCTTTGATGTTCCTTGTACTCCAATCATGGATCTAAAAGCACATTCACAATATTAACAGGTTTTCAGTAATGCAAAATGACACACTATGTACTATGGCCAAAATCCAACTGTTATCTTCTGTAGTGTATCTTAAGACTGTGGCTACTGTAAAAAAATTTTTTTACTGTAATTTGTATCTACTTGGAAAAAATCCACTTTCCTGCAAAAATACAAAAACATCCCATTTATTACTGGAAAAACATCCTATTTCATTCCACCATTTCTTTCCTAAGTTGAGAAATGCAGTAAAACACTACACGATGTGACAGGCAGAATAATGACTCCCCATGTGTCCACATATCCTCATCCCAGAACTGTCACTGTCACAAGGCAACAGGGACTCTGCAAAGGCAACTCAAGGTACTGATCCTGCAACGGGGGACTGCATGGGCCCACCAATGCCATCACAAGGGCCTACGTGAGAGGAGGTGGGAGGGCCTGACACTAAGACCAGAAACACCGGGCTGCTGACCTGGAGATGGAAGAAGGGGCTGGGAGCCTCCTTGGGTGGGAAAGGCAAAGGGCCACATGCCCTTCAGTTTCCACAAAGGAGCACAGCCCTGCTGGCCCTGAGACTTTGGCCCTGAGGCCCGGGTAGCATTTCCGGTCCAACAGCAAGAGGAGTGATTGGGAGGATGGGGTCAACGAGAAAAGGAAATATGAAAATAAGTTTTGGATATTGGGTATTTAGTTTAAACATAGTGTCAGTATTCCAGTCACCACATTTAGAATGTGCGACAGAGGACACAACAAACACTAAATAGATGTTGAACACTTGGCCGTCTCTTTATGTTTATATATATATAAACATATATATATATATATATAAATAAAAATAACAATGATAACGTAATTCAAATCAAACTTTCAAAGTTATTTGGAGCAAGCATATCATGAAAACTAATGCTATAAAAAGCTTAAATATAAGCAGCATTTGAATGAAATTTAAAAGTTTACATTTTTCAGTATTTCAGACAACCTTTTTTTTTTTAAAGATTTTATTTATTTATACAAGAACTGGGGTACAGGCCAGATGGGCAGGAGGGTGAGAAGATTCACCAGAGACAGAGCGGGGAGCAGAACAGGGAGACTGATGAAAAACACAGCTGAGGGGAGCAGCGGGCGACACAGAAGAGGTCTGCCACGCCATGTGGGTATCTCCCCGGCCTGCCAGGATCGAACCAGCACTGCAGAGGCTGTGGACAGCTTCACAGCGCTGCACTCAAATGCTTGCGCCATCAGGGAGGCCCCAACAACCTTTACTTTTAATTCATATATAACATCAAAACTTCAAGAGGTGCTGATGACACATACCCACTATCCAAAACTTATTTTCATATTTCCTCTTCCTTAACCCCATCCTCCCAATAAATTCTCATTTTAATAAAAAGAATTAGGCACCAAATCCTACTAACATTCCCCTTAACTAGTCTCAACTTCTTTTCTTCCTCTCCGCTCTAATCCAGCACCTTAACTAGGCCCGGTCCTCCCATTATTCCTAGATTCCTACAATGAACACTAACCATACCTCTTTAATACTTGACCTTTTTATCCCTTGAAACCTATTTATCTTCTTTGTGCAATTGATTCTCTATTTCACTTATAAATGAAACCACTAGTTGTCACTATCACCATCCATTGTCCACCCAGCCCCAGTAAGGGTGGGGACTCACTAGCCAGTTCACATTCCTTACTTTCCTACATTTTCAATTGTGGAATATTCCCTACTTTTTAAATATTTTCTTCTTATTCTATCTCATTCTGAAAGCACAATTCTTAAAATCACAATTCTTCCACTAAGCCTTACCTAAATATCCATCATTCAGTGATTTCTCCCATTTCTCTAATAAACTATTTCTCTATCAATATAATTTTCAAAGACAATACCCAAAAGTATGGGTTGATTTTAAAAGGAAGAATAAACTGAAGTCAGTTAGGGAAATTAACTTACTCTCCTTCTTCCAGAAGATGTTTTAGGAAGATCACTATCATCCTAGAAATAAAAATCACAGCACCATAAGTGTTAAGATTCTCACTGAAAATAAATTATCTTAAAACATTTAGTCTTAAAAAAGTTATAGCTCACTAACAAAATCTCAAGAGACAGACTATCAGATGACCTCAGTGGCAACCATTTTAGTAGCCCTTTATAGTCCCTAATAACATGCACTAACTCCAACAAAGAGCTATAAAATGCTTCTCTGTGCATATCCTAAATATCCTAGATATTCAGCACATGTAAAAGCAACTTTTAAAATTGTTTCTGCTGAATTCGATTTATAATTTGCTACACAGCATTCATTGCAAATACTGAAGACATTAAACACCTGGGAATTGTTTATCAAGAATACAAGAATCACAATCAGATGACAAAATTCATAAAATCCCCAAAACACATGTCTTCTACTCTCTGTATTTCAAGCTCTACATAGCACCTCATTCCATATGCCACTCAGTAGCACCTTTTTATTCCAATATAAACTAGCATGAAAAGCAGCAAACTACAACAAACATTTGTGCAGAAATTGACACTATCTTCAAAAGCCGGCCTTCCCACAATTGCAGAGGAGAGCCTGACACCATGTGAAGTGCAAGTACACACCCCACTGGGACCGCCTTCGGGCACACCTCACCACCAGCTTAAGGAAAGACTTCAGGGTGCCTTGAACACAGTAAAACTAATTTTTAATTAAATTAACTCCAACAATCAGATAGTGTTTTAAGCAAAAATATTTCCAAGGTATTTCTTATAATACTCCTCATTCTAGCTGAAATTTGGAAACATATTGTACATTTAATTTATCCACTTAGACTTTTTCTTAAATTTATTGTCAGTTTCTAGCTAAAACAAAATATTCACTGATTATCTAAATAATTTAAAAATGTATTTTTGTCAAGTGCCTTGTTTTCCTATTTCACTGGAATACACCAAGAATTGATGTAGGTGACCAACATTTTCTATTTCAACTCTATTTTTAAGTTAACATTGAAAATTGACAAAAATCATTATAAAATTGACAAACTTCATACCAAGTCCTCGGCATTTTGCTCATCATTTTCAGAAGTATTAGAAAGTTCTGAGATATTTGTACATTCTTGATTCCTAAAAAACAATTTTTCACTTTTTTAACAGCATACAGATGTGTAATCAACTAATACAAAAATTTCAACCTACGTGTTAAGTACAACCCCCCCCCCCCCCCCACACACACACAAATTTTGTACACATTCCTACTCCAAGCAGATCCTCAAACTCCGTGAGGACAACTAATCATCTTAAAATTCTGAAAGTTGGGCCTCCCCGGTGGCACAGCGGTTGAGCGCTGGGTTGCAAAGCTGCCCACAGCCTCTGCAGCGCCGGTTCGATCCCCAGCTGCTACCCGGCCACTGGAGGAGGGTCCCACATGGCACGCAGACCTCTCCTGCCACCCGCTGCTCCCCTCAGCAGTGTACTTCGGTCCTTCTGCCTGTTCTGCTCCCCGCTCTGACTCAGGCAAATTCTCTCACCCACCTGCGCTTCTGACTGTACCCAGTGCTTGTATAAATAAAATAAATCTTAAAAAAAAAAAAATAAAGATGCTTGTTTAAAAAAAAAAAGAAAGAATTCTGAAAGTTTTCCAGGGTGGAGAATATGCAGAGGGAAGCTGGTGATCCAGTAACGTGGGCCCACCTGGATGCTGGCATGAGTTCTTCCAAGTCATGACAAGTAATAGCCACGAAGTCAGACAGGAATAAGATTGATTTGAGATAAAAGAAATAAAAATGAAAGCCCACTGTATCTTAACCTCACTGCCTCATGCAGAAGAATTAAGAAGTCTAAGTGGTGCCAGCCTGGCCTGCACAAAGGGGATGATGACAGGCGCTTTCCGAAGCAGAAACCAGCCAAATTCCCCACACACAGGACAGACCCAGCCCAGGACCGGAGACAGACATTTCTCTCTATTAGAGGTGGAAAATGACAAATTACCAAATTATCTTCCTTAATATGTGATTCCTTAATATGTAATTCCTTAATAAATGATTCCAGTCATTTTTCTAGCTATGGGGAAAAGGCATAAAGTACCATACAGTAAAACTCATTCACTTGAAAGGAAAGTGGCTGGGTCGACTGTCCAAAGGCACGAAGATGCTCACTGCAGAGGTCAGGTTAGACCCTGGGTCCCAACTTCCAGGTCCATTTCTTTTTTCCTTTTTTCCTTTTTTTTTTTTTATTTTTATATTCCCCATACAATTGCAACCCCCTTATTTTGACCCCAATCCCTCCTTCCCCACCTCCCCCCCATAGTGTGTCTCTGGTTCATAATTGTTTGTTGATTTTGATTTTTCTTTTTCTTTTAAGATTTATTTATTTATTTATACAAGCACTGGGTACAGTCAGAAGCACGGGAGGGTGAGAGAATTCACCAGACCCAGGGCGGGGAACAGAACAGGCAGACTGACAAAATACACTGCTGAGGGGGGCAGTGGGCATAGCAGGAGAGGTCTGTCACGTCATGTGGGACCCTCGCCCGTGGGGGCAGGGGATCGAACCGGCACTGCAGAGACTGGGGGCAGCTTCGCAGCCCAGCGCTCAACGGCTGCGCCACCAGGGGAGGCCCTTCCAGGTCCGTTCCTATCCCACCATTCCAAACTGATGTCCCAAAGCAGGAAACGTAGGGGCTAGTCAGACTTGCACAAACACTCTCCTGGGTACACTCCAAGAGTTAACAAGACTCAATCTAACTATGAGAAAACACTGGGGAGAAAACACCCCCAGGCCCAAATTAGATACATGCTACAAAGTAAGTATTCAACATTCAAGGAAAATGCTGAAGCCATGAAAGAACCTGGGGCTGAAGGAGACTAAGGAAACAAAGAGGCAATCCAGAGAGGACGGGGCTGCAAGCTGAGCCCATCCAAGGACACCCAGGAATTATCTGAGGAAATGCAGGAGGTTCCACACTGCAGCAACAGGAAGGCACCAAGGATGATTTCCTGGCATCTCCCAAGTGATGCCGTGCCTCCACAAAAGTGCTGACAGGGGAGGCCGGGTGAAGGGCAGATGCCGGGCAACTCTCAGCGATAAAAAAAATCTCCAACTTTTCAAAAGCAGAAGAGATGTATAGTTCAATTTCTCACGAATGATGGCACAGCAGACTTTTCCTTTCCCACGCTGCGCCCCTCAGCAGTGTGTTTCAGTAGATCTGCCTTTTCTGCTCCCCACGCTGTCTCTGGTGAATCCTCTCACCCCCACACCTCTGTCCTATACCCCAGTTCTTCTACGCAAAAACAATCCTCACATGTGAAATTATCATTTGCTACACAGCACCCAGAGCAGACAAATGTAAAGACGCTGACAGTTCTGCCTCCAGAGTAAAACACTAGAATTGCATCATTTGGAGAATAAACACCAAAGACTGAAGCTGCACAAGTGCAGCACACAGCCCTTTCTGCACAGTGCCTACAACACGCAGCCACTTACCTGATGAATCTTAACAGCTGGTCAGTTATCTTCTTAGCAGATCTTGCAATTACACTCTGAGGCTCATTGAACGTCCTGGCATTGTGTTCGATGTATCTGACTTCCCAAACTAATGCAGACAGCCGCCTTCAAAAACAAAAGTAGGAAACTTAGGACTCAAAAAGCAGAAAAACAGAAAGCAAGTTAAAAAATTCACCATCTGTAAGTCAACTCAGTCTATCAGTTAAGTCATGAGCAAAATGTGACAATGAATAAAGCTCTATGCTGCCAGCCCGCCCACAGCCCGGGGAGTACACTGGAGCAGACTGTGCAAAATCTGAACGGACCAATGAATTACAGCAGAGCAACCCTCCCTCCTCAAGCTGCCTAGCCATAATGTGAAGCCACTGAGACTCAATGAAACAATGTGTTAAGACTGTCACTGCTCAGAGCGCCAGCCGCCCTGAAAACTGGCAAAGTGCCTTTCTGATTAATCACACACTCTATTGGACTAAGCGGTAAAGAAGCCACATTTTGGAATGTCATCTATTGCTTTAAAAAAAATTGCTGGGCCTCCCCAGTGGCACAGCAGGTTGAGCGCAGTGCTGTGAAGCTGTCCACAGCCTCTGCAGCGCAGGTTCGACTCCTGGCTGACCAGGGAGATGCCCACATGGTATGGCAGACCTCTTCTGTCGTGCCCGCTGCTCCCCGCAGTAGTGTCTTCGGTCAGTCTGCCTGTTCTGCTCCCCGCTCTGTCTCTGGTGAATCCTCTCACCCTCCCACACCTCTGGCCTGGACCCCAGTTCTTGTATGCATAAATGAATCTTTTAAAAAAAAACACACTAATAATTGAGGAATGATATACAATATTTTTTTACCTTATCAGGGATTTATAGTGCCTATCCACAGGCATCAACAGTGTCTTACACATAAGACCAAGAAATCACTATCATAAAAGAAGATGAAACCAAAAATAATGTTACTCAGTCCCTACTCCACTACGGTCCCCACCAACCACCGCTCTCTCTTCATTGTAGCTGCAATAACCAGATTATCTTTCCAAACTATTTTTAAAGCATGTGTCTCCTAACCTGTAGAAGCGATTAACGAGTCTCATTCGGATGGTAAACAGGTCGGTCGGGTACGCCACCACAGTGCAGTACTTTGGGTAGGTACAGAGATCAACAGGACCTGCAAAAGCTGCTGCTATATCTGCAAGGGCAGACAGGAGAGTTTTTATCAGTAAATTCATTACCTCGAGGTGATGCTTCTCCACAAATCATTCATAAAACAAGAACCATGTTTATCATTGCAGGCCTGCAGGCCTTCACCAAAGACCATCAAAAGAAGTTGCAGAGAAGGACACAACCACAAATATGCTTCAATTTAAAAAATGTTTGTGGGGGAAAAAAACTTGAAAATGAAACTTCTCACCCTATAAAAACTTACCAAGATTCAAAAGCTGATCTATACCACTAATAATTCGTTCACATTCTTCATCTCTCGATTTCTGCCCCCATTCACCATCTTCCGGCTTGTAGAGCAGTTTCTCTAGCTCATCTGAAGTAACAGAAATACTAGCTCCCAATTCTTCAGGAGGATCAACTATGAATTTTATCAAAAAAGAACAAGATGACAAAAATCAAACCACAAATGTGCGCTGACTGAGAAATGCTAGTTGGCTACTGGGAGGCAGTGAGCAGCAAGCTGGAATCTTAGGGTAAGAACTGATGAGCCAGGGCCTCCCCGGTGGCGCAGCGGTTGAGCGCTGGGTTGCGAAGCTGCCCGCGGCCTCTGCGGCGCCGGTTCGATCCCTGGCTGCTCCCCGGCCACTGGAGGAGGGTCCCACATGGCGCGCAGACCTCTCCTGCCGCCCGCTGCTCCCCTCAGCAGTGTGCTTCAGTCCTTCTGCCTGCTCTGCTCCCCGCTCTGGCTCTGGTGAATTCTCTCACCCTCCCGCGCTTCTGACTGTGCCCAGTGCATGTACAAACAAACAAATAAATGAATAAAAATACATGCCTCTTAAAAAAAAAAAAAAGAACTGATGAGCCAGACACATGTAATTCTGCTCATTTCTTCAATAAGGTTCAAAGTTACCATAATAATGTGAAAGTAAGTCTCAAAGAACACTAATGTGCTCTATATGCATTAGATTACAAAATCAGAAACCTGAAAGGTAAAATACTTCCATTTTTTAACAATTACTCACCATTATCAGGAATTGGTTCCATGTCCCATGGGCTAAGTTTCTCAATTTCAGTATTGTCCCATCTGTTAAAAAAAAAAATCTGATTAGCTTTCAGAAAGACAAAATGTGCTAACTACTAGGTTTCCACTTCAAGAGCATACAAAAAGATAACCTTACTGTTGCAATGAAAGTTTAAATACTAAATTTAGAAAGATGTGGTTTAAGATGTACAAAAATGTATGGTGGGTGCCAAGACAAAACCAGAAATCCTGTGTGGCCTGCACCCAGGGTACAAGAGGAGGAAGTCAAAGCCATTGTGAAGGCCTCGGATGCCACACTTCAGAGCGTGGACTTCATTCCACAGCCAATGGGAAAGACTGTGGATTTTGAACAGGGAAGTAATGTAACAGGTGCCCTGCACAATGCTGCTCAGGACAGTAGCAGGCTACAGGTGGCCCAGGAAAGCAAGCAGCTCCTCACCATGGGGGTGCTAGTGAACAGGAAGCGACAGTGGCCTCTGGAGAGTGATATTACTCAATGCACGCCTGGTTTTGTAACCAGGTGTGTGTGTCATTCACACAATGACCAGGTGTTTGTAGGGGATCTGCTGTCCTCTGCATACAGACCTGACGATGTAACACTGAAAGTGACTATCAGGGTATTGAGGCTGATACGGCTCTTGACTTAGCACCGTTCCAAACCACCAAGCGTCATCAATGATGGAGCGGAACCTGTCACCTGTTAAGACACATACGACTGTGAGACATTGATCTGCTAACGTCAACACTTCTAATTTATAAAATGCCACATGATACAAATGACACAAAGATCAAAGTATATTTTTATCTTAAAATTAACCAGTCTCCCCAACTTCCCAGCAGCCTTCAGTGATTAAAACACATGTAAAAAACATGCCATACTCAGGCCTCTCTGGTGGCACAGGGGGTTGGGCACTGCACTGTGGAGCAGTCCACAGCCTCTGCAACGCAAGTTCAATCCCCGGCCGGCCAGGAGGCAGCCCACATGGTGCAGGGGACCTCTCCTGTCTCGCCCACTGCTCCCCTCAGCAGTGTATTTCGGTCAGTCTGCCTGTTCTGTTCCCCACTCTGTCTCTGTGAATCCTCTCCCCCCCCCCCAATCTCTGGCCTGTATCCCAGCTCTTGTATGCATAAATAAATAAATCTTTTAAAAAAACAAAAAAACATGCCATACTCAACAATTTACTGGTGGTACAAAGCTCTGTAACTAAAAAGACTAAAATGGCTATGAATAGGTTGGTTAGTGATTCCAAATGCCAAGTTCTGTTAGGCCTTACAACATGAATAATAAAGTTTAACAAAATACAAAAATCTTCTACGATAACGGATATTATACTTACTTTATTTTTTTAAAGATTTTTATTTATTTATATAAGAACTGGGGTACAGGCCAGAGGCACAGGAGGGTGAGAGAATTCACCAGAGACAGAGCGGGGAACAGAACATGCAAACAACTGAAAACACTGCTGAGGGGAGCAGCGGGCAAGACAGAAGTCTGCCACGCCATGTGGGAATCTCCCTGACCGGCCGGGAATCAAACCGGCGCTGCAGAGACTGCGGACAGTTTCACAGCGCTGCGCTCAACCCACTGGGCCACTGGGGAGGCCCATCATACTTATTTAATAGGTATAGTAAATACATGGAAAATTATGACAATTTATGATTATTCTACAGTTGTTCTTCTATAAATACCTTCATCACATCAAAATGCTCTAGTTAAAATCTCATAATAAAAACGTATACATATACCCTAAAAGGTGCTGACATATTATTGAAAAGAAACACCTACACATCCTGTTACCAGCATAATGTAAGAGCTGGGAACAGATCCCAGGACGGATGCTATAAATAAAAGTCACCATAACCATGGATGGAATACTTCAGCCAAAGCCAGTGACTTTCAATTATACACATTCCAAAATGTATTTTACAACTGTAATACTTCTAGTGAAATAAACTGTATCCAATTTTTGTTTTACAGATATTACAAAAGAACCAGACTGCTATAACAACACTATTCTTCCCTTCCCATCTATCAGTTTTCAAAGCAAAATCAGAAAGAAAAAAAACAGCCATCTCTCCAGCATTAACAATTCTTCAGTAAATTAATAATTCTTTAAGAGAGTTTTGCGTAAACATGTCAATCAAAATGAAATTCAGATTGCTTATACAGATATCACCATTCAAAAATCTACTAAGCAGCCACACTCTGTCAATCTTGTGTATTAAACAGGGCTGCTCAGGGAATTGACTAAAGTGTTACTGCTTGTAGGACCTGCAGGAAAAAGCGGCAAAAACTAAAAAAACTAGTAGTCCTAACACCATTTATAACATACATACAAGATGACAAGACCCGAGTAAAGGCTGATGTCCTAATAAGAGACCCAAACTAACAAAAGCAAAATGAGCTATTTTTGTAAGGGTCGAAAGTCCAATTGAAGACTGAGGCCCCAATACTGTATCCCACACCCAAGAAGGATGTGCGTGCACTGGTGAAGCAGGTGGGACAGTTGTAAGTGCCACCACATGGTCTAATTCCGGTCATCACCTATGTCCTGAAGAGGCTAACGACCTACCTAGGGCTAACCAGTGAGCCCACCTGAACCAGCCCCAAGAAAGCCACGTGAATCAGTCAGTGCCTGCACCACAGGACGTCACCTCCCCTGTTCAGTCCCTGCTCAGTCCTATAAGGTGGCTTATAGGACACAGGTGTGTGTGATGCTTTCGTTTTTAAAGGAAGGTTTCCTCAAGTCACCCTAGTTAAGTGTGGTTGATAAGATATCAGAGGTAAGATATTCTGGCACACAGAAATGTTTCCAGTGAGAAACCTGCAATTGTTTTTCGACCTTCTGCTTGTCTTAGATCATAGGATAAACAAAGGAGAGGCTGACGTTCACAGGCGCACGCCAGCCACCAGGGCAGACTTACAGGATTGCCAGTTCCTCTGTCTCGCTTCATCGTAAAACTGACGCAGAACCAGAAAGTCAATAACATCCGGCATATCATGGTACCTGGAACGAGACACGTGGCGGTTACAGCCCACTCGGCAACCGCACCCGGAGCAGCAGCACCCAGGCGGAATGCTACAGGAGGCACACACATAAGTTTTAATTTCTGACTAGCCACATTAAATAAGAAATGAGTGAAATTAATTTTAATATTTTTTTAACCCAGTATATATCATCCTGTGTACCACGTAATCAAACAAGGTAAGACACTTTACATTACTTTTCTTCACGCCAGTTCTTCAAAGTCCATTGTGCACACTTACATCTCATTCAATTGCCATCAGCCACATTTCATGCCGTCAACTGCCACACTGGTGAACAGTACAGGTTTAACCAATATTTGTGCTAACATTTCCTCAAACCAAAACGAGCCCTTCCAGGATGGGACTCTCCACACTGCAGATGCATGAAAGCATGTGCACATGCTGCAGCCTCGCTGGCCCTAGTGCTCCCTCTTTACCACCCGTGCAGTCGCATCTATCAGAACCTCAACCCACACCACGGCAGTTCTGCTGCTTCCCTGTTACCTGCAGTTACACTGAAAGGGTGTGCTTGTCAGAAAGATACAAAGTCCAAATTTAAGTAGTTCAGTTAAAAAAAATTCCTACCTAATTGAGAAAGACGTGTCCATGAGTTTTCCAGTAGCAGGGTCTATAAAGGCCAGTTTGAGGCAGCAGAGAGTAGGAGGCCCAACCTCGTACCGGATTCCAACTATTTTGACTAGTTCTTGATCCTTACACAGATTATAAAAGAACAGATATTTAAAATGGTTAAGATAAAACAACTGCTGAAGATCCTCACTCAACATGCCAAATTCAGTCAACTCACAATCAAGGCTTTTAAACCAGCAGATAAGTTTAATATACCACCAAGTATAATCACTGTTGCTGATGCTAATCATCACGTCTTTATTTACAGGCAGACATTTAATACTCTTGCTAATGAAAGGAATATACTCCTTTAGGGACTGCACCACAGAATGGTAAGCTGGATGGACAATCACCGATCAACTCAGTCTCTAATGACAACAGCTATGAAAAATGTGAATTACCTTCTGACTTTCGCTCTTTCTAAAAACACATTTTCATTTATATAATCTATTGTGCATTCTCTTCAAAATGTAGAAGCATTTTAGCTTATTCATAACTATTCTTCGAAACTCTGACATGTGTGACCTACTCCACGCTGTTACCTACTCCACTACAGGGCCAGGATAGTGCAAAGACCCCACCATGGTGACCGCACATGGTGGCCATGCCAGGGAGAGATGTCTGTTTCTGAAATAGCAGGACCACAGAGGTCATCCGTCCATTTATCCACTGACTGATACATGCTTGATATAAGGGACCCAGTTTGGTTCAAGAGTGCTGTCCAAGGCACTGGCCTGGGGAGTGGCTCCTAAAGAAAACTGGCTAGGTTCCTACTGGCAGTGCCAACACTGCAGCCACCTGCACGATACGCACAGTGTTTTAGTTGATTTTCTGTGTGAAGTACACCTCATTTACTCTGTGTTCAGTCATGAACACTGGACTCAGTCAGCAACACTAAACAAACACTAATCTAACAGACATATCTCTGGATAAAGCGCATTGCTGCTTTCTTGTGCTTAGGAACACAAGACAGAAGCTTTAGCTCTGCACTTAGGGGTCATTTCATTTTTTTTAAATATATGTATTTTATTTTTTTTATTTTAACATTTGCCATTTTTTAAATTTTTTTAGACAATATTTGCTTCCCTCCACCCCCTCAGATTGAGTCCCCATAGAGTTTCCTTCCCCAAGGCACCCATGCACCATCTCCACAGTCCCCTGTGCTCCTCCCTCCCGCCCTCTGATCCCTCTCCCTCCTCCTCTTGGGGGGTCATTTTAAATAGCAAGTGAGCAACAAGAAGCACACAAATGTCCAAAAGGTTTAAAAGTGGCATTCAACAGACTGCAAAAAGAACTCTTGTTTACAATATACAAGCTCAAACAAGAAGTCATCACCTTGTTCCACCTCACCTAGGAAGATGCTGTTTAGGAAACGTGATGTCTCCAAATGACCAGAAAGCACCTCACGTACTGACTAGGGAGGCAAATAACACAGAGCAAGTATGCATATTCGCAAATATGGAACCCTCAAATAACAAGGGTCCACTGTATTTAGGTATACCAGAGTTAATGAAGCCAATGTACGGAAATCTGAATTATCCACAGCTACATTTGCAGAAATAGCCACTGAATTGAATGAGTGTTAAGAACAGCTATCTTTGTTAAAACTCCTTTTTTCATCATTTTCTAATAGTTTTCAAAATATAAAGAACAACAACAACAAAAAAATCACATATTGTTATTCCATAGTGACCACTGATATTCTGATGTATTTTTTGGGGCTGAAAGACTTTTAAAATCTTGTTATTGAACCACAAACAGCATTTCACATTCCATTTTCCTCTTAGTAATAATACAATTATTGTGAAACGTACCCATCACTCATTCAACAAATATTTTACAAGTCTCAATAAAGCAGCAGGCTTTACATGACAGTACCATGGAATATTTGGATCTTTTTCTTTTTATAAAGAATAATCTGGAACCACCATGCTCATAAATTGTCATGCATTTCTGGTTGTTTCCCAAGTTAGCAGAACTAAAATCACTGATTTAAAACAGTAGATATTCTTCTGCTTCAATTCCAATTGCCAGCATTCCTTCTAGAGTTTCTAGATTTAATTGGGATTGCTTTCTAGACTTAATTTGACTGTTAAAAATTAAATCTCTTGCTATTTGCTAAAACATGCTATTTTCTTTCATTGAAAATGAAAAGGGGGCCTCCCTGGTGGCACAAGGGGTTAAGTCTCAGCACTATGAAGATATTCGCAGCCATTGGAGCACGAATTCTATCCCCGGCCAGGGAGCTGACCCACATGGCACAGCAGACCTCTCCTGTCTCACCCGCTGCCCCCCTCAGCAGTGGATTTCAATCAACCTATCTGTTCTGTTCCCCACTCTGTCTCTGGTGAATCCTCTCACCCCTCCCCCCACCTCTGGCCTGCACCTCCGCTCTTGTATGCATGTATAAATAAATCTTCAAAAAAAATTAAAAATAAAAGTGAAAAGGAAACCTACAAAATTGGTGAAGTATAGGACAATTAGTTTTTCTACATCTTATGCATGTGATTAAATCCAATTTGTATTTCTTTTGGAACCTTGTTTTTTTCATTTGAAAATCTGTTCTAGCTATCCACATTTTAAAATTAATGATACATATTGCCACATTGTTTTCCTGAGAAACTCTAACACACTTAAAATTTTACACTGATCAGTCTTCCTACTTGATCCTAAGGTTTAGCAGAAAATAGTAACAGAAATAATCTAAAATAGGAAACTGAAAGACAGTAATGAAATACGCTTCCAGTAGGTTCTTTAGTGAACTTGCATGTGCTGCATGTTAATGACTTAATAATACTACCATCTTACCCGAAGATCCATTTTTCTCCAGGGCTCCTTGTTAGGGTTCAGTTCATAAATGTTATTTCTTCTGACAGCCTCAATATAAGCTTCATGACCCTGTCGAAAATATATTACCTACAAAGGGGAAGCATGCATTTAAAATAAAAACGTAAAGAGCAGTATTAATTTTGTTTTCTGTTCCATATTCATGTTTTTAAATGCTTCTACTCTCACCTCATCACCCATTTGAGGGACAAAAGGAGACTTTCGAAGTGTGGTATCTGTTATCCAAACTGGAGGGTGGAATTCATATAACTGCTCCAGATTTGCGAGCTCTGCAGGAGTCATTCTCCTCAAGTTCTGCCAAGGGGAAGAGAGCCAACTTCAGCAAGAACAGAAAAGGGCAGCACTCACAGCTTAAGAAATGTCACCAGAGTGAGTACTGACCAGCATTTGCCAAAGGATGTTTTCAAACAACACAGCCACTTGGTTCCCCACAGGCCTGCCTCGCACTTGCTTCTGCCATCTCCTGTTATCTAGTGGACTCGTCCCAACACTTGACACCTCTGAAAGGGCCATCTAGAGCCTGAATCCTCTTCAGTACACAGCCGGATCGGGCAAGACTACTCTGAATCCAGCCACAGGGAATCTCCTAGATTTGAGCTTTTAGGCCTGGCAACTGTACAACAGGCCCATAACTTCTCTGTGGTCAGATGCTCTGCCCTGAGCTGGCCCCCACCATAATTTCCCAGGTGAGGCGGAACAAGGTGGTGATTATGGCGAAATATGCAATTGTAGGGGTGTAAACCCACAGCCCTAAGATACCTACTGTGATGTAAATCACTATCACCTCAACAAATGTAACTTTAAAAAATCAAAAATTTAAAAAGTCACACAGAGCCACTGGGCTTTATCCTGTTGGCGAGGGGCAAGTCAAGCACACACGCTAGTCCAGAGCCCATGTTCTGTGCTGGAGCAGAGTCAACAGTAAAGTCGCTTTCGAAAAATAAGGCTGTGCTTTACTTCTGACTACTGACAACTTAACACTGCCTATAAAAAAAAAAATAAAGACTAATTCCCCAAAGAGTTCTACTTTCTAAATATGGAAAGAAATGCCTTTATAAGAATAGCTATTTTATTTTGAAAGATTTATTTTTTTACCTCTCTTTTAGGCTTATTCTCTTTCTTTCGCTTTCGTCTTCTTTTTGGAGGAGATAAATTGTCGGCAGACATTTCGTCCTCTGAGCTACTACAAAACCGAGTAATTCGTCGGCGAGATGAGGTTCGCAGAGGTGGCTGCAAATTGATACCTGCATCAGCCATCCAATCAGAGTATCTAGACGAGGAGTCACTGAGAAAGGGAAACACGTAAAGTTGTGTGCACACCACCCAAGTCCTAATGGGAATCCATCACATGAGCCTGAGACGAGAGAACAAGAGAAAAGGAGGAAAGGAAAGACCCTGGAAAGATTCATGTTGATCGACCCTCGCTATCATCCAACCAGTCACTCGCTCCCTCACAACATCTATTATAAAAGGAGCTGTTTAAAAAAAAAAAAAAAAAAAAAAATGTAAGAGCACCAGCCTTGCACAATAATGAACAAAGACAGAAAGGAAGCAGTGTGGGCTGGGGTGGGGGGGCCGCTGTGTAACGGGTGCAGTTTAGTTCTGATGGACGAGCTATGGAGACTGGTTACAGAACCACGTGAAAGTACTTAACACTCTCAAGCTGTAAGGTTAAAAAAGATGATAAATTTTATGTGACATATATTTTACAATAAAAAAATCTGTTGAGTAGCAAGAGAAGAATACACTATGAAAACCACTCCAGCTCTTAATCATAATGGAATAAAAGAAGTCAAGAAAGGAGCAGAGTGTGTGGTACAGTGGCTGGACAGAGGGTGTAGATGGAAACAGAAGTTTATCAGATTCCTCTTAGAAGGCAGAACTTTCTAGACTGTGATAGATGTGTCATAGACAGAATAACGTTCTGGTTGCTGGTTTCAGCACCAGCCACAATGAAGTTAATATTTACCAAGATGAGGAACAGATTTTAACAGCTTGGTTCCATAAAAATCTGAATAGCAAAATGAAACATGTAACATATGCAATTAACTAAAAATAAATAAGGTTTTACCCCCTATACTTTTTATAAATGCAGCCCAGGAAGTTGTTATTTTGAGAACACGTATTTTATACTATTGGCTCAAAAGTTTACAGTCCAATAAAAATAATCAAAAGTATTTTATATAGAACCAGCTGTTAATCCAGTCACCTTCTAAATGTGTTAAAAACTCAATGTGAAGAATGGCCCCACAGTTGGAGCTGCTGGGCTCTGAATGCCATTTATGTTGCCCTGGTTCCATCCAAGGCCTCAGCTGAAATGCCTGAGCACACAAAGCAGTGAAAGCAGGCACCTTGAACTTTCGCTGTCACTTTCGCTTCTTCTGTCACTTTTCCACTCTTCTTCTTCTTCGGAAGAACAAGAGCCTTCACTCTGATCACAGGAGGTCTCCTAATTCATGAGGGAAAAAAATAAGTAAGAATCCTGACCCTGAAGACTAAATAACCACAAGAAAATCCACATTGGGCCTCCCCGGTAGCACAGCAGGTTGAGCACTGCGCTGTGAAGCTGTCCACAGCGTCTGCAGTGCGGGTTCCATTCCCAGCCAGCCAGGGAGAAACCCACATGGTGTGGCAGACCTCTCCTGCCTCACCCGCTGCTCCCTTCAGCAGTGTCTTCAGTCCGTCTGCCTATTCCGCTCCCCACTCTGTCTCTGGTGAATTCTCTCACCCTCCCGCACACCTCTGGCCTGTACCCCAGTTCTTGTATAAATAAATAAATCTTTAAAAGAAAAAAATTCCACACAGTCAGCCTAGGGCACTCACAAGCACAATCTCTGGGTTATATGATCAGATCAACTTCAAATGAAAAGGTCTTAAGAATGACCTTTGGTATTTTACCCAGATGCACTGAAAAATCATGCCACAACAAAACCTGCACAAGGATGTTTATAGCTTGTCAAATTTGGAAGAAACCAACATGCACTCAAGCATATGAATGGATAAACTGGTAAATCCCAACAATGGAATTTTTTTTTTTTTTTTAAGATTTATTTTTATACAAGAGCTGGGGTACAGGCCAGAGGCGTGGGAGGGTGAGAGGATTCACCAGAGACAGAGCCAGGAGCAAAACAGGCAAATGACAGAAATCCACTGCTGAGGGGAACAGTGGGCACCACAGGAGAAGTCTGCTGCACCATGTGGGATTCTCGTCGGCCAGCCTGGATCGAACTGGCACTGCATAAGCTGCAGAGAGGTTCACAGTGTGGCACCCGCTGTGCCACCGGGGAGGCCCAATGGAGTATTTTTTAGAAATGTGCCATCCAGTCATGAAAAGACAGGAAACAAAGGCATGGTACCACAAAGGAGGCCATCTGAAAGGCCAAACACTGCGGGACTTGCTGGAAATAGACTGGAAAGGTCAAAACTACGGAAGCTATGAAAAGATCAGTGGTCGGGGAGGGAGCACAGGAGTTTCCAGGGCGCAGAAACTGCTCTGTGTGATGCTGTTATGGTGGAGACGTAACATCACACACTTGTCAAAATCCACAGATCTGTGCAACACGGAGTGATCCCGGGTGTAGGCTACGGAGAAGGGAGGTCTGTTCATCAGTCATAGCAAATGACCACACTCCAGTTAAGAGACTACACTATAGGGGACCACCCTTGCTGGTCCTTGCTGCATTTACCGTTCAATTTTTCTGTAAACCTAAAACTTAAGTCTGGATTCTTTTCAGTAAATAAAGGGAACAAGAGGACCCCCAGATCCCTGATAGCCACAGGTCATAGAACTAGGAAGGTGCTTTTTCTCCTTTTTCCCGTAGCAGTCATGTACATTACATGCTTAGACAAAATGGAAAGTCAAAGTGCCACTGAGAACCAAAGTTCCGAAAACCACCTCTCAAGCATGATCTAATGTTGTTCACTTTAGAAGCTTTTTTTTTAAAAAAAGATTTATTTATTTTTATACAAGAGCTGGGTTACAGACCAGAGGCACGGGAGGGTGAGAGGATTCACCAGAGACAGAGCGGGGAGCAGAACAGGCAGACTGACAAAATACACTGAAGGCAGCAGCGGGCAAGTAAGGTGAGGTCTGCTGCGCCTTGTGGGAATCTACCTGGCCAGATGCTGAGGCTGCTGACAGCTTCACAGCGCTGCGCTCAACCCGCTGCGCCACCGGAGAGGCCCTACTTCAGAAGCTTTTAACTTATCCACCAAGACCTAGCACCTCATATGTAGCTCTGAATTCTTTTCCTTAAAGGTCCCTAAATTATGGAAGCTTTACACCCTCACAAAATTTGTATCTACCTTCCTAATCCAGCAAATTGATTCCTAAAAACATATCCCAGTGAACAGAAATGTTATGCACAAACTAAAGCCATACATGTTAAGCATCATTCATAATGTTCTAAAGTGGAAATATTACAGATGTCCATTAGCTGATAAGTGTAAATAAAGTACGGCACACACACAAAACGAGACCATGGAATGCTGACATGTGCTACTCATGGACCCACCCTGAAAATACTGTGCTGTGGGGAAAGCCAGACACAATCAAACTGTGTGATTCCACTGACATGAAGTATGTAGAGCAGATACATTTACAGGGAGAGAAAGGAGCACAGCAGTGCCCGGGGGCTGGCTGCTGTGGGGTGAGGGAGTAAACCCTGCAAACGGCACAAGATTTTTTTAGAGGTGATGAGAATTTTTTTTTTTAAGATTTATTTATTTATACAAGCACTGGGTACAGTCAGAAGCGCGGGAGGGTGAGAGAATTCACCAGAGCCAGAGGGGAGAGCAGAGCAGGCAGATTGACGAAGTACACTGCTGAGGGGAACAGCAGGTGTGACAGGAGAGGTCTCCGCGCCACATGGGACCCTCAGCCAGTGGCCGGGGATCGAACCAGCGCTGCAGAGGCTATGGGCAGCTTCGCAACCCAGCGCTCAATGCTGCACCACCGGGGAAGCCCTGATGAGAATATTTTTGACATTAACCAGGGTTAGGAGGGCACAATCTGTTAATATACTAAAACTGGATTGTACACTTGTATGGTAAATATCTCAACAAAGCAGTTCAAAATTTGGGCCAAAAAAAAATCAAAATGAGCAATTTCTTCTGCAAAACACCATATTTTCACATAATTTCAAAGTGAAGAATTAAGACAGCTAAGATCATTTTAAAGTTTAAAGCATATTTAAAGCAACAGAACTCACATGTCTTACAGAACTTGAAGACTCATTTCCAGACGATAACTCAGGCCGTCCCAGACTCCTTCGACGGTAACTGGGGCATTTGCGCCTGCAGGTCCTCTGCCTGGACTGTGACATCAGATCCGCCGAGTCAGCCTGAGACAAATGCGCAAATGGAAAGGAATACTTAGGTACAATCTTCAGCAAAACTGGCATTCTATTAAGTTTCCAAAAGGATTTAAGGTAAAAAAAATACAGAAAAAATAATTTTAAAAAATAAAATGCTCTTGAATGGATGATATTTTTGTTACTGTTAAATCAAATTTGATTATTTTTAACTTTTCAAATAGGACTGACAGCGGGCCTGACAGCTTACCAGAGGTAAATTTGTATCTTCTCTGGGGAAGAAATACCATCATAGGTTTCAAATCATCTTTAACATTTAACATTATTGTAAAAATGATAATCATGAGGAAACAGAAACTTAAATAATGAAATTACCAGACATGGACTTTTAAAAATAACTATTTCTTATTTTCAAGGAGCTAAAATAATGAGAACCGTAAGAAAAAACTGAAAAACTTAAAAAAGGAACCTAATGCAAATTCTGAACTGAAAAATACAGCAACTAAAACTAAGAATGCAACGGGTTTAAAAGCAGATTACACACAGCTAAAGAGAATAATGAGCTGGAATATAGGTTAGAAAAATATTCAGGACAGCAGACAACACTCTAAAAACCAAGATCAGTACACAGCCAACAATTCATTCTAAGGCATTAATGCCAAGAAAAAACACACTGATACCAAGAGACACACGACATGCTGAAAACACTAGTGCTCCTAAAAGGCAAAATATGGATCGACCCAATGTCTCTCAAGAACAGATGAACTCAAGGCCACGTTCACGACGCAAGGGAGCCGCAACCAGGTGCGCCGGCGAGGACGAGCCTCCCAAGTCCAGATCATCTCAGCAGACACAGCACTGCCAAGCCTTTCTTACATCACTGCTACGAAGACTGCAGGAAACTACAGACTGTAGTTGTGCAGCCATGTAGTTTTATTCATAACCACTATGGACTTCACACGTGCTGACATACTGTATGGTCGTCTATGCTTTACATATAAAACGATGAAGAGTGAAACTTTGTCTGTTATGCTCAATATGGTTTTGAATAAAATTTCTTAGACAAATATTAAAAGTGAAAGTCTCAAAGCTCTTCACCTTTAACTTTATAACTGCTTCTTGAAAAATTTAATTATAAAGGTTGTAAATATCAAATGATAAATCCAAATCAGAAATCAATATGCAGTAAGCAGATGTGTAAACATCTTTTTAGACATTTTTTCAGCAAAAATGAAAAATATTCATTCTTTCAAATTTTCTTAAATTTAACTTTAAAATTTGTTTCATGAGTCAATACCCAACTATAAAAAAATATTCAGATAGACACTGTTTTCTTTTCAATACCTGACATGGTAATTAGCTGAATCACCTTTAAGAATTAAAACTATTTTTCTGAATTCTCAGAGTCCGAGCCACGCACTAGAGAAGCAGGACTGGGCTTCCCCAACAGCGAGGCTGCCAGACCATGCCATCGGCAGGACCAGCTTTCACTCAGTGTGCTGCACAGAGCGCACTACCAATGTTTCATGATGCTCATGTGATGCTCAAGAAAATCCAGAGAGAGATTAAATACCACGGAGCAAGGTTTTCTTGAGCAGGGTCAAGCTGTTGGAAAATGAGCATCCTTGCGACACACTCAGAAGCAAAGTGCCCGGCAGTTCCAGAGTCAGAGCACAGAGGACAAGAATGGAAACAGAGCACAAGGTGCTGCTGATGGGCCTGTGATGTCCCAGCTCCAGACCTGAGTGGCCACTAGACTGTCATTTCCCAGAATCCTTTAGTTTTAGGCTACATCCCTCAAACTTTCAAACTACTCTTTCCTACCAGCTGCACAACCCAATGTCTACTGTTAAGAATCTCAAGACTTTAAGCAAGAAATACTCTACTTTTACTAAAAGTTATTAATATTCCCTATGATGAAAAATAAAACTAAATTTCAGTTTAATTTCTAATGTAGCTATTTGCTAAGAAAAGAGAATCTAGTTACCTTTTGTGAGATCTGGAGATTCTTCCTTTTTCTTCCAATTACATAGAGATTTCTTTCTTCGTCACCTTTCTCTATTCTGAAGTCTTCCAACTTCCTAAAAATTTAATTACACCCGGTTGTATTAGTTACTGAACTGGGGGTAAGGACATAAAGAGGAAAAATTAACATGCTTCTAATATGAATCAGAATTTTATATATGCTTTAACACAGGAAATTCCTAAAGCAAGAACAAAATTTAAGTTGAGCTGTATTTTATATTAGAGGCAGTAGGAGATCCACGTTCCATTATTAATGCAGAAATAGTCGTCTGTATTTTGACTGGCCCTATTAGAACAAACTCAACCAAGATCTCTCATATTAGCTGTTCAAAATGTCCCTTTACCAAGATGGCAATTCCTTTCTCTAGCAAAAAAATAAGGCCAGAATCTTCCAAATTTACTTATTGCACGGTCTGTAAGCTGTAAAAGACAAAATAGTGAATTCTTTTAATCACCTGTATTTCACTCACATGGCACAAAACAAAGAGGACAAAGACACTGTGCCCAACAGCAAAGCGGTGACCTCCCATGTGAGGAAAAGTAGTACTGAAGGACCTTTTCCTTCTGAGATTAGAGAAGTGACTGGATGTCCTTCAACCTGCACACACGGGCTTTATGTTTTGTGCTCACTTTAAAATCCCAATGGAAGTCCCCAAAATGATATCTTAGCCAAGCTCCTGAGTTTAAGCTGGACCCTGAGCATAAGCACAAGGATTAAAGATGAAAAGTGATTAAGAAAATGGCTTTTTTTCCCCAGAAACATCTGCAGCCCACCCACACTCAGATGACAATGGAATTTATTCTCTCCATGGGAGCGCTAAATCAGACTCAGCTCTTCACAAGTTAATTGCACCACTCTCGTGCCTATTTGTAAGGTGACTTTAAATCATGCTCTGAGATGGAGGATCAGAAAATGAGGAGCCAGAGCCTCTGATCAAGTAGGAAACCACGATTCCAGCCTTAAACTATTTCCTGCTTTCCTTTATGTTAAGAAAGCAAATGTTTGTTTAGGAAACTATTCTTCAGATCTTGAGACTACTTTGCCTCCCTTGCTTTTAAAAACAGTATCAGAAATTCCAATTTCAGTTCTGACAGCCACGCATATCAGATGCAATTTTATTTTACCTTTTTTAAAATAAATTTTTTTTAAATATTTATTTATGCATACAAGAGAGGAGTACAGGCAGAGGTGCAGGGGGGGTGAGAGGATTCATTAGAGACAGAGTTGGGGACAGAATAGGCGGAACTACTGAAATACACTGCTGAGGGGAGCAGCAAGCGAGACAGGAGAGATCTACTATGCCATGTGGGTAGCTCCCTGACAGGGACAGCTTCATAGTGCTGACACTTAGCCCCTTGCGCCACCAGGGAGGCCCCTCGGATGCAATTTTAATGCTCACTTAGAGAACACGGCACAGAAGACAGCAGTGCTAGCAAGCCAAGACAATGGTGACTTTCTGTATTTCTTATGCAAATTTCAGCTTCTGCTTTTTAGATTGTATTATGTAATGATAAACAGCGCAAATTCACTGCATTGATATATAAGCATTATCCAATAATATCCCACCAATCACTGAAATTTCTGACTAAGTATATGAAAAAAATACTCTTACAAAACTATCTTTATATTAGTTATCATGAAATACAAAGAGGAGAATCCTGAACCATTTTGGACATCAGTGAAAAAAATGCCTGTCGCTTCTATTTAAAGAATTCAAGAATCTGCATACAACTTGGGAGCAAGGAAGATCCTATTACCTGAACTATTATTATGAAAAACTTCCCACTGAAAGGAAACAGGGCTGCCTAAGAAAAAAGATTTATTTCTAGGTCTAGGTCAACAATGTCTACGGTGAGCCTGTAACAACCCACAGCTCCGGGACGCATGGCTGCCATGGACAGCTCCACGGCTGTCTCCCAAGGACTTGGGAGCAGCGGCCTGAGGAAGGTGCTCCTGGCCAAGCAACATGAACTCAATAAGAATATCAGAAGTGCAGTGAAGTAAGTCAGAAGGAAAAAGAAAAGTATCGGATGGTTTCACTTATAGGAGGGAATACAGGGGAACCAAATAAGACCTCAGTGTAAAAAAATAATAACAACACAAAAAAACACAACAAAATTGGTGGCGTAAGGGGTTAAGACGCAACCTATGAAGCTATCCGCAACCACTGCAGCATGAGCTACCAAGCTCCAGAAATACCCACATGGCACAGCAGACCTCTCCCATCTCACCAGCTGCTCCCCTCAGCAGTGTATTTCAGTCTGCCTGTTCTGTTCCCCACTCTGTCTCTGGTGAATCCTCTCACCCTCCCACACATCTGGCCTGTACCCCAGTAGTGTATGCATAAATAAATCTTTAAAAAAAAAAAAAAAGACAATTATAAATCAGAGACATGCTGCAGGGGAGGAGGAGGAGAGGGATCAGAGGGAGGGAGGGATGAGCACAGGGGACTGTGGTGATGGTGCACGGGTGCACTGGTAAATTCTAAATTCTATGGGGACTACACCGGGATGAGGAGGGGGAGCAAATATTGTTTAAAAATGAACAATGATGTAAAAAATTAAAAAAAAAAAAGAATATCAGAAGCAAGCAGCACTGGTGTGACTTAAAACAGTGAAAAGCACACATACAAACTGGTTGTTGCCAGAGGACGAAAGAAAGAAATGCTTATTTTGAAGGTAAATAAAGCAAAACCATCAAGCAGCTATCCTATCTTGTATATACAAAATTCCCAGGTATATCAAGGAGAAGTAGGTAAATTTCTTTTTCAAAACTATCCAAGATAATAAACGAAGACTTCACAGAATTGAAATTTAACTATTTTATAAACCCTAGTGAACTTTTGGATCTAATGAATTACTGAACACCAATGCACACAGCATCACATAAAAAAAATCTTTTTAAAAAGAGAGAAGATACATGCTTCTGAAAAGTATGCCATTTATGAAACAGCAAATACACCAAAATATTCTGACAACTGGGACAACTGGAAATGTAAACACAGACTGGATACTGCACTGATTGGATTTCTTGGAGGTAGAGTAGAACTGGGGTACAGACCAGAGTTGTGGGGGATGAAAGGTTCACCAGAGACAGAGTGGGGAGAACAGGTGGAGCTACTGAAATGCACTGCTGAAGGGAGCAGCTGGGAGACAGGAGGGGTCTGCTGCGCCATGTGGGTCAGTTCCTTGGCCGGGGATCAAACTCAGGCCATCTCCGTGATAGCGTTGAGATGCATACCAGACGTCAAGAGGGAGGCCCTTCAGGATATTTTTTTAAAAAAAAAAAAGATTTATTTATTTATTTATTTATTTATTTAATGCAAGCACTGGGTACAGTCAGAAGCATGGGAGGGTGAGAGAATTCACCAGAGTCAGAGCGGGGAGCAGAACAGGCAGACAGACGGAGGACACTGCTAAGGGGAGCAGCGGGCACAGCAGGAGAGGTCTCCGGTCCATGTGGGACCCTCACCAGCAGCCGGGGATCAAACTGGCGCTGCAGAGGCTGCAGGCAGCTTCGCAGCCCAGCGCTCCACCACTGCGCCACCGAGGATGCCCCCTTCATGATATTTTTTAAAGCTATAATGGCCTAATGGTTACAGTTTAAGACAATTCCTTAACATTCAGAAATAGATACTAACATACTTAAAGACGACATGATGCTATGTCTGGGATTTCTCTCAAAATAATACTGAAGAGCGAAAACTGGGTGTCTGCACAGATTAAACAACAATGGCCACGGAAAAATTTGCTGTTGTAAAAAAAAGTTTGACATCTTCCTACCACACCTGCAACCCATTATAAAATATATGTATATGATTATCACACTGAAGGATTAAAATACGTGTAAATAACCATATAGACATATTTTTAGAGACATAAGCAATATTAATAGATATCCTAAAACAAACCTAAATATGCCTAGTGGTACCTCTGGTACAACCACTCTTCGCCTCCAGGCCTGCAGGTCTCGCTCCGTGGCCATCTGACTGCGGGGGGCGTTCTGATGCATCTGCCGCACGCCTTCCACTTGCCCACTGCGCCGCAGACCGATGTTTGGAGGGGACTGGATATCCAGGCTTAGTCTTCTAAAACCTCGGAGGAAATTGTCAAGAAATTATTCTAAAACCAATTTAACACTAGTATTCATTTAACACATAAGAGGAACATATATTTTTCTCGTAATAAGATACAAGTCAGAAATAAGTCCACAGAGAAATATTGGGAAAAAATGTTATATGACTGAGATTAAAATGTAGACAACAGAACAAACATCAACATCACTATTAACCTCAATTACCATTTCTACTAGACTTCCTGAAATTTTTTCAAGTACAGGCATTTCCTACTATAATGCTGTATTTTTATACTCATGAAAACATCATCTTCTTCATATAGCACACTAGAAAAACCTTTTTGGAAAAAGTGACATTGGAGACAGACTCCTTGAACTGCAGCTTAACAAGAAATAACAACAACATGAACTGTGAATTCAAGAGACACTCAGGCAGACAGCTGCCAGAGTGGATATAAAAAATTCACAAAAAGGCTAAACGAGTGATGCTGGCAGCACTCACTGCAAGGGTGGGTGCAGGCGACCCACAATGCAGACAACAGTGAGCCCCGAGGATGGTGACCAGCTTTGGGCATCCCAGGCAAAGTGCTTGTTTTTTAAAAACACAGAGGCAAAGGGCCCCTGCTACTAATGGTGAAGAAAATAAAAGTTCGATCGTTCCCTATGGGAAGCTATAAAATTCTGCTCCATCTAAGCCAGCTCTTGTCAAGCCAGGGACAATCACGGGCATGAACAGCACTTCTGCATTCTTCTAGGTATGACCCTGTGTTCCCCAGTTAAATGTGACTGTGTTTGCACCACATACACCACATTTCACCCACTAAAATGGCACTAAATGGGCCCGCTATTCATCCAAATATTTATGTTAATTTTTTTACATTAAATTATATTGACTTCCTTGAATTGAGAGCCAGAAATAAATTCTAAATTTAACTGCCCAAATTGTATTATTCTTCTTCATCAATTTCAAAAAAAAAAAAAAAATGCACAGGTTATTTATTATATGCTATTACTTGTAATAGCAAGTTTGAGAAGTAATTTAAATGTCCAAGAACAGATTCATTGCAGACATTGGTTAAAATGTCTGGGAAAAAAGGGAAAAAAGTCTGGTGCAAGAACGCAAGGGATGTCTCCTATCTCCTGCTCCATGCACTGAGCAGCATAGATGCAGTATCCTGGTGGCAAACATTTAACCTGTACCCAATCAGGAGATAATCCAATTCAAATTGAGTAAAGTCCTGTGAATCAACACACTCTTCAGAAGTACCAGTGCCATAGGACACTCGTGCACATTAAGAGACTGACTAATTAAATGAAACAAGCAAGGTTTGAATAGCTCTAAAATTTGAAAAAGCCACGAAGGACAACCGTGGGAGCAGGGGAAGGAGGAGCTAAGAAGGCCCCCGGAGAGAGCAGCAGGTCACCGAGCGCAGCAATGGGACAGGATGGCGGCCTCGAGCTTCTACAAAGGAACCTTCCTGCCCTTGGACAACACAGCATGAAGCATTCAGGGATAAAGTGGCACAGCTTTACTTAATCTAAAAGTCTGGGAAAAAATACCAGGGAAAGAAAAAGCAAGAGGGCTGGAGCATGTGTACAAAGAGATAAAGTAAATGGAGCAAAAGGAAGAATCTAGGAGAAGGGCAGATGGCTGGCCACGCTCACCGTCCTGCAATTTTACCACAGGATTAACGTCCCAAAACCTGACTGGGAAGAAACACTCCTGCGCTGTGCATTCAAGAGAAAAGCCTGAACTCCTTATGCTCACTTCACAGCCCAGGACAACACAACTTCACCAACAGTTCCTGTGTTAAGCTTCACACTCTTCAGAACTCAGCCAATCCAAGGGAAAGAAGCAAGCAAAATAAAAGAAACACAAGATTTTTATTATCCATATAACAGGCAATACTTCTGATATCCTATGCAGTCCAGATGAAAGTATCCCATGGAATTGATCGTCTTTTTGGTCCAGTAATTAACTTGAAAGCCCTCCCTTGACAAACTGGTAAACAACAGAAATAATAGCAAGACTGGGGGAATACGGTGTTTTCAGAGGGGGACAGGCATGGGAGGGGCAGGTAGAGGGCCCTGGGACTGGGGGGCGGGGGGAGTGTAGCACAGACACCTGTGAGGTGTGGAGCTGTAGCCCCAGATTATATAGCTTTGTAAACCAATAGTAAATCTGTAAATGCTGATTTAAAAAAAAAAACTTCTGAAGATACCTACAAGTGCCTTGTAAATTATGACAAATACATGGTAATGAGTCCCGGAACTGGAGGCTCAGCTTAGGCAAGTGAGTGGGAGCTGATGCCGTGGCAGGCTGGGGAAAGGCTGCCCAACTCAGGAATCAAGGGACCTGACTTCTCAGGCCCACGAGGAAAGGGCGACTGGCTCTCGGGCCATGCCAGGCCCCAGCTGCACAGAACTCAAGGGAGATGTCTTACACGTAGGTCCTAAGTCAAACAAGGTATTTTGCTAAGAAAGGGCCAGAACTGGTGACACCCTTACATAATCGTGTGCAAAGCTACCGGGAAAGGTGACCCTCGTGACGCACATCACCCCACTGAGGGTTTCCTCCTGAGGATGAGCTCAGAAGCCAGACAATGGAGAATGACACACAACAACTGATACTTAAGAAGATAGAATTAGACACTCAAAGAACTTCCGATAAGAAATGTGAAGACAGATGATGCAAAATAAATGGAATGAAGAAGAAAAATAGGTTCAAAAATATGTAGGCAGTCATTAGTCTTTTAAAATATTCTTAAATTGGGCCTCCCCGGTGGCGCAGCGGTTGAGCGCTGGGTTGCGAAGCTGCCCGCAGCCTCTGCAGCGCCGGTTCGATCCCCGGCTGCTCCCCGGCCACCGGAGGAGGGTCCCGCATGGCACGCAGACCTCTCCTGCCACCCGCTGCTCCCCTCAGCAGTGTACTTCGGTCCTTCTGCCTGCTCTGCTCCCCGCTCTGGCTCTGGTGAATTCTCTCACCCTCCCGCGCTTCTGACTGTACCCAGTGCTTGTATAAATAAATAAATCTTAAAAAAAAATAATAAAATATTCTTAAATCCAGATTACATTAGGATACACCCATCTGAATGGCAAAAACCAAGACATCCACCAAATACTGAAGAAGCCAATCAACGGGGTCTGTTACACATCGCTGCTGGGGGTATAAAGTATGCAAGCACTGGTGACCAGTTTGGCATAAAATATATATACCCGCCAATGCCACATCTGGATTCACGTGCAAAAGAAATTCTTTCAAACATATACAAGATGCATACCAGATCTGTTCACTGTTCTATTCACGATTAGCAAATTCACAGAGCTGCAGAAAGCCCACCAAGAGAATGAAGACCAGCCGCATGTACACAGTGCAGTGATGCGCGACGAAGCGAACCTGACACAAATGGGCCCATCTTAAAAACATAGTATTATGTGAAAAAATTCAGTCCCAAAAGGAGACATAGCCTTTTTATAAATTTCAAAGGCAAATGTCAATCAGGTGCATTGTTTTAAAAGACAAAAGATGAAACAATACCAGATCTGGAAACTGTTCTCTCGGGAAAGGTCCGAGGAGAGCCACGCACACAGAGGTTACTCCCGTGATTTGAGGAGCTGTAAGCCAGTGCGACAGAAGGTCACAAAAGAACCAAAAGAACCAGTCCTGTGCCCTCGGAACCCAAACCAATCAAGTATATAAAAGTCAAATGTAGGGCCTCCCTGGTGGTGCAAGGGGTTAAGACACAACCTATGAAGCTATCAATCATCAGCCTCTGCAGCACAAGTTCGATCCCCGGCTGGCCAGGGAACTACCCACATGGTGCAGCAGACCTCTCCTGTCTTCCCATTGCTCCCCCTCAGCAGTGGATTTCAGTCATTCTGCCTGTTCTGCTCCCCACTCTGTCTCTGGTGAATTCTCTCACGCTCTGCACCTCTGGCCTGTACCCTAGTTCTTGTGTGCATAAATAAATAAATCTTTAAAAAAAAAAAAAAAAAGTCAGGGGCCTCCCCTGGTGGCGCAGAGGTTGAGTGCTGGGCTGAGAAGCTGCCCGCAGCCTCTGCAGCACCGGTTGGATCCCCAGCCACCAGGCGAGGGTCCCACATGGCGCGCAGACCTCTCCTGTCCTCCACTGCTCCCCTCAGCAGTGTACTTTGTCAGTCTGCCTGTTCTGTTCCCCGCTCTGGCTCTGGTGAATTCTCTCACCCAGTGCTTGTATAAATAAATAAATAAATTTAAAAAAAAAAAAAAAAAGTGCAAGAAAAAAAAAAAGTCAAACGTAAAGTATAAGACCTTACTTCTTAAAAGTTAGAACTGAAAGAGAATCAATAGAATGTCCAAGTATAATTCTTAAAAATAAAAATCTAAAGAAATGTAGCAGATGACAGAGTTCAAGAGCATTAGGGTAAACAGACCCAAGGAACTCTGCAGAGCCAAGCAGTGATAGAAAGACAGGACGTAATGTTGGCAAGACCATTTTAGATCGTTTCCTCTCCAAATAAAAGTGTACCATTTCTGCTTATAATCTGTTCAAAGAAGGATTATGTGAAATAAATGATATACCCACTTACTACAATTATAAAACAAAAATTAAAGTGTCTACATCAAAGAAAAAGCAAACTCTCTGACATGTAGAAACAACTGGCAAACAAAGAAACCCACAAAAAACAGAAGCTCCTAAAGCAGGTGAAGAGCACTACGTGCAGCGCTGGGGGGTGGGGGGGCAGTCTCCAAGGCACTGCTGGGGTGCTACGGCCTTTTACAGCCACTCAGAGCATCACTAATCTCCCGTGGCCACTTCCCTCTCCCTGAGTGGGCTTCTGTTGGCTTTATCCCGTCTAGATTAGTTCCACTGATAGAAACCCAGTCCCAATATCAAGTTCTTGGCCCTGAAAATCCACTTCAAGCCTCCTTCAGTCAGAAAAGTGACTGCTCCACCCACATTTAGTTTCTAAAAAATGATAAATGTTCAAATCAAGGGACACCTGGAACTGCTGTTGCTGTTTTGTAAAAATTGTCATTTACTGTTTTCTTTAGTACAATCTTGTAAGTACTTTAAAAAAAAAAAACTTCCACAGTCTCTTGCACAGGACTGGAAACTCAAAACTCCCCAACGCTAGCACATCCATTTACACCCAACACACCGCCGCCAGCCCCCCCCCCGCCCCCGTCACTACAGCCGCAAAACGCTGCTCACTTAAAATTTTTCATACTGCATGTACCTGACAATGACTTCACTGACTATTCAATTTTGACTCAAACATATTAAGGCAAAATATTTCTCGTGTATTTATTACCTCTTCTGGGTGTCTCCTCCCCATTCGGAAGTCCGCCTGGAAGAGTATCCTGACCTGCTCCCAATCTCTGATCTTGCTGTTGCTGCAACTGTCTTATCATTCCATCAAGAACACTGGACTCTGGGCTCCGCTCACCATTGTCATTGGTTTGTAGGCTTATAATCTGTTCAATTACCTCTCCATCACCTGCAAATATATAATGAATGAATGTGAAATGATATGTACAAGCAAGGGGGAAACTTCCAGCATACCACAATTAAAATTACCTTAACTGTCAGGTTGTTTTTTAAAAATTAACCAATGAAAGATATCCCACATATTCATAATTGAGTGAGAGAAACGATTCAGAACAAAATCCTTCAAGCAATAAGTACCACAAAAACCTCAACAGAGCCTCTGAAAATCCCAGAAGTGTTCACATGTAAACACATTTCAGTGGTGGTTCTATTATGCTGTATCACATTAATGTCCTTCATTTATTCAATCTTTATTTTCCTATTACCGCCACACTATCACCGCTACCACCTGAGTTCTATGCCCCAAAGGGAGCTGACCCACATGGCACAGACCTCTCCTGTCTCATCCACTGCTCCCCTCAGCAGTGTATTTCAGTAGATCTGCCTGTTCTGCTCCCCATTCTGTCTCTGGTGAATCCTTTATGACAAAAAAAAAAAAAAATCTTTATTTCATAAGGATTCTAAAGCAGATCAACATTACAAATTTCATTTCTTCTCCACTGCCTTAAGAAAAAAAAAAGGGCCGGGCCTCCCCTGGTGGCGCAGCGGTTGAGCAATGGGCTGCGAAACTGCCTGCAGCCTCTGCAGCCCCGGTTCGATCCCCGGCCACCAGCGAGGGTCCCACATGGCGAGACAGACCTCTCCTGCCGCCCACTGCTCCCCTCAGCAGTGTACTTCTTCGTCAGTCTGCCTGTTCTGTTCCCAGCTCTGGTGAATTCTCTCACCCTTCTGCGCTTCTGACTGTACCCAGTGCTTGTATAAATAAATAAATCGTTTGGGAAGAAAAAAAAAAAAAGAAAAAAAAAGGGAGTAAGCCCTTCTAGGCCTTCAACAACCTACAACCCCAGCTCTCCCTGCTCCAGAGGCCTTGGAGCAGGAGCAATGGAGGGAAGCAGCTACACAACCCCTCCCACAATGCGCCCTCCCACTAAGCCTAAATAACACCACCTCTTAGGTGTCCACAGGATTTAGCAGAGTCAATACCCGGAATTCTTACTTTGAAGTATAAAATTTGAGGTTTTTAAAATCTTTGCTTCTTGGACCTCCCCGGTGGCGCAGCAGTTGAGCGCCGGGTTGCAAAGCTGCCCAACAGCCCCTGCAGCGCCGGTTCAATCCCCGAATGCTCCTCGGCCACCAGAGGAGGGTCCCACATGGCGCGCAGACCTCTCCTGCCGCCCGCTGCTCCCCTCAGCAGTGTACTTCGGTCCTTCTGCCTACTCTGCTCCCTGCTCTGGCTCTGGTAAATTCTTTCACCCTCCTGTGCTTCTGACTGTACCCAGTGCATGTATAAATAAATAAATAAATCTTTAAAAAAAAAAGGGGGGGGTGCAAAAAAAGTTTAAAAAAAAAAATCTTTGCTTCTTTACTTTACAAATAATACACTTTTACAGATACTACACAGCTTCAGAGGTAGTATTCATAGATGAAAAGGCCAAATCACTGTGGGACCTGCAAATTTTATCTAAACATGAATATTCTCCAACTATAAAATGCACCTTATTTGAACATAACATGTAAATACATGTGTGTAATATATATAAAAACAGAACCCTAACAAAATGAAATTAATTGGCTATTAAGCAAAACCTATACAAAGCTGTAACTTGCCTCCATAGTAACAGATTGAGAAGATGTAAAATGGTATCATTTCAGGGAAAAAAATACTCTCATTCTACTACATAAGTTAACTTCCCCTCAATCTCACTGGTAACATATCCATTTTATTATGGAAAATCAGTGAAGAACTTAGAAAAGCAAAATGTCATAAACCTAGATGGATGCTCTTTAAAAAAATCACAAATTTTTTGGCCACTCAAAATGTGCTAAGCAAGCAAAAAGAAGAATCCTAATCTAAAAAGAATATGAGTTTAATCATAACTAAGCACAATATAAAATTCCTAAGAATCACAAGAATGGAACCAAAAGGAAAAAGTAGAAAAAACGACTTCTAATCTTCTCTCATCCCCCAAAATCTTAGTTCTAGGTGACTGTTCTTTCACAGCACAGAACACTTATATGTAACTTGATAAATGCAGTAACCGTTTCTACTGGGCATAACGAAATCACTATTCAAATACTGGAAAAGGGCCCCACCAGGAAGGCTTAAGTATTCACAGGAGATTCCCTTCCACTGTAAACAACACAAAACAAAGACATCTATGAAGGGGCTTCAGACAATGTGACACTGAGAGACAGGCAAAGGAGTCCAGCCTAGAAGAAGTTTCCAGCCTAAGAATCTGGACAAGAAACCCACACTGCATCCAAAGGATTCTCCTGGAGTTGAGGTGACAATGGTCAATGGGGTGGGCTCAAATATGTACGATGAGCATCAAAGAGGACTGAACTGCACAGAGAGCTCTGAGATCTATGCTGAGGTCCAAGACACTCTGTAGGATGGCAATGACACATGCATACATTGTTTAAAGCCCTGCCAGGCTGGAGGAAGTGAGAAAGCAGTATGCCAAATAATTCCCGGGCCTCTAATGAAGCTGGCGATAGCTCATGTGCCTACCAGCCAGAAAGGAGATTTCAAAATACACAGCAAAACTGTACTACGCATACCTCTAATTTTAACACTCAGAATACTTAAAAATGTGTGTGTAAAGCAGTGAGGATACAATGTCTGATAGTAGTTTGGTGTCAGGGCCTTGATTTGTGCTAAGGTGTTCTAAATTTCACTAACCATGGTTTTTATACCATCAGTGTAAATGTAAACATTATAGAAAAGGTAAGTACTGTTCCATTTTATTGGGAAAATAGGTGTTAACTCAAAAATCCTATGAAAAGATCACAGAAAAAACTAACAGGTCTACAAAGCACACAATTGTCGATTCCTGCCCTAGGGCACCTGCTAAAAATAAGACAAACAGGAATCTGTAATAAAACATTTGCAGACATTAACATGAAACATTAAAAAGTAATCAATTTCAACACAGAAAGAAAAAAGGAGCAAAGACACAAAGAACAGAAAGAATAAAGAGAAAACAAATATACCAACGAATATGATAGAGTTTTAAGCCCAACCATACTATGATATTAAATATAAATGGTCTACATTTCCCAACCTGGTGACAGGTTGTCAGACTGGACTGCAGCCTACAGGAAATCTGTCTTAATATAGACATAGATTGCCTAGAACTAAAAAAACGAAAAGACAGACCATGACAATGCTAATCCTAAAAATTAGGGTTATGTTATTATTAAACAGTCTTCAAAATGAGAAAGACTACCAAGCATAAAGAGGGACATTTCACAACAACGAGAGAACTGATTTGTCAAGAGCACAATCTGAAATGTTCATGTACCTAATAAAGTAACTTTAAGCAAAAATTGACAGAAATGAAGGGAGAAATACAGTAGTTGGATATATCACACACCATAGTAACTCGAATGGAAAAAGCTGAAATGTCCTTCATCTGCTGGAGAATGGATTAACAAGGGTGTATCCATACAGTGGCGCATCACCAGTGAATAGGAACAAACAACTGAAATATGCGTCAACAGGAATGAACCTCAAAATCATCATACTAAGTTAAAGAAATCAGACAAAAAAGGCTACATATTGTGTAACTCCATTTTGCTTTAAGAAGGCAAACAAAATAGAACAGTCTTCATGAGGGGCCAAGAAAAGAGAGAGGACTGACTCCAAAAAGGCCACGAGAACTTGGAAGGTCAGGGTTATATATCTGATTGTGGAGATAGTTACGTAATTACTTAACATTTGTTGAATTTTGCTTACACACTTAAAATTAGTGCATTTGCTGTATATAAAGTATACTTCAGTCTAATAGGTATGTATTTGAAACAGTAACTTACACTGATTTACATCAAGCCTTAACCTTAAATGTAACTGGTGATTTAGTTTCAATAAAGTAATCCTCGGGCCTCCCTGATGGCGCAAGGGGGTAAGCACCACACTATGAAGCAATTCACAGCCTCTGCAGCATGAGTTCAATTCCCGGCCGGCCAGGCAGCAACCCACATGGCACAGAAGACCTCTCCTGCCGCGCCCGCTGCTCCCCTCAGCAGTATACTTCAGTCAATCTGCCTGTTCTGTTCCCCACTATGTCTCTGGTGAATCCTCTCACCCCCCTGTATCTTTGGCCTGTACCCCAGCTCTTGTATGCATAAATCTTTAAAAAAATAAATAAAAATAAAATAATCCTCAACCCAACAAAACAGCATTTTTTTCTTTGATTAATAATGTCTGTAGCTATGTAGAATCACTTCACTGCTACTCATAAATACAAAACGAAAAACAAAACTCTGCACTTGGCTAGACTAGGCAAAGAACGGGAGTGGAACATTTTATACTAGAAAAGTAAGGAACTGCCTAAGGCATGATAGGAAAGGATATCAGACAGCTGAGCTAGGTTCTTAGTCAAATCTAAGGATAATACAAGCAACAAAATCACAACACACTTTTGAAACAACTTGTAAGTTTACTCTAAAACTCAATGGCCCACATAAACAAAAGGGTCAATAAAACACACAAGCGGCCTCCCTTGGTGGCGCAGGTGGTTGAGTGCAGCACTGTGAAGCTGCCCGTAGTCTCTGTAGCACGTGTTCAATCCCAGTTGGCCAGCAAGACACCCACGTGACACGGCAGACCTCTCTTGTCTCACCCGCTGCTCCCCTCAGCAGTGTATTTCAGTCAGTCAGCCTGTTCTGTTCCCTACTCTGTCTCTGGTGAATCCTCTCACCCCTCCCCCAACCGCACATGTGGCCTGTACCCCAGTTCTTGTATGCATGAATAAAACTTAAAAAAAAAAAGAACACACACAAGCAATGACAGCATCACAAAACCACCATCCTGCAAGCTTCAGAGTAACAACTTCATTAGGCAGAAGTCACCACCAGATCCTAAAACTTGTGGGTAACTCTTGATAAGGAATAGGACACTGGGCCTCCCCGGTGGCGCAGCGGTTGAGCGCTGGGTTGCGAAGCTGCCCGCAGCCTCTGAAGTACCGGCTCAATCCCCAAATGCTCCCCGGCCACCAGAGGAGGGTCCCGCATGGTGCGCAGACCTCTCCTGCCGCCCGCTGCTCCCCTCAGCAGTGTACTTCGGTCCTTCTGCCTGCTCTGCTCCCTGCTCTGGCTCTGGTGAATTCTCTCACCCTCCCGTGCTTCTGACTGTACCCAGTGCTTGTATAAATAAATAAATCTTAAAAAAAAAAAAAAAAAAAAGGAATAGGACATTAATGTCAGAGTCCTTCAAATTATGTATTAATTACAAAGAAAATGATGACTTTACGCAGAGACACATGGCAGAAATCACCTTAACCAAATGTTCAAAGACATTACCAATACCTGGACAAAACACAACCAAAAGCACACGGATGTAAGCACACAACATCACTTATGTCAAAGCCTGTCAAAAACACATAACCTGACTTAATGAATGACAACTAAAATTTGATATGCAGCCTCCAAATGAAATCTACAACAGGGAAAACCAAAAAAGCTGTATCAGGCACAAACAGAACCACAGGCAATGAGTGATTATAAACTATCAATTTGTTAAAAAAACTATGAATTTTAAATATTTTTATTTTGATAACGTTCATGGTTATTTAAGACAATATCTTTGGTCTTAGGAAATACACACTGAAGTTTCTAGAGGTAAATGGGTATGAGTCCAGAACTTAAAAGCAAAGAGTTCAAAGCAATATGAATATAGACAAAGCAAATATTAAAAAACATTAACAACTGGTAATCTGAAAGTAGAGGAATACTGTATTATTCTTTACATTTTTCAAATAAAAAGTTAAAATAAAAAAATAACTTACTTGTTGCCACATAGCCAAGCTGCGGAACCAAATGTTCATCTGCAGAATTTTCTCGGCCTGGTACTAATCTCTGATACTTAGTTGGATGAGGATTTCCATCTACATCTACCAAAAATGGTGGAGGCATAAGGTGAGGAGCCTGCTGAGTTTGCTCATCCAAAACATAATTATTAGAATCTCTAATCAGTGGTCGATAATCAGTATGGAAGAACATCTGATCAGGAATCTAGAAAAAGGAAGTTTACAGGTTGACATTTGAGACATATGTTAAACAATAAGCTAGAATTAGAAAAAACAAAGAAATCAAATCAATGCATCTAACCTATTTCCAAAACATTCTTCTCAACTACTCATTTACATGCTGTAAGTACGGAAGTATTAAAATGACCTTTTCATATGGCTTGCTGCATCCAAAACCAAATATGAGAAGGTGCCCATGAGAATCTGTACAGGCGAAGTGCTGTCCATCTGGTGAAAATTTACAGTCAAACACAGCTCCGTGTCCTTGCCCTTCGATCTAGAACACAGAGCGAAAAAATCAGGGCCAATTCCACATAAGTGCTTTTGTTCAATCAACTGTTTTCATGTTGATAGTGGGCACAACAAATCACTTATGGGAAAAACCTTAAAAGAATGAATTTTGCGTTAAACATACACATCAACATTTTCAGAAAACACAAATCATTTTAGATACCACTGGTCTAGAAAAAAATCCTGAAAGATACTCTGAAAATTAGTGCTCAAAATGAAGGATTGTAAGTCAATGCAAAGTGAAGATTTTATACTCCTTATGAGGAACAGCAGCAATTTCATAAGGACAGTTTTAATATACGACTGAAGACTACATAGACTAGAAATGGGTAAACCACCAAAGATCGGTATGCATTAACCAAAATCAGCACTTTTCTCAAGCTGAAGCCTCAGCAAGACAACCACACATCATGCCGAACCAATGCTGCTGCCAGCTCTTGGGACGTGCGCACAGATGCTGCAGGGACAACGGCCTTGATCAAATCGCCATGATCCCAGGAAAAACGCTATCAAGTGTGTCATGAATGCGGCCTTACTTCTACACTGTTTCCTACTTACTTCTTAACTATAAGTTACATCGGTTTAGTGCTATCAATTTATAGTTAACAGTGCAGGGCAATGCGGTTTGTTGTCTAAGCCTATAACTTTCCAATAGCGAAACTTTAGGACAAGTTTAACACTAGAAAAATGTATCCTCCACCCACTAATTGCCAAAACAAACGCATTCTGATACTACCATACCACACAGAAATGGTGCCAATTAACAAACTTGAAAAAACTTTACTGAGCTATGTAGGGTATGGCTAAATAAAATAGTATGTACATAAATTTGCATTCTCTCCTAATATAAAAAGGATAAAAAGTGTAAAAATGTTCCCCTTCTGTTTCTTCATTAAAATACAAATATTCTTGGGCCTCCCTGGTGGCGCAGCGGTTGAGCGCTGGGTTGCGAAGCTGCCCGCGGCCTCTGCGGCGCCGGTTCGATCCCCAGCTGCTCCCCGGCCACCGGAGGAGGGTCCCATATGGCGCGCAGACCTCTCCTGCCGCCCGCTGCTCCCCTCAGCAGTGTACTTCGGTCCTTCTGCCTGTTCTGCTCCCCGCTCTGGCTCTGGTGAATTCTCTCACCCTCCCGCGCTTCTGACTGTACCCAGTGCTTGTATAAACAAAACAAACAAACAAACAAATAAATAAATAAAACATGCCTCTAAAAAAAAAAAAAAAAAAAAAATACAAATATTCTTCCACATGGTCCTCAGAAGAGCCACCTACACCACAACCCACTGGCACCTTCGCTCCACTTGCACCCCTCTCCTGGGAACTCTAGTCCAAATACAGCAGAGGTGGGAAGTGGAGCAAGAGCCTGCAGCTGGCAAGGGAAGAATGGTGGCAGCTACTCCCCCTGGCACACCCGTGGACTTAACAACACCAAAAGCTTTGCTAAGGACACGTGCTGAAAAGGTTATCCCAAGTGGGCAAGTCAAACTTGAGCAGTCACCCAAGGCCTGCAGAGTCCTGCCTGGTGACTCCTGCCAAAATGCAACCTGCACTTTGCCTGCAGAACAAGTCTATGTCACATTAAAGTTGATTGGCAGGGGCCCCCTGGTGGCCTAGGGTGATGTCTCAGCGCCATCACCTCCACAGCCTAAGTTGGATTCCTGCCAGGGAGCTGACCCACAGTCACAGGAGACCTCTCCAGTCTCACCACTGCTCCCCTCAGCAGTGTATTTCAGTCAGTCTGCCTGTACTGCTCCCCACTCTCTGGTGAATCCTCTCATTAAAGGGCAAGAAATAGAAAAAAGACAAAATGACCTTTGAAGATTAAAGGAAAACTAGAGACACAGAATTACTTAATACAATGCATAGTCCAGAACTAGAATGTGATCCAAGAGGTAAATTATAACCATACATATTATTGGGACAAACGACAAAATCTGAATATAAATCTGGAGTAAGTGAAGCTATTTACCAACATGAAACTTGCGATTTTAGTAACTGTATTGTTATGTAAGAGAATTATAAAAACATCTAACAGGACCCTAATTGGTTCTAGAATAAACATACTAAAAAAAGGAGGCTGAAAAACCTATGATGCTTGGTTCCCAGAAGACTACTGAGCACTAAAATTTTTGCATTTGTTTCGTATCAAATATTTTAATAAATTTAAACAGTGAAACAGTTTTATTAATTACCATAATTTTGCACATTTGTGACACTTTCAAATGCATGAGGTTACACAGGTAACTTCTGAAAGTCTTTCCCTCCCGTAAATCCAGTTACATAGAGAATTTACACATGCACGCATACATGTAGCCATGGACATATGGCTGTCAGATCTTTATTAGGCTTTAGGTAGCCTAATTTCTAGAATTATAAGCTGCCAAAACATGCAGATCAGTCTCTAGCTGAACTTCATAATCAAAATATTTGAAACCAATGTAGCATGCACGCAAAGATACACGTCACTCACCATATTAAAATAATGTTTCATCTTGGTGCCTTTTGTAATATCCCATATAAATATGCTGCCATCATGTCCTGCAGATAACATAATTCTGGAATCAAAGGGATGTGTCTCCAAAACAAACACTTCATCAGCATGTCCCTTTATTCAACAAAGCCACATAGTTAAGGAGAGTTTGCAAGTTTTAAGTTTAAAATTAAATTCCCGTGTTGTCACAGCACATAAGGGCTCCTAACAATGTACTTATAGAATTTATACAATAGTATATAAATTTCTTTTCATTTGCCAATATGCTTAATAATTTATTAAAAAATAAAATTATTGTTCAAAAATACCTTGACTTTTTGATATAAAAGCTACCTACCACCCTAAAACCCACATAATGTCCTAACCAATGTTATGTCAATAAAGTATTTTTTAGGGCCTCCCCGGTGGCACAGCGGTTGAGCGCTGGGTTGCGAAGCTGCCCGCGGCCTCTGCGGCGCCGGTTCAATCCCCGGCTCCTCCCCGGCCACCGGAGGAGGGTCCCACATGGTACGCAGACCTCTCCTGCCACCCACTGCTCCCCTCAGCAGTGTACTTCGGTCCTTCTGCCTGCTCTGCTCCCCGCTCTGGCTCTGGTGAATTCTCTCACCCTCCCGCACTTCTGACTGTACCCAGTGCATGTATAAACAAAAACAAACACAAACAAACAAATAAATAAATAAAACATGCCTCTATAAAAAAAAAAAAATGAATTATTTTTTAAAAACTACCTACCAGTAAGTTATGAAGCAGCTGTCCAGTGTAAGAATTCCACACTTTGAGGACATGATCATTCACCGCGGTGACGACAATGCTATCGTTCTGATTCCAAGCTATCATTGTTACTTTGGGTTTCATAAACCTTTCCTCTTCCGAAGATAAGTCCCTAAGAACAAATTTCATTAGGATGGCAGGTTACACCATGTATGCAATCCCTTAACATCAAAACACCTAAAGTAATCCAGTTCACCCACATCAGTTCCACAGAGGAGTTCCCATCTGGCCCTCCACAGGGTATCTGTAACAGATAAGGGCAAAACCCCACTGAGGGGATGGATGACTGAGAAGCGGCCCAGACTGAATAAAGGCAGATTTTAGGACACCGCTGCTGCTCAGAAACACAAAGCTTTCCCCCTACCGCCTTCCTGTGATTTCCTTCTCCTGACCCCAAGCCCAAAGGTAATACTTTCAACCGTTTCTCTCTCCAGAGAACATGACAACAAACTGTAGGTAGACAGAAAGGGAATTCATCTTCATATCCTCAAAGTCTAGAAAAGTACGTGGCACTCTCAGCCTCCTGAACTGTAAGCGAGACATACTCTGTTCTCTTCTGCCCTAAGTGCTGGCATTAAGGGCGAATCACCCTATAGTGTTTTGCAGCCTCCCGGCAGTCCATGAGTTAAGTCCCAGGCTGTCACTGCAACTGGCCCCAGTTCATCCCCGGCCAGGGAGCTACCCACAGGGCGCAGCAGACCTCTCCTGTCTCCCCCACTGCTCCCCTCAGCCATGGATTTCAGTAGATCCGCCTGTTCTGCTCCCCACTCTGTCTCTGGTGAGTCCACTCACCCCCCACCTCTGGCCTGCACCCCAGTTCTTGCATGCATAAATAAAATCTTAAAAAAATAAAAATAAAAATAAACCCTCCATTAAAATGTGTGACTCTAGATCTCTATTACAGTGTAACTAAAATAATAATATTTGCAATGGGCTAGAAAACACTGCTGGGCCCTCTAGAACAGGCAACATGCAATAGGCAACAGGCAACTTTCATCATCTCATCTAAATTCACAACAGTACTTAAAAACAGGTAGTATCCCTCCCCAGATGATGAAAACAGACTAATGTTAGTTAAATGATGTGCTCCAGATTACTCAGCCATGAAGAGTATAAGTGGTATACAAGGAAAGGTCTAACTTTGCTTCCAACTCTTGCACTGACTCCCAATTTCTACAAACCAAAAAAGTCATCTATTTCAAATTTCTATTTTTACATTGGGAAGTACTACAATTACCTCAAAGATACTCAAGGAAAAGTCTGAACTTTGGTAAGGGCGGGGAGAAGGCTGGACAGTCTTCAAAGACATAAGTCAGACTTTTAGCAAAACTCCCTCCCACTGGGCTTGGTATTTCTATGCAAACAATGAGGTGTTCGCTAATTTATTCACTGGACTTAGCTACCAGTGACTTTTTTTAAAAAATCCTTTCTACAGAAAGGTAAAATGTCCACATTTAACATATCTGAGTTAATTTTATAATCTTTTTTTAAAATTGTAGGTGGCTGCAAATGGAACACCTAAAAAAGTCAATATTTGGAGCAACTGTAGAACAGGATTGTCTTTCCTACATAAATGTAAGGATTCTTTTTCCAATATATATTTTTTTAAAGATTTATTTATTTATGCATACAAGAGCTGGAGTAGAGACCAGAGATGCAGGGGGTTGAGAGGATTCACCAGAGACAGAGTGGGGAGCAGAACAGGCAGAATGACTGAAATACACTGTTGTGGGGAGCAGTGGGCGAGACAGGAGAGATCTGCTCGCCATGTGGGTTTCTCTCTGGCCAGCTGGGGATCAAACTTGTGCTGCAGAGGTTGCAGATTGCTTCACAGTGTGGGGCTTAACCCCTTGAGCCACCAGGGAGGCCCCCAATATATTTAATTTAATTATCTACTTATCAGGCATGCAGGAAGTACCATTCACTTAAATTATAGCTCCTCCCCTGAACAAAGCAGTCATTCAACTAGAGAAAGAGACCAGCACCAACCACACAGCTTCCTACAACAAACTTACCCGGAGAGCCTGGTGGCCATATCCAATAAAATGCTTCTCCACTCTAATTGCTCAAATCTCCAAATCCGTGCTGTTCCATCTCTGCTACCACTTAAGAACCTTAAAATATTCAGGAAAAAGGGCTTATACTCACATACACGCCACTCATGACAACAGTTAAAATCATAAGCAAAATATTTAACACAGCTATCTTGACTATAGGTTAAGCTGCAGGTGTTCATTCCACAGGCAGATAGTTGAACAGATATGAATGAGAAAAATCAAGTGTGCTATGATTTGCTTAGCCCTACAAAGTAAAGCAAATTTCAAAATAGCTTGTCAAACAGTTTGGGGTTTGAGAAGACAATGTACAAGAAGTACGTGGAGAGGGGGAAAATAGGAAGAATTAAAGACTTAGGGAAAATTAGTTACGAGCAAAAAGCTCCACTATATGCACCTTCACTCTAAAATTCAAACTGATTCATGCTGGTCCCTGTGTACAGATAACCCTAGAACAAACTGCAGTTCAGGAAAGGTACCCAGCAGGCCTCGAGGACCACACACCCTGCTGCAGGACACCTCAAACGCTGACCAGGAAAGATTTTTTTTTTAAAACTACTCACAAACATGAGATTTCATTATCCTTACACTGAATTTTTCTGTAAATCAACATTTAGTGAATGTTGAGCTAAAGAGTAACTACTTTGGGTCTTAAGAGCCAAGAGAAACTACAATTCTAAAAACTTACATTTCATGTTTCCACCCTGCCCCAGACACTTTTCACTCAATTAGCATATTACTAATAAGCACCCATATTTACACTATGCTGTATTTGCTATCCCAGTAAGCAGTAGTCTATTTACCTGAAAACAAAGAGACAGACACTTAACTTACCGATCACCATTGTTACAGAATTGAATACTATCGACTTTATCCTAAAAGGGTAAAAAACACAAAAATGATCAACTCATAGTTTGTGAACAAAAAGCAGTCATTTTAGAGCTAGAAGTACATTTGGTTTTAACACAAGATAAGCACTTGGTCCATTCAGCCCCATTGTTCAAACAAGGATTGTACATTTAAGTGCAGAGTCTATGACTCTAACAAGATGATTAAAATACAGTAATGGAAAAGCTCTGCTTCTAAAATTAAAGCTTCATTTACATTGAATTATTAATTACAACTGTGTCAAGTTGGTATATGTGGAAAGCAATCAAAATATAAAGGTTTATACGGCTGAAAACAATGCACATTCACTTCGATAATAATGTACAGAAATATTTTTTTTCTTTTAAAGTGATATGAATCCATGTTTATAAACTCACAGAACTTCCAACAGGAAAAAAGAGAGCCAGTAAGCCAGGGTTTTGAGAGCTATCTATCTTTATCATTAATAAAATAGTCTTTTGCTTTCATGAGCTTGGATAAAGTTAGTAAGTTAGGTGTCCTGGACATAAGCCACTCAGCTCAACTGTCACATCAAGATTATGGACTTGAAGCTGAAATTACCGCTGGGGCAGATCAGCAACATCACAGTGCTGTGTGGCCTGTCAATGACAGCCTTCACCTTTAAATCAGCAGCAACTCCCCTTAGCGACATCTGCCTCTGTACATAGAGGTATATTATTAGAATGAATCTGTAGTCTTAAAATGTGGATACTTACAGTGTGGCTTTCAAGTTCTGCAATTTTTTCAGGTGCTTCAAAACCCAAAAAATACATTCTGATTACATGATCAGTACTACCTGTGGCTAAAAACATACCACCTAAAAGAAAAACGTCAAAGTTTAAATACACAGTTTATAATGAATACCTAAAACAAGCCAAATTTCTATATTAAGATCTCTTACACCGAAATTAAGTTTACTTCATTAGGTATATTTTCTAACTCATTTTACATAAAGACCTTTTGAAATTAATCTCATGTGTGAGCTTGTGATTAAGAAATATAAATAAGGTCTCCATTCCCATTTGACAGAGATCTGAAATCCCTTGGAATGTCTGAAGTGATGGAGTGATAAAACTGTCTTGATATTCATAACCTATCTCCAACACACCCAAGTTTACATTAGTGAGGAGGTTTTGGAAAGCACCTAAAAATGGTGGGTGAACTGCCAGGGAACCAACCATCTGATTAAAGGGCTAGAACTTCCAGTCCCACCCCTGACCTTCAAAGGAAGGGAGCAGAAAGAGGTCAATCAACCGTGCCTACTGACCAAGTGTCCCTTAAGAACCCAAAAGAACAGGGTTTGGAAAGCTTCCAGGCTGAACATGTCAAGATCAGGAGAGAGAGGGCCCTGCCCACATATTTACTCTATGGGCTATTCCATATGGCTGTTCCTGAATTTTAAGTTAAAATGTTTTTAAGTTCTCTGAGCTGCCTCTAGCAAATTAATCAACCCAGTGAGAGGGGAGCAGTGGAGACCTCTGATCTATAACCAGGCGTCAGAATCAGAGGTCACAACCTGGTCTGCAGCTGGGGGGTGGGAGAGGCCTTTAAAAACTGAGCCCTTAACCTGTGGGGCCTGACAATGCTGTCCAGGTGGTGTCAGAATTGAATGGAACTGCAGGACATTCAGCTGGAGTGACAGAGTTTGGTAGTGTTGGAGGGATGGGGCTTTAATTTAAAAAAGGCTAATTCAGTGTAGAAATGCCTACTATCTCCTCCTGCTTTATTAGCTGGCAATGACCTTAAGTGCCAATGCTCTGAAAATATCTAACAAAGGGGCCCTGCTTCCTAAGAAAGCCCACACCCCATCCCTAGCTGTGGATGACAAAGTTCACTTGCTGGAAGTTGTCTGACCTCTACAGGGAAAAAGTCTGTGACCTCCCCTAAAAAGAAAGGTTCCCACACAAGTTCACGTGGAGAAAAGAAAATGGATAATAAATTCACCCAAATGTGTAGAAAACAAATTTAAACTACCAAAAATAATGCGGTTTCAGTGGTTGAAAGAAAATATCAATTTTGGCCTATCACATACACAGGGCAGCGGGCACCTTCAGCCTCCTTTCTGCCAACTATCTCTTCTACCACCAACTCTTAACCGCTACTAGGAATCAGAGAAAGGTAGAATGGGGAAGGGGCTGATTAAATGATCATCACAGGATACATCTAATGGAAAGAACACAGGCCATTTACCATCCATCTGGTAAAGGCCTTCATAATAGTGCCGTCAGTCACTAAATGCTAATATTAAACTAAGGCAATGACCACAGTCACTTACCAACACTGAAAGAAGAACAGAGCATCTGGACACCTGGTCTGGGCTTCTCAGTGAACTTCAGGGGACGTGGGCTTTAAAAACATGTTTTAAAACACATTAGTTTAATATACAAATGCAGTTTAAGATGTTCGTTTTAATCTAGTATTTGTAAGTATTATATAACCTTAATTCTATAGCCCTTCATAGTACCCCAACTATTTCCGTATTAGTAAAGATGGTGCCCTCGGAGGACAGTCTAGCCCCACCTTCCTACCAAGCCCACGGCACCACACGACACAGAAAGCAGGACTGACGAAGCTCCGCTCTGTAAGTTAGGGACCAAAGCTCAGCACCTAAGGCTGCAGAGCAGGTTCTAGAACCACACAGGGCACATTATCCAGCAGAAATTGAAGGAAGTCACATATGTAAACTTTGATTTTTAGTTGCTACATTAAAAGTAAAAAGTTTTATTTCAGTTAACCTGAAATATCCAAAATAGTTCAATATTGGCAACATTTTAACAAGAAAGTTGATTTGATTCTTTCACATATCTTTGTAATCTTCCTAACCAAGTTTTCATCAAAATTATTTAATCAGTATTCAGATTTTACAAAGTATAGTTGAAAAATGTACATATTCATAGTGTTTTGAAATATGCTGGAAATTTTTGTTAATAACTGAGTCAAGTATCAGTTATTAAACAGAAATTAACAATTCAGTTCCTCAATGACATTACCCACAAGGCACAGGGAGCTCAGTGGGCACCATGCTGAATGGCAGGTGTATCTGCCATTTTGAAACACTTCAAAATGCTGTCACATACGCAATACTCCTTACCTTCTTTTTCTCACAAAAACACGTACTCTAAGACAGCTAGCTATGTCTCTTCTACACACCCACCTACCCAAACAGTGAGCCCTGACAGTAGTAGTCAACATGGGATTTATACTCCAGATGATAAAAATTAAGTTTGAAAGAAAAGGACAATCACAGTACATAATTTCTCCTCATAACCAAACTTCATCAGGCTAAACGGTAACATTTAAGAAAAGTGATCATACAAGAAAATCACTCACCTGAATTTCAGGGAGTCCAGATCCCACTGCCAGAAACAAACGGTCCCATCAGCACCGGTGGAGACCATGTATCTCTGGGGGCCTTTGGCCATAGGGCTAAACTAAAAAGCAGTAACACACACAATTCAGTTTACTGAATTTTTGTACTGAAGTGATCAATAATTTTTTCAAAGTTAACGTCAACTGACACGCTAAAATACAAGAAATCCAAAATATAGGTGATGCCACTGCAGTGAAAAATTATGACCTATACAAAAGTCTAATTTATGAAAAAGGTGAACTCAAAAAAAATTCTTTTCAAAACTAATAAAAACATGAATAGCCAGAAAAACTTTAAGGTAGAAAATCCAGTCCTGTCCAGTATTAAAACAAATCACATAGCCGCCAGTGAGAGCCCAGGGCACGGGGGACACATGGAAGAAACGACCACTGGGAAAATCACAGCATAAAAAACCTTAAAGAAGATAAAGGTGCCACCTCACCCCACCTGGAGAGGCTGCGATTATGGCATAAAAGGGGAAGGGAAGGAAGTGCACAGGGACTATGGATAAGGTGGCAGAACTACAGGGACTACAACTGAGGGGAGAAACCAATGACTGTCCATACCAATTACATGAACAACGACGTAAGAATTTTTAAAAAAAGTAAATACAATTAAAGGGGGAAAAAAGATAAAGGGACAACTTGGAGGAGCAGAACCCATTCTGAAGATTGTACACCAGGACAAATTCCAAGTAGATCAACAATTTAACGACTTCAAAACCCAGGCCTCCCTGATAGCCCAGGGTTAAGCACTGCACTATGAAGCAATCCACAGCCTCTGCAGCATGAGTTCAAACCCAGCCGACCAGGGAGAAACCCACATGGTGCGGCAGACCTCTCCTGTCTCCCTGCTGCTCCCCTCAGCAGTGGATTTCAGTCAGTCTGCCTATTCTGTTCCCCACTCTGTCTCTGGTGGATGCTTTTACCCCCCGCATCTCTGGCCTGTACCCCAGCTCTTGGATGCATAAAGAAATAAATCTTAAAAAATACTTCAAAACCCAAACTGTACAATTATTAAAAAAAACAAGAATCATACTGTAATTCCAGAATCAGGTCAACATTTGCACATCATCAAGTGCCAATTCAGCTGTACAGACACGCCAGGGAAAGGAAAATGGACCCAGATACACCCAGGAAAGCTTGCAAGATTCCACTGCAAGGAACACAATGACAAGTACAAATGATAGCAGTGTGGTAGGTGACAGCAACGGGAAGATCTGGACGAGCAAGGATTTGGGGAGTGGTAGGGAAATGGGTTAAGTGAGCCAAGAACCTGGAGTCAGTAAGAGCAAAGACGCAGCTGTAGTTCTCAAGCAAAACACTGACAACAACAAAAAATGTATTTGAGAGCAGGATATACTGAGCACAGGATTAGAGGAGGTGACCCTAGGGCCTCCTTGGTGGTGCAGGGGTTAAAGACAGCGCTATAAAGCTACTGCTAGCCACTAGAGCACAAGTTCGATGCCCAGGCAGGGAGCTGACCCACATGGCACAGCAGACCTTTCCTATCTCCCCGCTGCTCCCATCAGCAGTGTATTTCAGTAGATCTGCCTGTTCTGCTCCCCACTTTGTCTCTAGTGAACCCTCTCACCCCCACACCTCTGACCTACACCCTAGTTCTTCTACCCATAATAAAAATAAATCTTAAAAGGGCCTGTCTGGTGGCGCAAAGGGTTAAGACGCAACCTATGAAGCTATCCGCAGCCACTGCAGCACAAGTTCGATCCCCAGACAGGGAGCAGCAGACACATGGCACAGCAGACCTCTCCTGTCTCGCATGCTGCTCCCCTCAGCAGTGTATCTCAGTCAATCTGCCTGTTCTCCTTCCCACTCTGTCTCCTGTGAATCCTCTCACCTCTCCCCACACCTCTAGCCTGTACCCCAGTTCTTGTATGTATAAATTTTTTTTTAAATCTTGGGGAAAAAAATGGGCAGAAGAGCCAAAAAGACACTTCTCCAAAGAGGAAATGCAAATGGCCAGCAGGTATATGAAAAAATGTTCAAAATCACTTGTTATCAGGGAAATGCAAATCAAAACCACAATGATACCACCTTACACCAGCAAGAGTGGCACATATTAAAAAAAAAAAACAAAAAACAGGAAAAACAAATGTTGGCAAGGATGTAGAGAAAAAGGAACTCTCCTATAGTGCTGATGGGAGTACAAACTGGTGTGGCGGTTCCTCAAACTACTGAAAATGTAGCTTCCATATGACCCAGCATTTGCGCTCCTAGGAATATACCAAAGGATACCCAAAGGATACAAAAACATTAATTCAAACGGATACCTGCATCCGTTTATTGCAGCACTATTCACGAAAGGTAAGATTTGGAAACAACCCAAATGCCCAAGATAGATGACTGGATCAAGATGTGGTACATATACACAATGGAATATTACTCAGCAATCAAAAAAGATAAAACTCATGCCATTTGCAGCAACATGGATGGCACTGGAAGGGATTATGCTCAGCGAAAAAAGCCAGGAAGATAAAGAAAAATATTGGATGGCTTCACTTATAGGAGGAATGTAGAGGAACCAAATCAGGGATGAGGAAAAAAAATTAAATTAAAAAACAAAATTAACAGGCAAATATAAATCAGAGATATTCTACAGGGGAGGGGAAGGAGAGGGATCAAAGCAGGGGCGGGAGGAGCACAAGGGACTATGGTGATGGTCACGGGTGAATGGGTGGTGGGGATCTTACGGGGACTATCCCTGGGAAGAGAAAGCACACAGTGTACAAAAAGAATGATGTAAAAAAGTATATATATATAAAGATACTCATGAAAAAATATGCATCCCTTCATGCTTGAATTATGGGGCTTTTGGTCCCATCTGCTGTGGTTCTTGATGGTGCAGAGAGCTCTGGTTTCAGGAGATGGGTCCCCTACTCTTCACTTTACTAAGCTCTCAGCGGGTTTTAAGTGATTCATCACTGACTGAGCATGTCCTTGTTTTTTCAAGAGATTTCTTTTTAGTGCCCAGCAGGAATATATACGCTGTGCAGCTCCTCTGCCATTTCTGTGTAACGCCATTTCCTCAAATGCAGTGTCACTGACGCACAGCTCCATGTACTAACCATCAAGGCACTCACCAACGACTACAACCTGCGCTCAAGATATTAGGAGAATCTCACATTTCTAAAAGGGTTTGAAGATTGCTGCATAAAGGAAGGAAACAGTATGAGCTACCATTTCTCCAAGTTCTTTCTGGCTTTATAATCAATACCATGATCTCCAGTGTCTATTTCCAAAGTCATTCCACTTTCCTTGAAAGCAACACATTTTTGCGGTAACATGGATAGCGCTGGATAGGACGATACTAAGTGAAGTAAGTCAGAAAGGGGAAGATAAATATGGGCTGGTGTCACAAATACATGGCACATAAAGTAACTAAACACTCAGATAAAGGGGCCTCTCTGGTGGCCTAGGGGTTAAGTATCAGCGCTCTGTCACTACAATGGTGTGCATTCGATCCCCGGCCAGGGAGCCGACCCACAAGGCGCAGGCAGACCTCTCCTGTCTCCCCGCTGCTCCCCTCAGCAGTGGATTTCAGTAGATCCGCCTGTTCAGCTCCCCACTCTGTCTCTGGTGAGTCCTCTCACCCTCCATACCTCTGACCTATACCCCAGCTCTTATATGCATAAATAAATCTTTAAAAATAAAAGACTCAGATAAAGACTTGTTTAAAAACTAACCTTTGACAGCTGACTACAGAACGGAAGCACCAAGGCAGGGAGGGCGGAGGAAGCACCGTGGACAGTGGTGGTGGGATGTGGGTGAGCAGGTGGTGAGTGCACCACGGTGGTAACTGATGAGCATAACCAAATATTACCTCAATTAAAAATAAAATTTTTTTGAAAAGGAAGTCTACACATTTTGAGTGACCAGTATTTTAACAATGCTTGGGAGTTTAGTGACTTCTACTTTCACAACAGGTTCTGGGATGTGAGAGAGTCGCTCATGGAGGCCTATTCCCAACTCTGCTATTAAAGGACACGCTACCCAAGGGTACTCAGCTATCATCCCAGCAGCTGTTAAAATGCAACTTTCCTGTGTGCTCACATATGCATTAGAGACAGAGCTCTCACTGTCACACACACACAGTAGTCACACAACATAAAACTCACCATTTGAATCATTTGAAAAAGGAACTTAGTGGCATTTAGTGCATTCACAATGCTGCGTGGCCATGACCCCCATTGTGGCCCCATGCAAGACAGCACAACCTTGTCGAGTTTTTTTCAACCAATTCTCTTGGCTTTTAGGAAGCAACCAAACTATGTGAAAATTAGCATTTTATCTCTCCTTTTCCAATATTTATATACCTTTGTTCTTTCTTGCCTGGTAGTATTTGCTAATGTTGAACAGTAGCTTTGATAATGCAGGGTTCATTTTCCCCATTCAATTTAGCAATATCTCAAATCTGCATAAAGTTAGAATAAATGAACGCTCATGTACCAGGTAACTGAGGTTCACCAGTGTTAGTATTCTCCAATACTTGCTCTTGATTCGGACACAAACCCTCTAAGGTGCAGACAGAATGACACCTCAGCCCCAAACACACACCCTGTGCCTCCTAAGCAGATGCTCCACCCAGCTGCACCGCTGACCAGCACACGAGCAAGTGGCACCTGAGCGGCACCTCTGGGGACACACAATTCACAATGAAATGACCCCAATTTCTCAAATATCCTTTATAGGCTTTTTCTCTCCAAAGCCAGGACTCAAAGCTCAAACTGCATTTAGAATTGTCACATTTTTCTCAGTTCTCTTACAAAACATTCTTCGTTTTTGCCATCTTGAAACTAAACCTTGGAAGGAGACAGGAAATTTATTCCACATACTGTTTATTAATTTGGTTTGCCTGCTTGCTTAGTCATGAGGTTCAGGTTAACATTTTCAACAGAAACACTGATACCTGGAAAATGAATTTAACTACAGATACCACAGATATCATAGTTACAGTTTTATTCAAGCTTTTTTTTAATCAAGTCTTGGTGTTTTTCTGAATATTTATACCCACTTTACCTACATTTTCAAATTTCCTGTATAGTTTTTTTTTTTTTAAAAAAGATTATTTATACAAGCACTGGGTACAGTCAGAAGTGCGGGAGGGTGAGAGAATTCACCAGAGCCAGAGCAGGGAGCAGAGCAGGCAGAAGGACCTAAGCACACTGCTGAGGGGAGCAGCGGGCAGCAGGAGAGGTCTGCGCGCCATGTGGGACCCTCCTCCCGTGGCCGGGGATCGAACCTGCGCCGCAGAGGCCACGGGCAGCTTTGCAACCCAGCGCTCAACCGCTGCACCACCGAGGAGGCCCTGTAACATTTCTTATTTTGTTCCTTGATTAATCTCAGACTGTAAGTCTCCCAAACAACTTTTTGCTTTGTTTTTGTTCTGATTATTATGCTTATTTTTCTACCCTTAATTTCTGCACTTATCTAATGACATCATGAAATTACCTCCTCTACTGTTTCCTGTTATTTTTCTAATTTCCTGACAAATGCACTTAATCACAGATTTTCAGACTTTTTTAACCTACACATCGAGGGCTATAAATACCCCTTTCTGCACAGCCTCGGCTGTGTTACTCATCCATTGCTATGTAACAACTACCCCAAAATTAAGCTACCAAAACAGTGATGAAAATTCATTATCTTGCAATCTCAACAGGTCAAGATTCAGGAGCTGCTTATCTGGGTTAGTTCTGGCTCAGGTCTCATGAAGTTACAGGCAAGATGTCAGCACAGACCTGAGGACGGAGGCCACTTCCTGAAGGGCTGGCTCACAATGGCTGCTGTGGCAACACTTTACCTCCTTGCCACGACAACACTCGCTCCATAGGAAGTGTCCTATCAACATGACAGCTGGATTCTCCCGGGACAAGTGAGTCGAGAGAGGAGGAGAGAAGCTTCCATCTTTTACTCTCTAGCAGTGGAAGTCACAGTACATCACTTTCCAGTATCACACAGGCTACCCAGTCCACCCCTCTTCAGCAGAGAGCATTAAGGGGCATGAGGAGCAGGAGGTGGGAATCACTGGGTGTCACATTCACAGCTGGCTACCGAGCATAACAGCCCACAAGGTACACAGCCCGGGAAATTTTCATTACTAATCAGTTCAAAATACCCTCAAATTTCTAGTGTGACTTCTCCTGTGATGCATGAGTAATTTAGAAGCTACTGTTAATTTACAACAGTGAGGGTTATTCTCCAATTAACTCTGCTATTAGCTTATGGCTTAACTATACCTTTGTCAGGGTCAGAATGTAGCAGTATTTATATAATAAACACCCCACACTTGTAACTGAAAAGAAATGACAAACATGTTACATGCAAGGTCCCAATGTGTCATCTAGGTGAATTTTATTATTTATTGTGTTCAAATCTTATTCTTGGTGACAAAGATCATCCTTTCAGCTACCAGGAGGAGCAGTGTGTTGAGCTCCCATTGTGATGATGCAGATCTGTTTCCCCCCACAGCTTCTATCTGTGCTTCCTGCAGCGGGAGCCTGCTCTACTGAATGGCTGCTACCGAGACCCTGCCCACCAGGAGAACTTGCACTTGAAGTGACCAAGCCCCTAGATGGGTGACTCTGAAAGGGAGGTGCTTGGGGGATGGCAGCAGCAGTATGGAGAACTGGTTATAAACACAGGCCCACTTCCAACTTATGAAATCAGAGAAAATCAGAATCTTTGATGTGGGCCTCCTAGCAATAGGTGTTTTAACAAACAAGTCTCCTAATCATTCCCATGCGCATGAAGAGAAACATACTAAATCCACTCCGGAAAGATGCAAACAGCAACAAACTGTAGGAACTCTACAGAGAAACAACCCAAGGCCTTCAAAGAAAAGAAGCAAGGGAATGGGGGGGGGGGTAGGGGGCAGTAGGATACAATTTACGATTCTTTTAATCTACGGCAACAAACTATAAAGTATAAGCTTTGTTTGGTTCCTAATGCAAACTAAAACGCAACTTATGAGAGAACTAGAAATCTGAACATCAACAGTGTTGTAGGGTCTCCCTGGCGACGCAAGGGGTTAAGCACCACACTATGAAGCGGTCCACAGCCTCTGCAACACGAGTTCGATCCCCCGCCAGCCAGGGAGCAACCCACACGGCGCAGCAGACCTCTCCTGTCTCGCCTGCTGTTCCCCTCAGCAGTGTACTTCAGGTGATCTGCCTGTTGTGTTCCCCACTCTGTCTCCTGTGGGTCCTCTCGCCCCCCACACCTCTGGCCTGCACCCCAGCTCTTGTGTGCATGAATAAATGTATCCTAAAAAAAAAAAAAATGTTGTAGCTGTGTTTTTAAAAAGGAATTCTGATCTTTAAGATAAACGATTTACAGAAAAAACACATGAAATCCAGACTTGTGTTAGGTAGAAGACAAGTTAGGTTGGTGAGCACAGAAGGGTTTGTTATTTTTGTCTACTTTATGTTAAAAATTAGATTCCACAAAAAAGTGGAAGAAAATTTAAATGTATTTCTGCAAGTATCATCAACTAATCAAAATCCTTAAGTTTTAAAGTACAAAAATCATTAACATTCCCTCAGTTTATAAATGACACTCAATTCAACCATAAACCTAAAGGAAGCCATCAGCCATCCATCAAGCCTTTATGTGAAGTCCTAACTGCATTAGTTATTACATTCCCTTCAAGACTGGTGGAAGCATGGTTGATTACATTTTCTCTTGATTACTACATGCAAAATTGGTCATAAAATTACTAAGCATCTTACTATTTCTCAGAAGTAGTAGCTTTAATGGAAAAATGGACACCCCACAAGTGTGCACACTAAAGCTAGTTACCTGCAGAGATGTAATGGACCCTGTGTGGCCTTGGAGCACAGCAACTGGGGCACAAGTTCTCAAGCACCACACTCGAATTATCTTATCACAGCTCCCTGCAGCAATCATTGTATTCTCATAGTTTACTGCCATGTCTGAAATTTCTGCAGAATGACCTCTCAGCGTGGAGAGCAGGCGGCCATTATGTGTTGACCAAATCTTCACCAAACAATCATCTGAACCCTAAGAAAAAAATACACCCCAAAATAAATGCTAGCGTAGCAAGTCTTTTATGACATTGAAAAGAATACCATTACAGGTCACTCAAATTAGGTACCTACAACTCCTCTCTTTATGGCTGTAGAATATACTGGAAATTACAAATGTCATGGTCAGATGACACATTGTTTCTTCAAATTATATAATACCTATATAACAACATATAATGTGTTGACTTCTATGAATCTGACCACATTATAGATACTATTTTACCAAAATTCTTGGCCAAATAATAAGTTCACTAAAAGTTCATAGTTCACCTATTTCAATTAATGTTTTAATGTTTAGCTGATATCAAACTAAGTTGGGTAAGCTTTAGAACAGATCTGCATTTCACAGCTGAGAAACAATAGTAAATGGCAATCCCACAGCAACTAAAAAATAAAAACAGTGTCCTCATTTAAATAATCAAACAGCAGTCTCAAATTGAGAGTACCAGCCAGCATCCACTCACCCCTCAAATTTTTGATTATTTACTCTGAATCTCACAAACAGAAAATGAATTTAAACTTTTCACCCACCCTAAAACATTTAAACAGAAAATTAAATTCCAAATGTTTATATGTAGTTTTAAAATCATTTGAACCCTAAAATAGCATTTTATAATCAATCCGTTTCTCTGGACCAGTGGTTAATATGAACCACCTGTAGGGATCTGGGTTGGTTTGTTTTTGACTTATACACATACTAAAGATTAACCTGTGTAGGTCTACAACAGGCTGGAGGGAAAGCATTAGGCACGCAGGTGGTCAAGCATTCTCGATGACCATGCCAAAGAACCACTGCTCTAAATCAAGGTCTCAGAGACACCTCACAAGGCTTGACTATCTAAATCAATGAAATTCTTAACAAAAACCCGAGTGCATGGGCCCCAGACCTCAGACCCACTGAGTTAAAAGCCCAGAGAAAGGGAAGCATAGAAGCTACATAGGCTGTAAGATTTCCCAAATGATTCTGATGTTCACTAGAGTGCTCCATGTGATACCAAATTGAATTTAAAAGCATTAACTCACTGTAAATATTCTATGTCCTGTCCTATCAAATGCTACACAGTAAACAGCAGACAGATGTCCCAGAATCCTTCTGTGCATTTTTATGTGCTGATACATAGTTCCTGGAAATGCTGTGCTAAAAGTGGAACACCCTGTGAGTTGTTTTCCTCGATGTATCTCCACTAGGAAATAAAAACAACAAAAACAGTTAAGGGAGAGTCAATACGTAAAAAGCTAAGAAAATCTCAAATACATTTTCTAGAGGGTCACAAAATCTATGTTCAAGAAATCCTAAGAATACAAGTTTGTTCCTAATCCTATTCCACTGTACTTACTACTATAAACTTTTTCATTTTTATCACATTTAGTAATTACCTTAGAAAGCAATAAAATTGAAAACTGAAATTTGTTACTATTAAAACAACACTACTCTCAGAATTTCCTTTTAAAATTTAATATAGCCACTACCAAGCCAGTCAAGAGTTTAAGAATGGTGTTCAGGTACCTGAAAGGCCAACCTCACTTACCAAGATTTGGTGGGGAACCATAATTCACGGGCATTTCAGGAGGTCTTCCTCTGTGAAGAGCAGCAAAGGCAGAGCCCTTCCAAACTGTGTGCCTGCAGTCTTTAAAATGAATTTTAGATACACATAAAATCTTGAAAGTTAACCCCAAGAAAGATTTTATAGAATACTTACGTATATTGCAATAAACTGTTTATTCAAAGTTTTTACCAACTAATATACTTTAACAGAAAAGCCCTAGAGGTTTATTAGACTATTTCTGAAGGAAAAAAAAAATTAAGACATCTCAGTTACAACAACACTAACATTTGTGTGGCACTTTACAAGTTACAAAGTGCTTTCCACATACAGCATCTCATTGCATCCTCACAACAACCCTGTGAGGTAGGTGTCATCGCCAACTTACAAATGAGGTAACTGAGGCTCAAAGGTTCCAGGGACCCCTAGGAGTTCCCCTGCAACTGATCAGAAGGGTAGGCCACACAAGCAGATCCTTGGCCTTCAAGTCCCATTTGATGCCAAATAAGTTTTCTCCCCAATGCAGAAATATACAAGATTAATGCCACGTAGTCTCGATCACAAGTGGTCCCACTTTCCAAAAATGGAAATTTTTGTAACTCATATGAAAATTCTTGACTTAATTAACTTGTTCAAATGTTACTGAGTTTTAAAATTCATTTTGGCCATTATTACCATGACTTTAATCTCCTTAGGAAATACTGACAAATTAAAAACAAATGGCTTCCCACTTGTTTTAGGATCACAGTTAATCCTTTACACAAGAGCACTACGTAGGATCTGTGAGTCTGAACACTAATTCTAAAGTTCCATTCCTCTTTGACCTGCCAGCAAATATACTAAGAAAAAAAAGTCTGCCCCCTCTCCTAGGAGACAGCAGTGGAACACAGGTCATCCTGTGCAAGAAAGGAGCTTCTTCAGAATTCAAAGAGGAAGGGAAGGAGGGGTCCTACTAAACCTCTTCTGAGCCTCGGGTGCCCCAAGCTAACAGGCATCACACGTGTTACAGGAACAGGCCCATTTCCACGACCGTGATCAATGCAGCGGCCAGGCGTCCTCCACGGCACTAGTACAGAGCAGAGAGCGAGGCCCGCACGAGGGCAGCGCGGGTCTTCTAAGGTCTGCCAGCTCTAAAGCAGTGCTCGTCACAAAACGACATTGAGCTTGACACAAGCAAGAAAACAGGAAAACAGGCTACCCAGGCAACTACTATGTAACAACCTAAAATAGAGTAATTACAAGGTGAGTAGGGACATAGAAGATGGAGGAGCAGGAACAGGCTCCTGACCGGAGCCACAATGGTGCGGCACAGAGTGCCAAGCGACAACTACAGCTGACAGATCATTCTGGCACAGAACCGCGAGGGAGGGGTGTTCTTTCTCAGTCAAGCTTTCTACTGGGTGTGCATCTAAGAGGCAGCACAGCTCTTAAGAATACCCATGGGGCAGGAACTGCTTAAGTTCAAGATCAGAAGAGGCAACATTCTTGCCCACTAGCAGTCAAGCCATGTTGATACACAGATCATATCACATACATATGCTGAGTCTAAGTGGTTTGTACCAAGCTAACAGAAAGGAACAGCAATTCCAAACATTTTGCTACCACGTAACTTTGCAAAAAAAAATTAAGTTGGTGAAAAAAGAACCATGCAATTGTACATTTTTGGTGCTTATTTTCAAACTGCTACCAAATTTAGGAAATCACGTTCCCCTTATAACAAAGGGCTTTCAGAATCTAAATACCAAGTGAAATACTTCTAGCATTTAAAGAGTTTATTAGACACATACAATTACATCCAATGAAGTTATAAGTGAGCTACAAAATGGAAAATTAAGAACTCACATTGATAAAACTTCAAACACATCTCAAAATTGCAGCTTTTTAGCTTAACATCTATACCTTTATCGTTTTTTCAAATGAAGGACCCATTGAACACTTATGTAATAAAATTCAACATCTATGCTAAATGCAGAGAATTTTATAGTCCACAGCATGGGTTATAGTTACATATCACCTTTCTTCCACAATGCTTACATTACTTCACAATTATAATTATTAAGCTAGTAATACAAAGCAGAACACTTCTTCAAATTAAGGTACCTTTTGCTGTACGTAGCAAAGACTGTCTTCCTGCACCAAGTAAAGATGTGACTCTTGAAATGCTGGGTGGGATTTCTTTGTCCAGCATGGGGCCGATGCGCTGACAGATTTGCAACAGGTGATCAGGAGCCACATGCTTATTGGACAAGACCTAGTTGGAGAGAAAGTTTTAAAAACCATATTGTTTACATCAGTATAAAAAAATATTAAATACTCTGGATGTCTGACCAACAAGTGAAAACCAGGTACAATGAAAACTGCAAACCACACTAAGAGAAACGAAAGACCTAAATAAATGGTAAACTGGCCTATAGATTCACAGTAACCCAAACCCAACCCCAGCATGTTTTAATAGAAAGTGATAATCTTATTCTAAAATTCTATACAAGAACAAAGCAGCATTTATAAAGAACTAAGCTGCAAGGTTAACCATACCTCATTTCAAAATTTTTATAAAACTACAACAGTTGGGCCTCCCTGGTGGCGCAGTGGTTGAGCGCTGGGTTGCGAAGCTGCCCGCAGCCTCTGCATCGCCAGTTCGATCCCCGGCTGCTCCCCGGCCACCAGAGGAGGGTCCCACATGGCGGCAGACCTCTCCTGCCACCCGCTGCTCCCCTCAGCAGTGTATTTCGGTCCTTCTGCCTGCTCTGCTCCCCGCTCTGGCTCTGGTGAATTCTCTCACCCTCCCACGCTTCTGCCTGTACCCAGTGCTTGTATGTATGTATGTATAAATCAATGCATCAATCAAATAAATCTTTAAAAAAAAAAAAACAGCATTGTACTGGCATGAGACGAAAGTGATTAATGGAACAAGAATTCACAAGTCAGTTAAGGACAAATGATTTCTGACAAAGGTGCCAGCCATTCAAAGGAGAAAAGATAACCTTCTCAACAACTAGTGCTAACAACTGGCTATCCAGTTCCTCAAAAAAAGAATTTAACTTTGATCCATACATTGCACCATAAGCAAAAATTATCTCATGATAGATCACACATCTAAATGTATAACATAAAACTGTAAGACTTATAGAACACCAAAGAAAGGCCTCCCTGGTGGCACAAGGGATTAAAACGCAACCTATTAAGCTATCTGCAGCCACACAGCACAAGTTCAATCCCCGGCCAGGGAGCTACCCACATGATGCAGCAGACCTCTCCTGACTCGCCCGCTGCTCCCCTCAGCAGTGGATTTCAGTCATTCTGCCTGTTCTGCTCCCCACTCTGTCTCTGGTGAATTTCTCACCCCACACACAAACACCCCTCTGGCCTGTACCCCAGTTCTGTATGCACAAATCTTTTAAAAAATTAAAAAATAAATAAAACACTGAAGAAAACTTTTATGACCGACAGGCAAAGATTTCCAATGATACCAAAAACACAATCCACAAAAGAACAAATCAATAAATCGTATTTCATCAAAACTAAGAAATGTCACTACTTGGGGAATGAAAAGACAACCCACATACTGAAAGAAAGTATTTGCAAAACCATGTATCTGATAAAGGTCTTCAGACTTGTATTAAGAAGATGTGAAAAGTTAAACTCAATACTCAATTTAAAAAACTAATTTAATTAGGCAGAAGATTTGAATACACACTTCACCAGAAGAAGATATACGATGGCAAATAAACACAGAAGAAGATGTTCATCACTGGTAACTGACAAAAATACAAATTAAAATCTCCAGATAACAAGCCTCCCTGGTGGCCTAGGGGTTACGTCCTAGTACTATCACTACAAAGGCCCACCTCGAAGGACTGAGCTCAATCCCCAGCCAGGGAGCTACCCACATGGCGGAGTAGATCTCTCCTGTCTCCCCACTGCGCCCCTCAGCAGTGGATTTCAGTAGATCTGCCTGTTCTGCTCCCCACTCTGTCTCTGGTGAATCTTCTTACCACCACCACCACCCCACACTTCTGGCATGCACCCCAGCTCTTGCATGCAAAAATAAATAAAATAAATCTTAAAAAAAAAAATGTGGTTGCAGATACACAGTGGACTACTGCTCATCTATTAAAAAAGATGAAATCCTGCCATTGGCCAACAACACAGATGGAACTGGAAGGAATGATGTTAAGCAAAATGAAGCCAGAAGGAGAAAGGCAAATACCAGACAATATACACAGATAATTTTACGTACAGGTGTAATAGAAAGAAACCAAAGAAAACAAGCCCTAGAGACAGGACTGCAGAATTGAGGTTCCCAGGGGAAGGGCGTAAGAGGGGCCCATTGGCACATGGCAGAAGGATTACTGGGGCTTTGGTCGTGGGCACAGTGTGATAGCTAAACATGTGAAGAGGTCTGAAGCTGTACCCCGAAAACATACACAATATTATAAAACAATGTGACCTCAAGAATAATTTAATTTTTTAAATAAATTAAAAAGTAATGAAAAGAAAGTTTGTAATTAATAAAACAGCCCATTAAAACCAACTTGTGAAAATATAACAAGCAAGCACAATTTAAAAGTGTAATAGCATAAAAAAATTGCAACTGCATGGAGATACGTGTTAACTGGACTTACTAGGGTGATCATTTCACAAGACATACAAACAACAAATCTTCATGTTGTACACTGAAACTGTTAAATGTCAACTCTATCTCAATTTAAAATTAAAACAGTTAACCCAATTCAAGAAAAAGGAAGATTAATAAAGTTTAATGATTGGGCCTCCCCGGTGGCGCAGTGATTGAGCGCTGGGTTGCGAAGCTGCCTGCAGCCTCTGCAGTGCCGGTTCGATCCCCGGCTGCTCCCCGGCCACCAGAGGAGGGTCCCACATGGCGCGCAGACCTCTCCTGCCGCCCGCTGCTCCCCTCAGCAGTGTACTTCGGTCCCTCTGCCTGCTCTGCTCCCCGCTCTGACTCTGGTGAATTCTCTCGCCCTCCCGCGCTTCTGACTGTACCCAGTGCTCGTATAAATAAATAAATAAATCTTCAAAAAAAAATAAATAAATAAATAAATAAAGTTTAATGACTATCAATACAATAATGTTTCTTCAACACCTTCCAAGTCCTAGACATGGGTGTCACTATCAGTCTCTACCTCAGCGGCGTCAATGAGTAAGCCAGCTGGACAAGGTCCTCAGGCGTCAGCTAGAACTAAGTCCACCCCACTGGCCAACAGTGAATCTCCCTACCTTCTTGTTCTTTGTTGCCATATGCAGTCTCAGAGGTTATCAGCCACAACCCGAGGCTCAACCCTATCACTCCTGCCAAACGCCACTGGGAGCACAAGTCTCCCAGTCCAGGGCAGCAGTCCAGAAAGCGGAGGCAGGTCCAGCTAACTTGACTGATTCAAAGTTATAAGACAAAGTAGCTTTTACTGTACAGTATGAGAGACTGTAATGTAATCAGGCTCCAGAAGTATTTAATACCTGTAATATGTACCTATCTGACCTTCACCTTTCATTTTTAAACTATCCAGAAACCTTGAAGCAACAGATATAAGTAAACCACTATATCAACATCAGCTCCCACAGTACAACAAAACAGAAAAAATGACATTTTTTATACTAAATTAAATCTGTTTCTTCCTTGCATAAGTAATTCTCCTCGACTTCTGATGAGTTGGATCTTATTGGATTCATTTGTAATCTATGTAAATAAGTGAAAGTTTAGTAGTCAATGGCAGGACAAATATTCCCACAGAAATAAGAGGGGAAAAGAACTTAAACTCAGTTTATACACAAAAGAACCTACGCAGAGAAATGTTCTAGTGATAGCGAAAAGAGCCTTCATTTAAAAGCATTTAAATTTCTTTTAATTTGGGACAGTTAACCCATTTTAGCGTCATAGGGCAGACAGCAAGTGTTCACCCCCACTTGGGCAGAATCTCACTTTGTAGACTCTTCCATACGTAGGGGACCAAGTAATCTCATGTCAGTCAAAGAAACTGAGAAAAGCACTACTGGGGCAAAGGAATGTTCCTAGAAAATGTCTCTCTAGAAAAGAAGCTGACACTGGAAGACAGAACCTCCCCTGACAGCATTTCAAGAAATGACACAGAGCTGCAGGAGCGGTCTTGCGATCACAAACCTAAAGTTGAAGGTGAAAGGCCCATCATGGTCCTCCCCTGGTGGCGCAGCGGGTGGAGTGCAGCGCTGTGAAGCTGTCCGCAGCCTCTGCAGCACAAGTTCGATTCCCAGCCGGCCAGGGAGAGGCCCACATGGCACCGCAGACCTCGCCTGTCTCCCCGCTGCTCCCTTCAGCAGTGTTTCCGGTCTGTCTGCCTGTTCTGTTCCCCATTCCGTCTCTGGTGAATTCTCTCATCTTCCCATGCCTCTGGCCATGCCTCTGGCCTGTACCCCAGTTCTTGTATAAATAAATAAATCTTAAAAAAAAAAAGACACCATTTAAATCACTGCATAAATTCCATCCACAGACTTCTAAGACATCATTACTTAAGCCACAGCTTCTAAGCAAAGAATCACTCCACAGTACACTTTCACACACCTTACCATCACACAAATCATACCACACCCACCCATCTAAATAGCTGAAGCAAAGTCATCGAACTAGCCCACCAAAGTGAGGTTTACCTGGAAAATGCTATTAACCACGACTTCAATACAAAATCGGGATATCCTCATTAGCACTTCTATGTAATCTATTAATATTGCCTTTCTTCCATAGCAAAATAATGCGCTCTATTCCTAGACTGAAAATTTTTCCACATTTCAAATGATTTGTAAGAAAAATCTTAAAGAATTCTGATTACTCTTAATTGGTACTTCTGTTGTTTTCTAGACCTAACATCAGAGCATCCAAAAGGAATAAAGTACAAAATGCAAAATTCTCAGGGGCTTGAACCAGCTGACATGTGGGGGGGGGGAAGGGCAGGGGGGATGGCTTTGAGATAGAGTTTAGCACCAAAGCAAAGTAACTGATAAGAATATGATCAAAATAAAACCTAAGCAAACTCAAACTCTGGATCCTATGTGGAACTTAATGAAGAGAGAAACAGTTCCCAAAAGCCACACTTCATTTTTAAAGAAGTATTGTTTCATAAGATGTATTAAAACAGAAGAGGCAAGCACACTAAGAAATGCAGGAATTTTAAGCAAACCTACACAAGCCATGGAACCGTAAAATACTCAGTTAACAATTTCAACCATATGTAAAATACCTCATAATCACACTAAGTTATTTCATCAAGAGATCTGTGTCATACTCTAGAACATACAAGAAATAAAATCTACTCCATTTCAGTTACATCTTTAAAATAAGTTCACAAAACTCAAAACAATCCAAACTATTCTTTAAGAAATGTTAGGATCGGGGACCTCCCTGGTGGCGCAGCGGTTGAGCACTGGGTTGCGAAGCTGCCCGCAGCCTCTGCGGCGCCAGTTCAATCCCCAGCTGCTCCCCGGCCACCGGAGGAGGGTCCCACACGGCGCGCAGACCTCTCCTGCCGCCCGCTGCTCCCCTCAGCAGTGTCCTTCGGTCCTTCTGCCTGCTCTGCTCCCCGCTCTGGCTCTGGTGAATTCTCTCACCCTCCCGCGCTTCTGACTGTACCCAGTGCTTGTATAAATAAATAAAAATGAATCTTAAAAAAAAAAAAAGACAGTAAATAATCACAGAAAGTTTTCTTTTATATATTTCTAGTTAAATAAATTTTTTAAGGCTGTATAAACTCCCACTTATCATCACCCTGACTTACAAATGAAGCAGAACACATCTTGAGAGATTTTAAGATAAAGCAACATCAGTTAATAACTGAAGTCAATGACCGGTTCTCAGCAAGAAAGTATACTGAGCGCTAAACATTATTTCCATAATGAGTGCTTACCATGGACCAGGAAGCATAATTACAGGTACTTACAGATAACCAGAGCTATAGGTCCCAACTAACTTTTGAAAGGTGAAAGTAATCACTTCAACAACAAAGTAATGAGACACTACTGGCCCCACCTTAACAATGAGAACAAGCTGGGTTAGCTTAAAAATAATTTTTAAGCCCATGAGAGAACTGAGGCGACATCTAAGTTAACTCTACCCCAGAAACTGCTGAGGCTTTGTGTGAGCAAGCAAGAGACCGGAAGCTGTTTTCCCCTCCAGCAGAGGCAGGAGAAACGGCACAAGGTAGGAAAACTCTGCCAATCTTTTAAATTTGACAGTTGCCACAGGGCTAGCCATACTGATTCGGCGCCTGAGAGCGGGCCTGCATCCATGCCAATTCTCCCCACCCCGCGCTGCTACATGAGACCCCACCCTGTAGGCAGGGCACCTCTGGGGGAACCAGCGCACTGCAGAGCAGAGCAACCCCAGAATGGAGAAAAACAATAACTCTTCAACAACCCAAAACTCTGGGAGCTGAACTAGATAGTAGAGCGAGACCTCACAGCTGGCATCTCAGCTATAAAGTACAAAACTTACCAGCACCCAAAGCCCAAACTCTATTGGGAGGGAAAGTCTTGTTCCCACCCTTAAAATATGCAAAGCCAGTGATGACCTGGATGCAACCAAAGCCGCAACAGAGACCAGAAACCATGAGAAACCAATAAGAACCCAGCCCAACACACTCACAGCTTGAGAGAACAGCGAGCACTGCCCTCGCTGATGCTCGTTATACTAGTCCCCACGCTTGCAGCACAAACTAGCCCAGCATACTTCAAAAGAGAATACTTAAAGCAGGATCAGGAAAGCCGTGGTAGGGAGGGAGGACTCATCAGAAGCCAAGCCGGGGCCTCCCTGGTGGCGCAGCGGTTGAGCGCTGGGTTGCGAAGCTGCCCGCGGCCTCTGCGGCGCCGGTTCGATCCCGGCTGCTCCCCGGCCACCGGAGGAGGGTCCCACATGGCGGGCAGACCTCTCCTGCCGCCCGCTGCTCCCCTCAGCAGTGTCCTTCGGTCCTTCTGCCTGCTCTGCTCCCCGCTCTGGCTCTGGTGAATCCTCTCACCCTCCCGCGCTTCTGACTGTGCCCAGTGCTTGTATAAATAAATAAGACAACAATAACAAAAAAAAAAAAAGAAGCCAAGCCGGAGATGGTCCAGGTGCTGGCTGGTGCTCGGCCATCATCTCTTCGAAAGAGTTCTTTCCTATTTCCAGTTGGAACTTTAAACATTAAACTCTTTAAGAGCATCCTACATAATCAAGCTCACGGACTCCCAAGCAGAGTAAGTGCAAACAAACCTGGTATGTAGGTGCACCTGGTAGGCCGCTCCTGATGAGGGCCCCAATCATCCCCACCTGAGATTCACAGCCTCAGGAAATGCCCTCCCCAGAAATGGTTCTTAAATTCTTTAGAGAGGTCCTCTGCAGAACCAGGAATGAAATGTCTGTTATTTACATTAAAATTTTCCACATTAGCTAATAAAACGAAGGTGTATATATCTATAACTTGTTTTAAAACAATACAGCCTGGAGAAGAGAGGTAATAGGTGAGACAGTTAATGGTCACTGAGGCTAGATGAGGGGACCTCGTGGACGGTTCACTGTTTTTCTATGTTTGACAATTTCACTGACAGTTTATACCTCAAATAAAAACCAGGTAAACAACAAACTGGTAATGAATTTGTGACAGCTAACAGTTCACTATGTCATACTCATTTGTTTATATTTAAAACACAGCTGGCCCTTGAACAAAACGGGAGTTAGGGGATCCAAATCCCGTAGATTGGACATAACCTTTGACTCCCCAAAAACTTAACTACAGACATGTCTTCATATCCCCTCAGACCAGACACCCAGTCCACTGCTCCCCCCAAACCCAAATCTGGGCGTGATGAAGTCCCTTGCAGTACCAAGAGGAGAAAAATATCCCAGCAGAAGTGGGCCAGTAAACCAGTGTCATTCAAGAGTCAGCTGTACTTCTTACCGAGATATTTCTGAAAAGATATTTTGGAAAACTGGAAGCTACTCAGACACCCCTGACAAGAGAGTGATTGTCCACACAGGAAGTTCATCCTCAGCCCCTCCGGGGGGAGGCCAGGGGAGGAAGGGAAGGAGGGTTCCCACCACACAGACCAAGGTAACCGGCCGGGCAAGACCACATGTGTCACGGCCACATCACAGGCAGAGGTTCTGGATGATCTGAAGAATTTTAAATACGGTCTTACGACAGTTTTATAGCAGGAGGCAAAAAACATGTACATCTATTTTTGGAAGTTTTGCAGGAGCTGCGCAGAATTACACTTGTTTTAAGTTTTAAGCCATTTTCCCTCACGGCCTGACGGCACCGCCGCGTCAGCGACCTTCCCTCACCGCGGACACGGCGCTCTGCCGCCAGCGGGAGGAGGACGGGAAGGCAGTTCTCCCCGGACTTGAAACGCAGCTTCCACTCCAGAAAACCAGCGTCAACGCAGAAGCTTCAGAACTCACGGTCCTGAGAATATTCGCTCTGTCGCGCTTGCTTCCTAACGAAGACTAAACCTGCCGCACCAGAGCCCGGGACCCAGACTCACGGCGGCCCTCCGGCAACACGCGCCGGCGCCGGGCCAGGGCAGCGCGCGGCCACCAGCGAAGCTCAAGGCAGCGCCAGGAAGCGGAGCCCCGCGTCTTCTCCCCCCCGTGAGCGCCAACGCCCGTTCCAGGAAAACCACCAACGACCTGTCGGCCTCGACCGCCCGCCGCCGGCGTCTGGTCCCGTCCCGGGCGCTCCCGGGCGGGCCGGAGCCGCCTCCTCACCCCGGGGGCGACCGCGGCCTGGCCCCTGAAGAAATCCCTTGGCGACAACACAAATGCGCAAAACTATTTTCCGGAAAGCGCTTTATTCCGTCAGGGACAGAGCGGCCGGGGCCGGGGTTTGCGCGGCGAGCGGCCGAGCGGGCCGGGCGGCCGCAGCGTCCGGCCCCGCGGGGGGACGCGGCCTGGTCAAAGCCGCCAGGCCGCCCGCTCCTCAGGCGTCCGACAGACGCCCGTTCCGAACGGCGAGCGCGGGCATCTCCTCAGAGCAGGAAGTTCTCGAGGCCGCAGTCGCGGGAAAAGGAGAGAAAAACGCCCGGCAGGAACGCGCCCGCACCCCCCGGGAGACCCGCGGCGCCATTCCTCCCGGGAACAAGTGCCGGGGGCGGGGCGGGCCAATCGGAGGCCGGGCTGCCGGCGGGGCGGGAGGCGGGTCGGGCCAATCGAAGGCCGGGCAGCCCGCGGGCGGGGCGGCGAGTCGGGCCAATCGGAGGCCGGGCTGCCCACGGGGCGGCGGGGCGGGCCAATCGGAGGCCGGGCTGCCCGCGGGGCGGGGCGGCGGGGGGCCGGGGGGCGGGCGCGGCGGGCGGCGGCTGGCGCGTGGCCGCGCGCCCCGCCGCGCACGCGCACGCGCCCCCGCCGGGCGGCGCACCTGGCGGCCCGCCCGCCCCCGTCCCCGCCCGCGCCGCGCCTGCCCGTCCCCGCGGCCCCCCAACAAAACCGAACGCGCCGGGGCCGGCCCCCGCCTGGGCTCGCGCCCCTCGCCCCGCGGCCCAGAGAGGGGGGCGGGGACGGAGATGTCAAAAGTCTCACCAATTCCTCGTAGCTCCTGCTGTGCTCGTTGCCCTCCCAGTCCAGCCTCTTCGGCAGCAGCTGCAAGACACGGGGCGCCGAGTGACCAGGGCGGCGCGGCGCGGGGGCCCCGGGGCGGCGCGGCGGGGGGCGCGGGCGGGGCGGGGGCGCGGGGGCGCGGCGCGCGGGGACCCACCTGGTACTGCTCCAGCTCCTGCACCAGCACCTGCGGCGAGACGCGGGTTAGCGCGGGCGGCGCGGCCCCCCCCCGCCCCGGGGCCGCCCGCACTCACCTGCGCGGCTCTGCGGCACGGGCCGGCCGAGAGGTAGCGGGCGATGAGGAAGTAGAGCTCTGCGGGGAGAGGGGCGGTCAGCGCGGGGGCGCGGGCGGGGGCGGGGCGGGGGGCGCCGCGGGCCGCGGGGCGCGCCTTACCGGACTCGATGAGCGGCACCGGGCGCCGGGCGGGCGAGGGCTCCGCCATGGCGGCGCGGGCGGGAGCGGGAGCGAGGCGTGTAGGCCGCGCCGAGGCCTGAGCGGGCCGGCGTCCCTCTAGGTCCGGCGCGCGCCGCCGCCCGCCGCCATGCCGCGCCCGCCGCGCGCCGCCTCCGCGGAAGTAGTGCCGCCGCGGCGCGCAAAGTAGTCCCTCCGCGGGGCCGCCCCGCGCCGCCCGCCCCGCCCCGCCCCGCCCCCGGCTCGCGGCGCCTGGCTCCCGCGGGTCTCGGGGGCGCCGAGCCGCGCCTCCGGCCGAGGGGCCGCGGCCCCGGGCGGCGCGGGTGGGGGAGGGGCGCGCGCGTGGCCGGATCCCTGCGCGCGGTGAGGCGGCACCCGGCCATTGTGAGGCGCGGCGGGGCGGGCGCCGGGGGCGGAGGTCGGGCGGGCGCCGGGCCCCGCGCC